TGTTGATAATTCAGTATAAATTACTGATTTTTCTTTAATATTAGAAAAAGAATATTTTTAGAAATATAATGAATTTGTTGATAATAAAAATAATCTAAATTAATTATCCTATATAAATATTTAAGGAATGATTATAATAACTAATAGGTATAAAATTAATTAATATATATAGTTCTATAATATTTTAAAAATTGCATTTTAGTGGTTTTGCTCCAATAACTATTTTATGCCTTTTAGATAATTCTAAAATTTTGATCAATAATTTAATTATAGAATAAATTGAGGTGGCTACAAAAAAGTTAAATATCATATAACATGAATATTCTGGAAATTAATTAAAGATAATTAATTTGTATCTTTGTTATATAATAATAAAAAATGCATATAGTGAAATAGATACTAATGTTGAATCATTCTTTGAAATCTTATAAAATTTTCCCAAAAGATTAATTTTAAGAGATTCTCTTATCATTAATAATACATGTTAAACCTGTAAAAATGGATTGATTTATTTTCAATAAATTGAAAAACTCTTAATACATAATTTAATCATTTACAATAATCAATGTGGTTTATTGACTTGTTTGATGCTTAATCAAGTGAATCAGAATGCAATCAAATAAAGTAAATTTATTAGAAACTCTGGAACTTAGGGTGGAGCCTTAAATATAAAAGCTACTAAAATATAAATGAAAAATATTTTATTTTTGCAAAATGATGCTGAAAATGGTGGAGCTTTTTATTTATCATCTACTTCAATAAAATTAGATATATTAATATAAGATTTATATCTAATTTAAAATAAAGCTAATATTGGAGGAGCTATTTATTTAGAAAATCACAATTTTAGAAAAGAGGAGTTGTTACAAGTTTATTTCTTGAAAAATATTGGATAAGAATATATAGATAATATTAGAGAAAATCCATCGTAATTAAAATTATCAATATTTAATTAAGAATTGGATACTAAATCAATGTCTAATATTGGGTCACCTAATTTTGAAAAATATAAACTTAATACAAATATCATTTATATACCAAGTGGACAATAAATAAATAATTATAGTATTTAGAATTTAGAAAGACAAGTTTTTATCATTTATAATTTAAATCCAAAATTATATGCCATTAACAATTTAGGAGAAAAATAAATTAATTTATAACAATATAAATGTGTTTTAAAATAATAATAAAATTATAAAAATGATTTATTGTAAAATTAAGAATAAATTATACCTTTTAATTAAGACAGCCAATCATTTGATTTTTCAAATTTAATTATAAATTTGGATCCTTATATTAAAAATGAAACAATCTTTGTTTTTGATTGTGATTGTTTTACTGAATCTTAATATAAGTTTTATTTAAGTGTTAAATCATTTCCATGTCAAGTAGGTGAATTTTATTATTTTAATTAATGTATTAAATGTGAAGAATCTAAAGGTTTCTATTCAGTTGAACCTAAAGCTACTTTTTGTTAGAAAATAGATCCAAATATTATTCAAGAAAATACAGCAAGTGAAATCTCATTATAGCCAGGTTATTGGAGACCAAATTATAGAAGCAAATTTATTAATAAATGTACAAGATAAAAGACTTTATGTCTTGGAGGATGGAAACCAGGAGATTAATCATGTAATTTAGGTTATATTGGAGCTTTATGTGAAGAATGTGATATATATAATATCAAAGGAGATGGCCAATATTATAAAAATAAAAATAACAAATGTGTTTTTTGCAGTGATTTTGGATTTTCAATATTCATATCACTATTATTTGGATCATTGTATCAATTTTCATTATTTCTTTTAGAACCATAGGTTCAATGATATTAACTGTAAGCAGTGTAAACACTATTTTTAAAAGTTTTCTGAAATTAAAATTAACATCTAAGCATTATAAGATCTTATTTAATCATAGTTTAGGTAGAAAATATAATATATATATAGACTAATCGGCTGCCTTAATTAAAACGGTTGTCAATTACTTTTAGATTTTAGTCAGAATTAAATCTTTTCAATTAGAACTTTATTTTAATATTATTGATATTCTTACTCCTTTAAGCAATCCTATAAGCACATCATCTTATACATATGAATGTTTTTTAACCTAACAAACAGAATTACACATTATTTACATTAGTCTCATTATTAATATTTTGGCACCAATCTTTTTCTATTTTATATTTTTAACAGTATATATGCTTTTGATTTTTAAAAAGAAGCTAAAACTGACACCAACTATCTATGCAACTGCCATATTTTATTTATTTTTTTATGCCCAACCTAATATCATTCTAGAATTAGGAGAATTAATTACATCAAGAAATATTTCTGAAATTTAATACATAAATAGAAATGTCTCTATTCTATATTTTACAAAAACTCATATATCTTGGGTTCTCTTTTTTATTACACCAGTTTTACTCATAATTGGTATTATAATCCCACTTATTTTATTCCTAATATTATATAAGAAAAGATATCATTTTAATTAAGAAAAAGTCAGAAAAATATGGGGCTATATATTTAATGATTATAAGGAATCCTCATTTTATTGGGAAATTTTTAGAGTTTCTGAAAGAGAAATTATATTATTATCACTTATAATATTTGAAGAGCAAATTGAAATTAAGGGTATATTAACATTTTTGATATTGTTTTTGTATCATATAATTGTTTAAAACAAAAAACCTTTTAATATGGAAACACTAAATCGATTTGAATAAAAATGCATTACATTATCTAGTTTGATTTTTCTGATTTGTGGTATTAAATATCAAATTTAAATATTATAAATAGTATCAATAGATTTCATTTTACAAACACTTCTACTAATTGTATTCATAATCTTTTTTTACATCTTAATAAGTTAAACAATTTCAACATACTATTAAAAGTATAATGATAGATTAGATGGTATTCGAAAAATCTTGTTATAAAGATTCCCAAAAATCATTCAGATATGCCCTTAATTGAAAAATTATCTTAAATTAAGAGTTTAAATCCAAAATAAATTGAAATCAAGAGTTAAATTAGTTAAGGAAGCCTTAATTATATCCAAAGGCGAAAATATAATGTAAAGTTAGCATCACAATCTACTCTCGTTTTCTTTATAAAAAAGCATTTATCCTGAAGAATAAGCTTAAAATCTTTCAAATCTATTGGCAAATTAAAAAAATAATGAAAAAGAGAAAACACATTTTGTAAAAGATTTAGTATCTATTCATTGATAATATTCATTATATTTTAAAATAATCGATATATAATATAAAATAATTTATTCACTAATTCTAATTTGTAAATATTAAAACTTTTAATAATTTTAACAAAGAATTTTGAAAATCAAAATATTTTAATTAAGAAAATTTTAGTAAAAGGTAACTTTTATTCATTAATAATAAAATAATACAATATAAACTATTATCATAGATGTCTTTATTTATAAAATATATTCAATAAAACTATTTTAGGTAATCTTTTAAGATCACAATCTTATTTTGTAAATTGTTGATTTTTATTTTTAATTTATTTAATAATATATTTTTTTAATAAAATCAAAATAATTTAATTAGAATAAATTTGAGAAATCATTTTTTATCAAACTTTTATCAACAATTATCCAAAAGTAATGTTTTTTTGGTGTTTTTTTTTGGGTGCATTAAAAATATTTCTTTAAGGACCTTTTTTAGGACTTGGTTTAGTTCTAGATAATGTTGTTGGGGAAATATTAGTGAGGGTGAATTGTTAAAATGGTTTAATTTCTAATGGGAGGAGTTTAATTTAAGGTTTTTTTCTTTTTTCTTCCAATAATTTAATTGATGGTATTGGAGAACATCTATTAATAGTATTATTGAAAGGAGACATATTATTTGTAATTGATGTATGACAATGTTCTACATGATTTTAGGTAAGATATTTTGGACAGGCTGTCTTAATATCTTTAATTTTGCTTTAGCCTAATTATGATTTATCTACTAAACTTTAAAGAGTTCTTGGATTATATTTCAAAATATTTTTATAAGCTTATTTTGGATTTTAAGTTGTTAATTATTTAATATTAACAATGTTTTCATCATCTGTTTAATCATCTTCTTCTTCATCTTCTTATTGTAAAGTAGGAAGATTAGCTAAATTTTATGTAGATTGATCTTCATTCTTTTTATCATCTTCTTCAAATTTATTAAGTCTAATATTAATATTGAAATCATCTTAGGAACCAGTTTACTTGATTAATTTTATTTTACCATCTTCTACTAATTCTAATCTGAATATAAGTTGTGATTCAAAAGGAGCTGTAATAGGTAAATAGAATGTTTTAAGTCTCTAAGAAAATGATTAAACCTTAGAATTTTTTTTATCAGTAAAGAGTTTTCGAGGGGATAATGAATTGTACCTATGAAAAAAGATGGAAGATCTTGAAATGGGTTTTGAAGGTGTTTAAGCAACTTCAATAGAATAAAGACTTGATAGATTAGGTATACTAGCCTAATGATTGTAAAATACAGTATTATGATGTCTATTTTATCTTTTCTTTGGTTGATGTTCTTATTGTTGCATAATATCGATGATAGTTTTCTTCTAGATTAGATGTCTTTTATTCCTTAACTTCATACGCTTTCTTTACTATAATATTTCATTTTGCTCTTTGAGTTTTGTTATAATATGTTGGTAGGGTTGAAATTATGGAAGTACTGTTGTGACATAGAGCATTTTTTTATTGTGTAATCCACAGTCTAAACATTCACAAGAGCGTTTCCTATTGAAAGTAAGAGAGGAATGGATAGGGAGTTATTAGGCTTGATTTTTGAAAGAGCTTCCAGATAATCGATTTCTCATATTTATTAATTATTATGGTAAAAGTGGCTTTTTAATTATAAATTAATATTAAAGTACATAATAATAATAATAAATTATTAAATGATTATATAAATTTCTTTTATAGCAATCGAATTTCTCCGGGTAAAGCAGTGATTAAATTTTAAAAATATTTATTTAAAATATGAGTTTGGCATTTGATGACTATGGCAGACCTTATATCATTTTGAGAGATCAAGGATAAAAGAAAAGAATGAAGGGTTTGGAGGCTTATAAGAGTAATATTTTAGCTGCAAAGGCAATTGCTAATACTTTATAGTCTTCACTTGGTCCTAAAGGTATGGATAAGATGTTGGTTTCACCTGATGGTGATGTGTCAGTCACTAATGATGGTGCAACTATAGTTGAAAAAATGGTAACAATAATCCAATATTTAATTATTTAGGAAATATAACATCCAACAGCAAAATTATTAGTTGAGTTGTCATAATCATAAGATGCTGAGATAGGAGATGGAACAACAGGAGTAGTTGTTTTGGCTGGAAAATTATTGGAATAAGCATTAACATTGTTGGATAAGGGAATTCATCCATTGAAAATTAGTGATGGTTTTGATAGAGCCTGTGATGTTGCCATAAGTATATATTAATATCTTATAATTAGAACATTTGGAGTAAATTGCTGAAGAAATAGACATTTAAGCAAATGACCATGAAGCATTAATTTAAGCAGCTTGCACTGCTTTGGGATCAAAAGTTGTATCTAAGAGAAAAAGAGAATTAGGAAAAATAGCTGTAACTGCTGTTTTAGATGTTGCTGATCTTACAAGAAAAGATGTCAATTTAGACTTAATTAAAATTCAAACAAAAACTGGTGGTAGTGTTGAAGATACCAGATTAATATCGGGTATCCTTATTGACAAAGATATGAGTCATCCATAAATGCAAAAGGAAGTTACAGATGCTAAAATATGTTTATTAACATGTCCTTTTGAACCTCCAAAACCTAAAACAAAGCATAATATCAATATTTCCAATGCTGAAGACTATAATAAACTTTATCAATAAGAATAACAATACTTTATTGACATGGTAAAGCTTGTTAAAAATAGTGGTGCTAATATAGCTTTATGTTAATGGGGATTTGATGATGAAGCTAATCATTTATTATTATAAAATGATTTACCTGCTGTTAGATGGGTATCAGGAACAGATGTTGAATTAATTGCTATGGCTACTGGAGCTAGAATCATTCCAAGATTTTAAGAAATTACACCTGAAAAATTAGGAAAAGCAGGTTCTATCAAAGAGGTCTAATTTGGAACTTCAAATGAAAGAATGTTAGTCATTGAAAATTGTTAATGCACTAAAGCTGTTACCATTCTAATTAGAGGAGGCAGTCAAATGATTGTTGATGAAGCTAAAAGATCTATTCATGATGCAATTTGTGTTATTAGAAATTTAATTAAAGATAACAGAATTGTTTATGGTGGTGGATCTGCTGAATTGGCTTGTGCTCTTCAAGTTTTATAATATGCTGATGAAGTATATTATAATTTTAATATAAATTTTAGGTTTCTTCAGTTGAATAATATGCAGTAAGGTCATTTGCTGATGCTTTAGAAGGTATTCCAAGTTGTTTAGCAGATAATTGTGGTCTTAATCCAATTACATCTGTAGCTTAAGCAAAGTCTAGATAATTGTCTGAGAAGAACCCTAGAATTGGAATAGATTGTATGGATTTGGTATATCATATAATATAATCATATAGGGTACAACTGATATGAAAGAGTAAAGAATTTATGAAACTTTGAGTTCAAAGAAATAATAAATTTAGTTGGCCACTTAAGTTGTTAAAATGATATTAAAAATAGATGATGTTATTGCTCCTGATGACTATTGAGTATTAATAAAAGTTTATGTTCAAAAGTACAAATATTTAATACATTTTTCAGATAAGTAAAAATTCAAAACCCACATTAATTATAATCAATATTTTTTCTTAGATGGTGTTATTTTAGAAAGTACAATATTATTTTCCATTATAACTTTATCCATTTCATTTTTCCAATACTAATTATATTGAAAAAAATACTTTCACTTCAGTTTACAAATCTTAATATTATTTATTCCATTCATCCCTTAGCCTTCTCTCTTTATCTTCTTTTCTCTGAATCTGTTTTTCCAATTATTATACTTTACTTTAAAGGGCTGTGTTTTCATATTCTAATGATTTGCATCTATCTAAATTATCATCCCAATCTTATAATTTTAATTCTAAATCAATTAATTTTTATCTTAACTCCTAAAATTTATAATATTAAAATACTTTCTCTTTAACAGAAGACTTTTTTTAATTTAATTTATTTTTCAAAATCTCTATTTCTTCTAAATAAAATTCTTGTTTATTTGTCATTTCTTTTAATTTCTTTGAAAGTTCTTAAGTTATTTTTGGTTCTGATATTCTGGAATGCTAATTCATATTTTCCAATTACTTCAATTAAAGTTCATATTTTTAACTTAATTATTTCTCTTTTTCTTTTATCATTTCTAAATATAATTTCAAATATACACTCATAATTTTATCTCTATTATTCATGTTCAATATTGTATTCTTATTAAAATTAATATAATTTATTCAAAGCATCCTTTGCTATTTCACTCTATCCTTGCAATTCCTCTAATAAATTTAATTCTGTTTATTTAAGTTAATGAATAGTCTCTTCATACGTTTATATTAGTTTTTCATATTATTCTCTGAATTAAATAATTTGAATATTTACTTTGTATTATTGAAATTATCAATATATTATTAATTTGCTTAATCATCTTATAATTATTATCTTAGTTCTGAGATTTATTATTCATATTCTTTCATTTTTTTGGTTAACTTATTTTCTTGTATTTTAAGATTTGTTTAAGATTTCTTTTATGTTTGGCTTTTTGATTTAGCCTAATTCTTAGAGTTTTATTATTATTTAACATTTCCAGATTTATTTAGAATGGGCCCCAAATTTTAATAGATTTCAGATTCAGAATTGGAAGTATCAATTTTCCTTCCTCTTGATTATTTCATAGAAATTATCAAATTAAATAATTATTTTAATTATCAATTAATTTATTCTATATTTTGATGATTATCAAATAAGCTCAACTTCAAATGATGAAGCCTAATGATTGTATACTAATAAAGCTGGGAAGACATCTGATTCATCATCTGGTTATTAAAAATCACTAATATAATTGTTTAATTAATTACTTCCTTGGCAATCTCATTCCTATCAATAAGCAAGTTATATTATTCATACATTTTTATGTAGAAACAACTTTAGTAGGTTACATATAACTCTGATGATTTATTATACTGATATCAAAGGTCATGGGAGATACTTATTAAGCATAGGAGAGCCAACTGGTAATAGATGTAATTTAACATTTTTCTTTATTTAATTCCTATGTTTAAAACAAGAGTATTTTATCACTAGTTGAAAAAAAATTATCAAATTTTTATTTAACAGTAAATATTTATGAAGTATTTTTAGGGTCTTGTAGATAATTTGGTTTTGAAAGATCATAACAAAAGAAGAGTAGGTTTTTTTTATTGATCTATCTGTCTTCTTCCTAATTCACCATAAGAATTTAATTATTATCAAAATAATTACTTAAGGTATTAATGGTCATAGAATCTAAAAAATTTGCATAAGGTAAGTTTGTTTGTTTAGTAATGTTAAAATATTATCTATCTAAAATAATTTAATTAATATATCTTACTTCCCATCATGATAAGTTCTTTATCTTTAGTATAAATTAATTTAGATGGGCCATCAAGTTTAAAAATTGGCATTTATTTTATTTGAAATTAAATTTCATCAGTATTTTGAAATATAAAAATTTATTAAAAATCTCCTATGAATAGTGTTGATACATTCTATTTCAAATAAAGAAAATATATATTGTTTTCAACAAGCATCATTTATTATAAAATTCCATAATTTAATCCTACTCTTTATCTTATTTTAGGAGTTGTTACATCCAATAAAGTTAATTCCACCTTCAATTTGTACAAATGATAAAATAATATTAATCTATGATTAATTACTGCCATTAATATAGGTATTTTTTATGAATCTGAAAAATTTTTTAGACAAGAAATATATTATTGATTTCTCTATAATAATAAATATAATATACTTATTAACTAATTTCTTAAATTTTTTGTAATGTAATACGCTTTTTTATCAAATCTGAATAAAAGCTCTTTTATAAATCTTTTACTTCTTCTTTTTTGCTGATAATGTCATGTGTATAATTTCTCCTTTTCATAAAGAAGAGTGTATTATTGGTTTTATTATAAACTAATTATCCCTCATTTTTTTATTCAAGCTAAATTAATAGTTGATCATCCTATTGGATTTTATCATCACTATAATATTGATTGATAATATTTTTACTCGTTTTTATTATTATTTTATTTGTTTATATCAGATTTGCAGACTGGACAATATCTTAATATTTATTAATCATCTTAATTTAGATTGAATTAGCATCCATTCTTAATATGGACATAAGGATTTTTTAATTCATCAAGAGTAAGTTGGCAAAAGTTTAATTTTAACTGATAAATGTTATCACTCATTCAACTTATATTTCTAAATATTTTAATTAGATAAAATCATTCATTTTTTTTTTTCAAATTCTATTAATTATAATTCTTAATAAAAAGATATTTATAGTCTTATATTATTTTACTTGTTTGATTCAATTAGTCTCTATAATAAAAATATAACAAGAGGTATACAAAAATATGATGAGTTTAATAAAAAAATATATTATTTTTATTCTAGAAATAATAAATACATTTTGATAAATATAGTATATTTAAGTATATATTTGTTTACTTTATAAAAGATTAAGTGTGTTATATAAAATTAAATCATTTCAGAATCAGTAATCTTACATCATCAATTGTTTTATAACCATACTTTAAAGTGTTTTTGTCTCTTCATTTTAAAAATTATTTTGTAACTTCAAATAAAGATTTCGAACTTTTTTGCTCTATTTCTATGATTTCAAAATATTAAACGGATATTTAAAGGCTTCAATTAAATGACAAGTTGTAGATTTTGTTTAATTTGATGTAATATCTATAAGTCTATTAAAGGATTATTGTAAATCGTGTAATAAGGATGAATTTGATAATTTTTAAAAGAAAGAAGATTAATGTTATTTTTAAAGAAAATCTTTTTGATTAAGACTTTGTTTAAATAATTATTAAGATGTATAATTAATGATCCTGATTATGGGATTGAATAGAAATATTACTATAAAGGAAGTGATTAAAAGTGATGAAAGCATATAAAGAAAGAAACCTAATATAGTTGCTATAAATATTTTGTTTAGTTCTGCTTAGAAAGTATTAAACATATTCTCAAATTCCATTTAATATTTAGTTAGTTTGCTCTACCTAAATTAATTTGTAATTAATTTTACATAATTAAAATTAATCCTGCCTCTTCTATATTTTTAGTACTTATAAGTTCTTCTTCTTATTATAAATAAGTTTTTCTACACAAATAACCATAATCTTTCCATACAGTAGAATTACAATTACTTTATGTTTCTTTACCCTATGCTTAATTTAAAATCTACTAATAATCTTCATAACCTAAATTAGTAATGTTATAATCATATATATTTGAATATTAAGTAACATTCAAAGAACTTAATAATATTCTACCTTTAGGATTTATTATAGTAAAACTTACTTAATCATCTGAATAATTAAATTAGCTGAAATTGACATGAGAGGCTATTACACCATCAAGAGATCCATTAATATTTAATAAACTTTTTGTTTAAGCTATCATTAATAATTTCCAAGTCCAATGGATATGAGGTTCACTAAAATATGTTTTATTATTATTATTTTGCAAAGAAACTTGTTCTTAATGTTACACATACCAGATTCTCTCTTGAGGATTGTAATCAGAAGATAAAAAAAATCCAGGCCAAACTGTTAAAAAATGGATATCATTTGATGAAGCTATCATAATATCAAAATCTTAATCTATCATTATTACAGATTATGTTAAAAATGCACAAAGATCTTTCAAATTTTGTAAGATTTTATTTGGTTTAGTTTCTTTATAAATCATATAACAAAACGAAGCACTGTAAGTATATTTATCTAGAAATTATAACTCATTCAGACAAGGAATCGGTTATTAAAAAGTGCTTTATTTGATTAACTGAGTCATTTAATACAGAGCATTTACCTTATCAATTTATTATTGGCTTCTAAATAAAGTTTATTAAACACGATGTATATTATGAGACATCATAATATTTGTCCATTTTCCAAATTATTTTTAAAATACTTATTCTGATGCTTCCATATAAAACTCAGAAATGTAATATGTAAATGAATAAGTTGAGAGGGCAATTAACCCAATAGTAATAATTGAAATAACAAATTATATCATACATATTTGAGTTCGTAAATGCCAATCTTTCCAAAATTTTTTGTTCATTGTATTAAATTATTATTATAAAAATAATAAGATAGATTTGCAAATAAAACTAATAAATTTTATCTTATAATAAACTATAATCTAATAGTGGTTTCTAAGAAATTCTATATAATTTATAACTTTAGATTTTTTTATTATGCAAATATTTAATTAACATTGGGATCGATTTATATAATTATAAATTATAAATTATTAATATTGAAAATAAGTAATGTAAACATAAAAATCAATTTTCAAAAAAAGACCAATCCTCCAATTTATTTTTCATACTGACTTTGCTAAAAGTAATTTTTCTTGGATCTTTTGGTTCATGATAAAGAAGAGGCTTAGGAGGTTTTAATTTTTTATTATAACAATCCTACCAATCAATATCATTGAACCAAGGATGACATTTTATTTCTTTTGCATCCTCTTTACATCCTAATCTTTTTTTAGGATTTCTAATTAGTAATTTTACTATAATATCCTTGGCTTCTTCACTTAAGCACTTCGGAATTCTTAAAGGAGCCTTTTTAATATTTTCTTTGAGAACTTCTTTTTCTGAATCATAATAAGGAGGAGCTCCAACTAGTAATTCATAAATTAAAATTCCTAACATATACCAATCAACCTATCTACCATGACCTTTTTTCATTAACATTTCTGGAGCTAGATAGGCCAAAGTTCCACAAAAAGATTAATTCAGAATTTCCTCATCTATCCCTGACTTAGATAGTCCAAAATCAGTCAACAAAGCATGACCATCAGCATCTAAAACAATATTTTCAGGTTTAAGGTCTCTAAATATAATTCCTTAAGAATGCAATGCTTCAAGAGCTAATGTAATTTCTGCTGCAAATATCTTGACAATATTTTCAGGATATGAGTTTAATAACTCTAAATGAGTAGCTAGATCTCCTCCTGGACATAAATCCATTACTAAATATAAATGATCTGATGTTTAAAAAGCCCAATTTAATTTTACTATAAATGGATGATTCATCATTTTTAAAACATCTTTCTCAATTTAAGCAGACTTTATTATATTTGATGTATTGATATCTTCTTTTTTTAAAATCTTCATAGCATAATATTTTTTTGGCAATTAACCAATCTTTTCAACTAAATATACCTCACCAAATCCCCCTTCTCCTAATTTTTAATAAAATTAAAATGATTATGGTCCTAATCTATTCTATTCAATTTCTAAAATTGTATTCAAATTGTTTCCCTTTATTGAGACTCTATAAAATGATACAGCAAAATTCACAATCTTATTCCAAGTAGATCTAGTGTCACTTGTAATAATCGATATCCTTTATTCGTTATTGTCCAAAGGTTCTGCAGCATTAGATAATTGTTTTTTAGATCTTCTTTATGTTAGCTTTAATAATCTTTCAACATGATCTCTCCTACTATTCTGTAATATTAAATTCTATTCTTTTATTACTGTTCTAGTATAAGTAAAATTATTTAAAGATATTCCATATCTATTAAACACCTCAATAATATTAATATCTGAAGCCAATTCTATAGGAGTTAAGTTCTAATTATTTTTTTATTCATGGTTTGCATTTTTCTCTAATAAGATTTAACAAACTTTATCATTTCCATACTTAGAGGCTATGTGTAAAGGAGTATTTAAGTCTGAATCTAGTTCATCTAAATTAGCTCCATAATTTATCAATAGTTCACAAATCTCACAGGTATTCTTTATCGATGCAATATGTAATGGAGATTTTTTATCTAAAGATAATGACTTTGGGTTGGCTTCTTATTTTAGTAGGTATTAAACTATTTCTAAATTGTTATATTAACAAGCAAAATGTAATGGAGTCCAGTCATCTAAATCTCTTTAGATATTATATATTAATACTTAATGTTAATATCAATGTAGATACTAGGATTACTCAGTAATTCAAAGACTTTATCCTTGTCATTTTGTTGTACATGATGGAGTAATTACTCACTAATTTCTCTACTCTACTTCCAATAATTTTTCCAAGCCACTTCCTTTAAATCAAAAACTGGAACTTCGAAATTTTCTAAATTCCTACAATCAATCTAAAGTCCAGTGTCTTTATTTAAAATTAAAAATTTGCGATTATCCTCACTAATTTTTTCTATCGACCTTGGCAAATCTTATGAGTATGCCTTTTCAAAAGCATCATAACATTCTTGTGAAAATCTAATTAGAAATTTCTATTACTATTAGATATTAGGAACAGCAAATTCATTCTATTCAACCAAATCGAACTAATCTAATGACTCTGATACTTAATGAAACCTTTTTAATTTTTGCTATAATCAAACTCACACAATTACTTCTTTAGACATTATGAATATATATTAATTTCAAGAGAAATAAAGTTATTTAATTTTAATTTGCTGTTTAAATGAGAAACTTATCAATCAGAAAAATTACATTTTCTTGAATATTTGCTCATTAATATGGAACAATTGTTGAAAATTGAAAAATTTTATAAATAACTAGGTGAATTTTACAATAAAACATATGAAATTCAATTTTATTAATCTTATATTTTTGTAGTTAATCCTTTAGCAGTAGAACGAGCAGCCATCTAATTTAAATTAATTTTATACATTTTATGAAGCCATCATCACAGATTTTTAAGAAGGACTTGTAGTCATTCTACCAAGAGCATCTTATTGAAATTTTCTCTTCAATTCCTCAATCTCTCTTTATTTAGCTGCTACTTCATCAAATTTTTTATTTAATTATTATTCCATATTGCCTAACTGTCTATTTTTAGTTTCCATATCATCATTCCTAATAATTAAATATCAATATTTACAATCTTTAAATTTCTCTCTTTTATTTAATTACTTATTCACTATTCTATTAATCTCTTTATTCAATATCCTTTAATTAATTCAATGTTCTTTGTTATTCTCTTTTCAAATTTTCTAATTCTGTACTCATATTATCATTCTCTTTTTTTTTATTAACTAATTATTATTGAATATCTTGGTAATTTGATTTATATTATGATAATTCTTCTTATAAGTGATTAATCTCTTTATAATTAGCTTATTATTATGTTTCTAATTTATTGATTAATTATTCTTGATCCATTGATTTAATTTTATATTGTTCAGCTTCTTTTTTTACTTAATCATAGTCAGATAAAGGAACATTATTTTATTTAAATTATCTCTTCCATTAGTCCATTTCTTAAATCTTAGCCTCTCTATCTTATCTAGTTTCTTCTAATTCATCATTTAATTCTGTAACTTCTTTGGTTAATTATTAATTTTGAGCATATTATTCTTCAAGTTAACTTTATAGTTCTGCAATCTATGTTTCTTCGTTTTATATTTGTTCTTCATTTTGAAGAATTGTTTATTAGTTTTCCTCAATTTATTTACTAAAGTTTGTTATTTGTTCCTATTGTCTTCTGATTTACTCAGAAGTTGTAATGTTTAATTATTTAAGATCCTTCTCTAATTTATCTTTTTCTACAGAAAGTTTTTGAATTTGACATTATTATTAATAATTTTGATCATCTAATTCTTAAATTCGTGATCTTTACTAACCCATCTTATCAAATATAATTTTGATTTACTGTTCTAATTCATTTTTCTCATTCACAAATTAAATTCTTTGACTTTCTAATATATCATCTCTTTCCCTAACATCACTTGATAATCTATCCACTTCTACTTAATATTCTTTTAATTTTTGTTACAAATCAGACATCTAATTCTTTTATATTCTTAGAGTTGTTTAATTATAGGTTTTTTCTTTGTTCAATTGAACACTCAAATTTTCAGATATTGTTGATTTTTGTAACAATTCTTGTCTTGTTTCTTCTAGTTATTATAATAAAGTAGAATTCTATTCTTCAATTCCAGCAATTTTCACCTATAAGGACTTTATATTAGATTCTCCCATAAGCTTCTCTTGTAACTATTTAAAACTTTAATTTTAATGTTCGTTTTCCATTCTTTCAATTTCCTAAGTCAATTCAGAAATTCTTAGTTCATTCAATTATTGAATTTATTAAAATTCTTATTCTTTTTATCTCAATATTCCTTTGCTTCTTTCCATCATCCTTTATTCAAAATCACCTCTAGTTTATTTGAAATCATCTAATTAAGATTTATATAATTGCAATGCTTGTTCAGTTTAAAGCAAACGTTATTGAAGAATAATACATTATTCAGATGATTAATTTGTATTTAATGATAAATCTTTTAATTTCTTATCCTTTTCAATTATGTCTTATTCTTATTATTGATTTGTATGAGACAATCTTGTAATCTCTTTCTATTAAACTTGATTTATTGATTTTAATTCTTATAGCTATTTCCAAATATCTTAATTTTGTTATGTCAAATTTTGAATAGATTATTCATGTTATTAATATAATTTTGTAGTTTATTCTTCAGCTTATTAATCTTTACTTTATACTATATTAGTAATGCTTTCTTCATATTATTTTTCCAATCTGATGTATTTCTCTTTTGAAATATCTAAATCAGTAGTCACTCTACTAAGTTCTATTTGAATTTATTCTATTTTTTTCAGGAGAAGCTACTCTTATAATTCTTTATCAGCTATAATCTACTTTTCAATATTGGATTATTTTTGGAGTGATTCAATTTATTGTTTTTATTCACTTATTTTAATTAAAAATTCTTAAATTTATTATTTACAATCTAATAGTTATTCCTGTGTCTATTTTTCTAAATGTTCATTTTCTTTCAATCTTTCACTTTACAATCTACTAAAATGATCATATTATTGCTTTTGATCTTGCAATTTTTAATTCATTTCAATTATGTACTTATTCATTAATGACTGTTAGAGCTATTCATATTATTCTCTAAATTTAAACGCTAATGTATTACTTGAGGTTTTCAAGGGAAGATTAATATTATTTATTCTATTATGTTAACTTCTACTTATTTAGTTCGTTTTCTTGAAGCTTAAATTATAGATCTCCTTTTAGTAATTCATTTTCCTTCAAAAGTCTCAGATATTCATTGTCTTAAGTTTCCTTCATCTGATTCTAAAGATGTAGGTTTTTATTTGCCTTTTCTAATTCCAAAAGGGTCTCATCAAGTTAGGACTACAATTCTAAAATTACAAATATGTTGGGTACTTGCGTTTATCTTATCCATTTGCAATAGTTTCTCCTTATATTTTAGGTCTTGTAATTTGAGGGTCTATTCAGATTACATACGAGTTCTAGATAAAGGAGACACAGAAGGTCTATTTGGAGAATGATCCATGCTGTTAAAATATTTTGAAAATTATTGTAAAAATGAATATGAAAATTGATATAATTTTTATATACTATTACAAAATAAGTTTGGATTAGTTGTCATTTTTAATAAGAAATTAATTAATCCATTTTATATAATAATTGAGATTATGGCATTTTTAGTTAAATTTGTTAATACATTTTAATATATATTAACATTTTACTTATATAATTATAATCAATATAGACCATATACAATAGTGGTATTTCACATAGTATTTAATAATTTTTATTCGAGTAATTTGATTGTCTCAATCTATATAATATTTTATTAATATATATTACATATTATTTAATTTATTATTCCTAATTTTAAATTATTTTACTTGTTTATTCTTCTACTAAGAGTCTATTTTTTTTCTCTTCTGCCAATTATTTTTATAGTTAATTATCATTGTTCATAATAGGTTGATAAAAATTAGAAGAGGAATTTAATTCAGAAGATAAGATTTTCATTAAATTATCACAATTATCATTCAATTAATTTTGCCATTGTGACAACAGACTTGATTTAATTTATGTTAATTTTTTATGGGTCATTTGTTCTCCAATAAATCTTAGATTTTTGAGAATTTTGTTGATTTAATCATCTCGAGGACTTCTCAATCTTATACTTACATCTCCAAGATCATCACTTGTATCTTGATTTTTAGATTTTGCTTACTGAATATTTTGAGAAACATTATTAGTTTCCAATTTAGACAATTAAGATAGAGTATTAAAATGATATTTTGTTTTAAATGGAGTTGTTTTATTAGGAGAATTTGGAGTTTCTGCTCTAAATGTTTGAAATTCACATGTTGTTTTAGATACCTTATGTTATTGAAATTTTGATTTTGCTTTAGTTGAAAGCAATTAAGAAATGATAGAATTCTGATTAGAGAACATCCCAATAGACACTTTTGGATTATTTATACAATTAGATTTGTTCTGTTTACTTGAGTTTTTGGTGTTTAACATATTAATATTTATATTTTGTTGTTTTAATTGTTGTAAAATGTCATAAGTATTTGTTGATTTCTACATTCTCCCATTTCGAACATGGATAAATATGTTTAATTTTTTCATATCTAAACTTCTCTATTATTTTACATGTGGTGGATTTCTCAACTTCTACTTCATATTCTTATCCTTTTGCTTAAACCTAATTAAATCCAATTTAAGCTAAAAAGTAATACCTTTCTGCGATCAAATTAAAAGATTAGAGTACCAGATCTATTCTTAACTTTATGAGCTATAAGATCATAAAAACTAAGTTTATGTGGTAAAATCATTCCATTGGCAACTATTATCAAATCTTCTGGACTAAACTCTGTTAACTAATATTTCATTTAAATCAACAAATACAAAACCAAAATCTCTGATGATTTCTCTTCTAGCCATTTCTAAGAATTCCAATATTGTCATTTTCTTCTTGATTCTCAAAGATTTCGAACATGTTGAAGCATCCCAATATTAGAATTAAATATCAATAAGAGAATCCTTTTATGATTCAACCTCCTTCTAATATTATTCTAAACAAAAATTACTATAAAAATACATACCTGTTAATTGTCTGGTCATTTCTTCAATTTTTCGTTCTCTATTCATATCTGGCAAATATGTTGTATCTACATGTTCATTTTTACCATAACTTTTTTATGGACTACCTTCTTCATCTAAATCAAAGGACAATAATGTAGTCTTCTTCTAATATTCTACTTTTCGCTTTTATTTGAGTTCCATTTTTTTTTTAGTTTCCTCTTCTTATTTTTATTTCATATCCTGCATCACAAGATTATCAATATTCTCCCTCTTTCTTTTAAATTCTTCCCGAGTAACTAGACCCACAGTCTTTTATTTAAATTCATCTTCCAAAAAGTCTTTATTTGATTAACCAAAACGCTCCTAATCACAGAGATTTCAATTTTCCTTACTTTTATATTAGTTGGTGCCCTCTTTAACGACATCATTTCTTGGTCTTTTTTCAATTTTTCAATCTCATTAATGTCAATGTCTTTATACATTTAATATTTATATATAATTCAGTGATTTATACAATGTTTAGTAGGCAACCCCATTGATAATAATTGGATACATTATTAACATTTATATTTGCTAATCTTATTCTCCTTTTACAATGTATTTTTTACTACTCTAACGGGTGAACCTTTTTTCTTCTTAGTGCATAGTTACTATCTTACTTCAGCCTTTATTTATTGTATATTGACTCTAGTTAATTATTATGAAATTACATTTCAAGTGCTTTATGACTAGGCTTCAATTTGGCATTCTTTTCAATTTCCTTTGTCTTTTATTCAAATCGTATTCTTGCCTTTACTTCATTTAAATCTTCTTGAGTAAACAATTGTGATTGTACTTTGATATTTTCTGTTTATTATTTATTATCTTCTATTTAAGAAAATCGTCTAGTCATTAGTGATCGTTTACTAGATTATGTATATCGAGCCCAACGATCAATTGTTTTACATTCTTCCATACTATTATCCTATTGTTATTGTTTCTATAGTAATTCATCAAAATCATTAAGAATAGCATTCAAGGATAGCATACTTTGTTTCTCCGTTATAATTTTCTTATTCATTAATTAAATGCACAATAATACATAAGCTCAAATAGTAACAACAACATAGAATGCTCGTCTATTAGAATTAGTGTAGAATAGCAGAAAACTTATACATGAAGGATAAATCTAAATTTGTTATATGCCAGATGCTAAGATTTATTTTGTAATGATCAACACCTATTGTCAAACAATCTTTCCTAGCACTCCTTGGGTTATTCTTAAGTCTGATAAAGGATATTCCCTTCTATACCCTAATGCCACTGCTGGTATGGCTATCATTAATATTTAGGATTAAATGGAATTTTCATTTAAAAAGGACAAGAAGGAGATTTCTTTTTAAATACACTTCAACAATTAGTGCAAATAATTCCATTTGAAAATGCCATCCAAATACCTTAATTCAAATAAAGCATTCAACTTCATTGTAAAGATATCGATATCAATCCATTGGAGAATAGTACTGTAGCTGTGGGTTATATCAAGGCTGGAGGAGAGTAAGATTTATACTAATTATTAAAGAGCTTTGAAAGAAGGTTTTAGTTGGTTAGGTGATAAAATAGCAAAAGGTGTAGCAGCAGGTGGAGAATACATCAATTCAAAAGTAGAGAAAAAGGAGGATGTTGAAGTTAAATAAGAAACAAAGATTAAAGTGGAAATAGCTAAATCTAAGTTTTCAGAGACTGTTGATGTTACTGGTGCATATCTAAAATAGTTATTCACTCCTGTTGTTTAAAAAGGATCAGAAATAAAATAAGATATTAATAAATAGATTGATACTTCCGATAGTTAAGGTAATTAATATTAATATCAATCTTAAAGGACTCAAAGAAGGTCGAGAAATATTTGTTGCTAGTTGGGATGCAATGGGAACTGCTTTGACTGGTTTAGGATCTGCATTATCAAAAATTGGTGATCAAATTGGAACAAACACTAGAGTTATAGTTGAAAAGAAGTATGGATAAGATGTTTCTGAAACATATTTGGGTCCAAAATAATAATAATAATAATAATAATAATAATAATGATTTGCACAATAAATTTATTACTTTCATTATTCAGCTGCTTCCTATTTGGCTTTCCATTCTTTCTCTTATTATAAGGCATAATCAATAGTTCTCTAATTTAAAAAATAATATCTTTACCTTCTTATTGTTATATTAATAAACCCAAAGCCATGGATAATAACAAAGACCAAAAATCACAACAGAATCTAAATTTCCTAATGAATTATTTACTTGCAAAAATGTAAACTTACCAAGCCCAAGGATTGTCAGCTACATTTCTACCTAAAAATCTCCATAAAGCCTTAACTTTAGGATCGCTATTCAAACGAGACACTACTTAAGGTTTTCTTACTACTATAAATCTCATTTTATACCAAATGATGGCTTCACTGTTTATTAGTAGGGTATAGTCTTGAACCATTGAGGAGTATAATCCTTAACATTGTTATAAATGAGACGACCGTACACCATATCTAATTAATATTAATTTAATTTATATGATTGACAAACAAATAATCAAAGAAGGTATTGGAGACACTCCTAGATTATACGATGAAGTTTTCTGTAATTTACATTTCTATAATCTTAGTCTTTTTTATTGCTCATAATTATTAAGGAGAATTATTAACTTGTTCATAAAACACTGCTACTAAGACAATTATTGGAAGAGGATGGTTGTAACCTAATATTGAAGAAATTCTTAGTAAAATGAAATAAGGAGAACGCAGTCTTATTAAGATTTATCATACACCTTCCACCAAAGTATTACAAATAGTTATCAAAGGAATTTTATGATCAATATGAAATCGAGATTATAAGAATAGGGAGAAAGTTGAATAATCCATGGCATCTAGAAGGAGAGGAAGTATATGATAAAGCTTTAGAATTAAAAGGGTTAGGCAATGCTGATATCAAATAATAAAAATATCTAGAAGCCCAAAATAAATATTTGGAATCATTAAATTTAATAAAAACAGAATATTGTGATAGAGAATAAGAATTATAAGGATAATTACGATCTAATCTATCTCTAACATATTTGAAAAATAAATAATTTGAATAATGCATTAAATAAGCTACAAATGTCTTATAAGTATAACCTGAAAATGTTAAATTATTACATAGAAGAGCTGTGGCTTCAATTTAAATAGATGATTTTGATAGTGCTAAGTAAAAATAATATTAAATATATATAGATCTGATTTAAAATTGGCAAATTAATTGGATCCTTAAAATGAGGAAGTAATAAAAGAATTATAGAGTATTGGTGAGAAAGAGAAATAGATTAAAAAGAAATAATAGGAGAGAGCTAAGAAAATGCTTTTTGGAGAATGAAGCATTAATAATAATATGTTGATATATATTACTTTTTTTAAATATTTTAATAATTATAGTGATTTTGAATAAAATTTATGAATTCGTAGTACATTTTTTATAATTGCATTTGGATGAAAATTATGAAATTATAAACTAATTTAGTTTGCTTTGATTTTAAATCAAGAATAGAATAGGGTTCAAAATTATATTTATTTATTCAGATCGAATATTATACAAATTGTATTCTAAAATATAATGCATAATTAGATTATTTTATAAGGTATGATGTAGTACATATTTAGAATATATAAATGAAGGTCAAAGTTATTGTTTAATAATCAAATATTAAAATACTACTTATGATATTTAATAAAATTCACTATTCTGATAAAGGTGATTTAATAGAATATTAATAAAGAAATTGAATTATTTAATCAAAAATCTCCTTCAAAATTTTAGTATATTTATTTACAACTTTAGTTTGATCTGACAATTAATTAATGCCATTTCTATAATAAATGTAGGAATTGAATTATTTTAATTACAAAAATAATGAATAATTAATCATCTGATCAAAAATTTGTCGAAATTCTGACACCAGTTTTATCAGATCAAGAAGAAGACACATAGAATAATAAAACATAATAGCATGCTTTGTAAATGATTAATGTTATAATTAGGTAATTTTTATATATATCTCCAAATTTGTATATTAAATTATGGCCTGAAATTAAGAAGTAGCTAAGCTTATTAAAAACAACTTAAAAGAATTTAACACCATTTAATGTGTAATCAACTTTGGAAGAAATTTATAGTTTGCATTTTCCTAATGTACAATTTTTTTCATTAAATTAGCCTTAACAAATCAAGAGCAAAATTAATTTCAGAAATTTTTATCTAGCTTTAGATGGTTTTCCATAAAAAAAAGAATTCTTAGATAAAATACCATAAATAGTTGATTTGGCTCTAAAAATGGATTCAGAATTTACCGATTATTTAAGTATGCTCTTAGAGAAAGTTGAATTAAAAAGAATATAAGTGGCAATTTTATTGGCAAATATGTTTTTATGTGTTATGCATTTATAACCTGATTATAAATTATTACCTCCTGTTTTCATAATGGGAAAATTATTTAACAGATAAAATGAAGAAAATGGATAAAATACTAATAAAATTTAAAAGATAAGATGTTTGTTATACTATTTTTTACATGTATTTTCACCTGAATTTAAGCCTTCAGAAAAAATAGTATTTACAAGAAAAAAGCAAAATTTAACAATACATTGTAATCCCTTATGTGAATTTATTTATTGTGAATATGGATAAATGGAAAATGTATAAGATTGTTATATAGTTGATTTTGCAAATAAGAAAATAGGAGGTGGAGTTCTTAATCTAGGATGTGTATAAGAAGAAATATTGTTTCTGACTCATCCAGAAGCATTAGTATCATTATTAATAACTACAGAAATCAAACCAGATGAATCAATTATTATTGAAAATGTCAATAGACTCATTATGTATGAAGGTTATAGAGATAAATTTGAATGTAAAGGAATTATTAAATAAATTCGTAGTGTCAATTTTATTGTAAGAAATTTAATTATATATTATAGTGTATAGATGCAGGAGATTATTCTGGAAGTTATCATTCATAATATAAAGATTACAAGAGAGAATTAATCAAATCTTATAGTGGATTTTATGGAATATCTCGTATATGTACAGGAAAATGGGGTTGTGGAGCTTTTGGAGGTGAATGGTAATTAAAAGCATTAATTTAATGGGTTGCTGCATCTTTAGGAGGATGCCAATAATTAATATTCATCAATGATGAATCTTATCCATATAATTAAGCATTCAATTTACTTAGAGTCTTAAATTCAAATTAATTATGGGAATAAATATAAAAATATTGTTAAAATAAATCAAAAGATGAATTTAACAAAATAAATGCTATTGATTTTATATTATCTTAAAAATAATTTTGAGTTTTAAGTTATTTATATATATATATAAGAATAAATTGATGCGTCATTCATTATCAAACCGTAAGGGTATATAAATTAATGCAATTAGCTGTTGATTTTCAATAAATTAATGAAATTTGTCTTGATCTTGATTAGCTTGTGTATATAAATACATGCCATCACTCTATAATTACATTAAGTTGGAGGATGCACTTGTGAAATGTCATCTGTATAAACAGAATGCATTCCTAGTACATGTGATTGGAATGCTACAACCTCAAAATGCACTCAAAAAACTTGTGATAAATTTACAGTTGAAATGTGTGATCAATTACCTGATTATCTGAAATGTGCTTGGAAGGATAATTCATGTTAAACATTCACAAAATGTTCAGATTATGCATATAGTGATGGATTCAAATGTTTTAGAGTAGGTCCTTGTTAAGCTGTTTTTAAGAAGAATTCATCAGGATTATATCCATGCACAGATAAAACAAATGACTCAATGCATAGTATTGATTCATGTGCTGGAATAGATTAAGTAGGATGTATAGAAACAGTATAAGATGATGGAAAAGTTTGCTATTGGAATCCAAGCACATCTACTTGTGAAGCTTGGAGTAGTAGTGCTTGCAGTAATTTTGATAATACAAGTTAATCTGCATGTCCAAAGTTTTCTTGTGATTATAATGCTACAACAGGTAAATGTACAACAAGAACTTGTGATATAATTACTGTTGAAGCTGCTTGTACTATGGTTTGGGATATCACATAATAAGTTGCTACCTAATGTAAATGGGTAAATTCTAAATGCATGGAATTTGATTATTCCACTTTGACATAATCTACATGTTTAATGGGATCTAGTTTATCATATAAGTGGAATTCATCAACATCTAAGTGTGAAGTATGTGCATAACCAAAAAGTGATGACGATACAGATGATACATCATATTCTAATATGGTTTAAGGAGTCTTAGCCATATTGATGTTTATAAATATATGAAATTATTAGAATATTGAAAATTCCGTTTGTCTTAAATTTTATTTCTAATTATAAATATAATTTCTTATTAATACTGTTATCAATAATTAGTAATAAAATAAATTTTAATCATTTTTACTTTAGTTTGTTCAAACTTCCATTTTTCATCAAATCATAAATCTGATTCTTTAAAGGTTGTTAAGTTTAAATTAATCGATTATAACTTAATATTATTCCAGTTATTAATGCCACTGAATCTTATATAGCTAATGCAGAAGCTTTGCATTAAAATTCTCCTATTTGATACTCTGAACACTATTATAAGAATGTTTCTTATAATGAATTGTCTATATTTTAATCATCATTTTTTAAATAATTCTCTCTTAATTTAGCAATTCTCTTTGCTGTTTCAATGATATCCAAAATACATTAATTTTATTATTCAAACTTGTTTTTATATAGTAAAGTTAGTATTCTTCTCATTTCTTTAGGATTATTTATTAAATTATATTCAAACTTTTTAGTCATCAAGCATCTTATAATTTCAAAAATATTTGGTATATTGGGAAAAAAATTCTTCAAATTTTCCTAAAGAATTCTGAGTGATTCTTATCTTACTCTATCAATTTATTGATTCTCATCAACCATCCCTTCAGAAAACATAGATATAACTATGTAAGTAAATACATTAGTATATTCTCTAAAAGAAGTAGGACTTGAATTCAAATTATCCAAAAGATTCTTACAATTATCAAAATCACTATGCTTAACAATTATATTTTTAAGATGCTCAATTGCTTCCTAATCTAAGTCTTACATTTATAAAACTTATGCAAATTTCAAGTGGTATTTTTCAACATCTTCATTTAAATTAATTGCTTTCTAAATATAAATGACTGATTGCTCAAAGTTTTGCTTCATATATAACAATTATCCAAGTTCAAATAGTAATTCAGAATCTTAATCATTAATTTTAATTGCTTATTAATAATCTGAAATTGCTTCATCAAATTCTTAAACTTATGTTCTGATTTTAGCTAATATTATGAATTATATATATATACCTCTTTAAATATAAAACTAAGCATTGTCACCTTGTAATGATATTGCTTAATCATATAATAATTTAGCATCTTTATAATTTCCTTATTTATTTTATAACTCTGCCTTTTCTGCATAAAAGATTGGATTTTTAGGTTTCATCTTAATCAATCTATCGTACATATTTGTGGCAGGTTAAAAATTACTATTATCTCTATATGCATTAGCAATTTTCAACATGAGATCTTCATTTTTTGGCTTTAATTACAATGCAGAATCAAAATTGTTTTTAGCAGAAAAGAATTATTATCCAAGTAAATGACAATAACCTAATGTATTTTATATTTATAAATACCTTTTTCATAAAATAAATCAGATTTCTCCGAAGTATCCTTTAATTATTTCAAAATCATATCATAACACTAAACTGCTTAATCATATTCTTTAAGTTATGTTAAACAAATAGCTATTATATAATATTTTTATAATACCTTTATTTTTAAGGGCTATTATACTTGTTGAGTCATAAATAAGTGTTTTGTTAAAGTCTTCAATAGCCATTTAATACTCTTTTTGATTCATAAGGGCCAATCCTCTATAATAATGTATTGATTGATCTCCTAATCCTAATTGAATAATCTTATCACAACAATCACTCAGTTAGTAATAGAGTTATAAAGTTGAACTGATCTTTATTATCATTTTTAATGTTTTTATATCATAAGGATTTTAATGAATAATCTAATTAAAATATGTCATAGCCTTATGTAATTGATTGTTATGATAAAGACACATACCCATTCCATAAAGAGAATCAATATTGTTTGGATCATACTCTAATACTTCTTAACAATATTTGATTGATTTATCAAATTATTTTAATCCATAATAGGCTTAACCTAAAATGTATAAAATTATGACTTACTTTTACAATTTAAGACAACTGATTTTACTTTAGGAATCGACTAATCTCCTGCACCATCCAAAAATTCAAAAAGTTATTCATATTTCTTTTAACGTAAATATATATTAGTAATAGCGTTTATTGCGTCTGCATATTTTGGGTCTACTTTTAATGCTTCCTCATAGTATTGTAGACCTTCATCAAACCTTTGTTGTCCTATGAGTAGATGACCTATAATTATATTAACCACTTACCATAGTTAAGCAAAGCTGCTTTGTCCTTTCCTTTTATTGTTAAAGCCTTTTTGAAATATGGATCAGCGATTTCAAAATTATTTAACATTAAATTTATAAAACCAATTCCAAAATTTCCTTCAAATGATTTCTCATTCAACTCAACTAGTTTATGAAATATGGTTAAAGCTTCCTCATACTTTCTCTCTAATGTATATATGTTTGCTAATTTGAATAATAAACTATACCTATTTCTGCAAGAGCATGATAATGTTGTGTATCTATGTCAGTTGCAGCTTTACAATAAATAAGGGCCTATTATAAATCATTGAGCCCAAGATAAGCTAAACCTTTAGAGTAAATTATCAATATATACCTTTCAAGTATTATGCATCAGCCAAATTAGGATTTTACTCTATTAATTTGTCTAGACTCTCAATTGCTTATTTATATTATTGTTTCTTTAAGAGTCCAAAGGCTAATTTATAAGGCAATATGTACCTTTGCTTAATTGAGAGTTATTTTTATAGGTAAATATTTAAGGAGAACCTTCAGCTTTTCCAATTGCTATGATTATCAAAAAATATAAATACAAGTTTATGATGATTAATGATGTTCTATCTCATTTATTTCATCTTTTTTTTCTTTTGTAGCCCCACTTCCCATTATTAAATTTATTAATATGTATTTTGCTTCAATATGAAATCAAACTTTATAGCGTTAAAATTTGGAAAAAACGTAAAGAATAATATTATTTGTTATATTAATACCAAATGCTTCAATTGACATTATACAAACGGAATAGTTGTTATTGGCATAAGTTAAATTATTTTTAATACTATCTCTCATTTATTCGATTTTTTTGTGATAATTTAATTATATTGAGTAAACTACAAGAAGATTAAATTTATATCAGTATTTTGAAAAAATATCTAGTTTACTAATGATATTTCCTTGTATATACACCTTAAAGTAATTGAATAATAGAAGCTAGTTAAGTATTTTACAATAGAATTCTTAAAATATGGACTTAATTTTTGAATATCAGTAAAAATCGGTCTTTCTCATATATTCATTATAAGAAAAATAATCAATAAGTAAGAATTTGATAAATGCAAGTTTAATAACTGAGATCTATTTTTCAACATTTTATTAAATCCATTATGTCTTACTATGAGAAGAAGAAATTTTGTATGATTATAAAGTAATATTTATAATGTAGTTGCAGCCTCTTCTTAAAGTTTATGTATGATAATACATAATAATTTTGAAGTTATTAATAGTATTTTCTAGAAAGAAATTTTCTTCAAGATATATGAAAATTCATATTAAAGTAAATTAGAGTTTCCATTTATATGCTTGTTTCAAAAATGAATAGAAACTTTTAAAAGTTATACTAAGCTTGATCCTATTATATTTCAATATCATTATATTTTCAAATTAGCCAAATGATATCATAAGACCTTTTTTAAGAGTTTATGTATATTTTAGTATTTTCTCTCATATTTATCAATTTATAAATACAATAAACAGAAATTGAAAACTAAAATGCAATTCAATTATTATTCAATTGTTTTCAATTCTAATAGAGATATTAATTATCAAATATTTTTTTTCTAATTTATTTCATGAAAATTTATTTCCAAATATTATTCAATGATGATAAATATGAAAATAAAAAGTATAATCACTTTTATATATAAATAATTTTAAGAATATATATTCATTACAAGAAAATATTTATAAAATATGATTGTTAGATCTGATGTATGATTATATACTGAGTTTTAATTGAAATTAGAATAATTATAAATGGCATAATAGAAAACGAAGTTTTTATTAAGAAATATTAAAGAATTATGTAGAGTATAATGAATATATAAAAAAAGAATTAGAAGAAATACATTGAGAATAAATACAATTTATAATTAATATGTCAAAAAATAATAAATTAATAGATGTGGCTAAATATTTAAGAAGGTTTTATTACAGAGTTCAGAATTTCATAGAATATAGGATGTTAGTGAATTAAAAGCATATCTTATTTGTTGGAGGGAATCAAAATCCATTAACTCCTATGTTATATAAGTAATTTTATCAAAATTGGTAAATTGGGCATCTGGGTTTATAATCTGAATTACCTATTTAACCTAATTTCTTGCTTAATTAAGAAGAAGAATTATAGAAATTGGTTGAACAAGCAAAAAAACATAGTAATCATTATGATGCAATTATAATTTTGGAAGACAATAATCAAATATAATAAGGAGATGATTTTGAGATTTACAATATATATAAAAGTGAGGTCAATAGAGCATTAATAGCTTCTCATTTAGCAACAAAAATACTTGCTTCTAATGGAATGCTGTGTTTTGCAGTAGATAGCAAAAGTTATTTTGAATCAAAATTACCATCTCCATTACCAACAGCAAAAGTGATGAAGGATTGTTAAATTGCACATTTATGTACTAATTTAGGTGAACGAGATGATTTAGAAACTGATTCACTTGTTGTTGGTGCTTTAATTGATGAAGATAAACTAAATGATATTGTTAAATACTTAAAATTATGGGCTGATGGAATTAAAAGACCAGCCAGTGGAACATTTGCTCATTTCAAATACAGCACACATTCTACCCCTATTGTTTATCCTGAGTTATTATGATGATAAAATAATATATATCATAAATATATATGATTATTAATATGCAAAGAACCGTGATGCCCTTGTAGCTCAGTTGGTTAGAGCGCGAGTCTCATAATCTCGAGGTCGTGGGATCGACCCCCACCAAAGGCATATATTTTTTATTATCAAGAGAAACACTCATATCAAGGTAAGAGTACTAATTTTTTAAATTAATTTTATATATTAATAATAATAAATGCAAAAGGTTTTAAGGTTTCACTTTGGTGTCTTATCAAGACCTAAATTGCACATTTATGATAAGGGTGGCAAACATACTCCATCAGGAATCAGAGCAACAATACATGGGGGTACTAGTTTCTCAGGTATATACATGGGTGGCATGCTTGGGAATATTGGTTCAGAATTAATATTTCCTCATAATCATCAGTAATTATTCACATGGATCAAAATAGATACAATTATGAAGATCATGTTAGAGAATTAAAAACTACTTCAGGACCAGGATAAAATTGGCTTTTACATGATATGAATTATGATAATAAAGAAATGATAGAATGGACTATGAAAAACTCAAATGTTGTTGTAAATTTACTTGGACCTAGAAAACATCTTAAAAATAGAAAAGATTTTGAATGGATTAATATAACAGTCCCAAAAAGAATAGCTGAAGCATGTGCTAAAAATCCAGGAGTAATAAGATTAATTCATTTTTCTGCTTGTGGTGCAAATCCTCATGCAGAATCCCTAGATCTCTAAACAAAATATATTGGTGAATAAGAAGTATTATATTTTTACAATAAATATAGGTTCTTAATGCTTTCCCAAATGCTACAATCTTTAGACCAAGTGTAATGGTTGGAGACAATGATGACTTTGCTTATCATTGGCAAGTATAAAAGAGATATTTTCATAACTTTAACATTGTTCCAGATAATTGTCAAGCCAAAAGATAACCTGTATATTATTATTTTAGATTCATAGATATTTGTTTAAGATGTAGCATAAGCCATGTTGAATGCTTTGAAAATGCCAGAAACAATAGGTTAAACTTATGAATTAGGAGGACCTCATGTTTATACATTATTAGAATGTTATGAGATGTTCCATAATATTGTATAAAGACCTCCTAAATTAGCTCATATTGATAAATAATTATTATTGAAAATAGGTATTATATATATATATATATTAATTTTTAGCTTAATATATACCTAATTGGAAATATTTCAATATTGATTATATATTGAAACATGGTGATGACATGATAGTTTAACAAGGATCAAAAACTATTGATGATTTGTGTGTCAGACCTTTGTCACTAACTTAAGCTCTTCAAAATATCTTCTGGGATATCTAAGCTCGTTATGGAGGCTCAAGTGAATTATATGAAAGATGAATTCATATGTAATAAGTTATCAAAAATAATCATAATAATATCATTAATATTTCTCTAGTATTTTAATGAGATCTAATTCTGTAACAGGTTTTATAAGATAATCAACCATACCAGCTTCTAAACATATCTGCTTTTCTTGTAAATCTGAATATCCACTGCAACCAATAATCAATTAATTTGGATTGCTATTCAAAATTTGTTTTGTTGTCTGTATACCATTCATAACTGGCATTTCTACATCCATAAAAATTAGTTTGTAACCTTAACAAATTTTATTACATTTCTTTTCTTGAATCTTTAATAATGAATCTTTTCCAGAAAGTACATATTCTACATCAAATTATGATATTGATAAAACCTATTTATTTTGTAATCCCATCATTATCCTTCTCAAAGCATATCCATTAAAACAATCATCATCAACAATCAAATAATGACAACATTATGGAATTGCATCAATAGTTATCTTTTAACAATCTTAGTTAAATGTTGTAGCTTCATCAACTTCCTAATATCTAGGTGTAATTTATGGAATCTTAAAACTTGGGACCTTTTTTTTATTTATTGCCTCTTCTATTAATATATCAAAGTAAAAGAAAGAAAAATGATTATTTTGATCTTTATTAGATTCTATATTCAATCCTGAACAACCAATATTTTAAGCTATTTAATTACTAATAACCAAACCTAATCCTACACCTTATTCATTAAGTTTCTTGCTCTCTTCAGAATTTACTTTTGAGAATGCTTTGAATAGAACCTTTTATTCCTCTTCACTGATTCCTATTCCATCATCTCTTACTCCAATTCTCAATTTTTAATTAGATTATTAGTCAACAATGACTTATATTCTAGTACATGTGAATTTAAATGCATTTCCTAATAGATTAACAATTATTTATTTAATTCTATTTTTATCAGAGTAAATGAATTTTGGAAGAGATTCATTATAATCACATTACAATTGTAAATTCTTTATTTTAGCTTTTAGAGTGAACATTTTAATTGATTCAATTATTAATTTTTCTAAATTGAAAGGTACCTTTTGAATTTTGAATTTTCCATTTTTTATTTGAGCTAAATCTAACAAATCATTAGATAAATTTAACATATATTTTGAATTATCTAATGCTGCTTACAAATCTTCAGTAATTTCTGCATTTTTATATATAACATTTTGTTATAATGCAAATTCAATCATTTATATTATGCATCCTAAAGGTTGTCTATATTCATGACTAACAAATGAAAGCATTTTAGATTTTTAAATATCATATTCTCTTAAATATCTAATCTTTTAACGATGTGTTACATCTCTACAAATTATTAAAATATTTTTATCTGTTTTTAAAGTTAATTTAAATTCCATCAATCTATCAGTATCTTATCTTGAATAAGCAAGATTTTATGATTTCTTTATTGCTTTTTAATTATCAAACATACTGAAATCAATATGTGTATTTGCAGTAATCTAATCTTATCTCTTTGTTTTTATAATCTTTTCTAATAAGTCTTTCATACTAATTATTTATTGTCTTTCTTATTAAGATATATCAACTAGAGGTTATTTTAAAGAACAAAACATCAAATCTCTCATTGGAAATAAAGATTTGCATAATTTTGAATTTGAAAGATTACCGAATTTTTACTGGACAGAACCACTTCTTGAATTATTTTCTTCAAATTATTCCTGATTTTACAAATGTAAAGTAGTTAAGTTTTCTAAAATGAAAAGGATTTCTGCATCTTAATCTTTACCAAAAAGAATCCTTGTAGCATTATTCATGTATGATATTTTATAAGTATGATTTTATTCATCTAATACATTTAATACAATTAAGCCTTCTGAAAAATATTCCAAAGAATTATAAATTATCTCTGGATTAATATAATGTTATTAGATATTGCTAAAATCATCATATTCTCTTTGAAAACTATCTTTTGATTAATCTTAAGAAGGTTGATCTAATATAGAAAGGACTCTTTTGGCTACTCCATCAAGTTTATTTAATGTTTTAGTGTCAATTGGCATAGTAGTTAATTATTAAACTCTCTATCTTTTTTTCTCATGAATTATTAAGTTATCAATGACTGACATTAACAAACAGATAATTAACTGTGGGGACTCTGTAGTAAAATCAATTTAAATATGGGTATACACTTATTAAAATATACTTCCAATCAAAATGGTACCATAATATAGAGACTGAGGATTAATTAATTAATATTTTTAGGGTCCCATTTATCTATATAATTCCTTTGAGATGTACTGACACCATATTAATTATGCATATGATGTAACATTGAGATTTACAATATTCAAAATTATCATACATATAACATCTATTTAAATACAAAGTATAGTTCCAATAACCTTTACCTATTAATTTTTATATCTCAAAATAAACATAGTTATTGTTATTATGCTTGTAATTATCATGCAAAATAGATTACTAGCTTCACTTCTAATGGTATAAAAATATATAGAATAACAAAATGTTAGACTATGTAATAATAACCCTTTCAATAATTATCTGTCTTTCATTATTTATATTCCTTATATTACAATTCAATTAATTATTTATATTAAAAGCCAAACATTTTAGTAAAAATAAATTGTTTCATTTTGATATTTTAATTATTTTTCATGAATTCCATCTATAAGAATTGATAATTAAGTTTATCTAAATTAGATATTTATATTCTCATATTGTTAATTAATTTTGATCAAATATACAAATTAAAAGACATAATTAAATATAAATTATAATAATAGTCAATTTTCTAGGAATAATTTGAATTAGTTATTCGTTACTATTTCTGAAGTTAAGTTGAAATATTTTAACTTTGATTTATTTTTTGGATTTCTATTTTTCTTGTAAATGTAGACTTAATGTTCAAATTTATTTTACTTTAGGAAATAATAATTATATAATTTGAAATATTGATAGTAAAAATATTCTTTTTGTATTTTAAATTATCAATTCCAATTAGAATCTGAATGTTGATTTGGTATAAAATCAAACTTTTTCTATGATCCTGATAAAAAGAAATTTGAATTTGAATTAGTTTTGAAGAGCTAATAATATATAATTTAATTACATCCATCTCTTTTTTGTAAATATCATTTTATTATCTAAATTATTCAATTTAATCATTCTACAATTCTAGAGTCTATAAATGATGATTAATTTCATTGTTTTATGTTTTAACTAATTAATTTAATCTATCTATTTCTCCTTATAAAACAATGATTCTATTTTCTAATCCAAGTTTAGTCTATGTTAATTAAGAACAAGCCATTTATAATTGTTCTCTATCTTTTTTGATCATATTTAATTCTTCACATAATTATTGGATTCTTTAATCTATCAATTCTTTATTCTCCATATCCTATCTATTTCTATTCAAATTTAATGTATCAATGTCTCTTTCACTATAATATAAATAATTTTTAATACAATAATGATCTAAAGGAATTCATTTATTATGTCATTTATGTCATATTTTTTTTATATTCAATTTAAACTTTATTAATCTCCTCATCTTTAACTCTTACCAAATCATTTAATCTATTAATTTCTGCTTATTATCTATATTCATTTCTTCTCAAATCATTAACACAATTCTCTAATCTAATTTATTTATTGCGTAATTCATCTAATTCAATGAGTGAAGAAGTATATTAATGTTTAAATCTATCTGATTCCTACAATTAATTTTCAAATGATTAATTCTATAATAATAATATATATATATTTTTATACTCTCTATTTAATTATTTCCATTTAAATTTCATGATCCTTTAATTTAAGTACATTCTATTCAATTTCAGTATTCCTTCTCTTTAAATCATCTATTTCTCTTTATCTAGAATCTAATTATTCCTTAAGTCTTTTAACTTCACTATCTAATCCTTAAGATGAAATTTGTTAATAATTGAATTCTAAATAAGAAATTTTCTACTGAAGAGAATCATTCTCTTATTATTTCATTGTATTTTATTATTACAATCTTTCAATTTCTTTAATCTAATGCAAATTAATCAATTCTAATTCATTAATACGTTTTGTATGATTCATTTGATTGAGTTCTTCTTTATGATATTTTTATCTCCAAACTTCTGCTTCATTTATTGCATTATCCAATTCCTCTTATAATTTCATAATCTAATCATCAAATTGTTTACTTCTTATTTCAGAACTATTTAATATAATAATAATATTAAACTTTTATTTGATTTAAGAGAATTGCTAATTGTAAATTCGATCATATTCACTTTTTTATTTATCTATTTATTATTATGATTAAGTTTCAAGAATTTAATACTTCTACTTTAATTACTCATACTCACTGAATAATTAATTGTATTTAGTATCCTTCTCATTATTATGAAATTACTATTACTAAATCTTTTACATTTACTATTCATTTTATTTGAGTCTCAGAATCAATTCCTATAATATATTAATAAATAAATTATTATTACATTTTTCTCCAACTCTGCTTATTATGATTGATTAAAATAATAGTCACATTATTCTTTAAGCAATCTAAGATTTGGATCATTAGTTGATTTAAGTCTTTCAATTTCTAATTGTTGTTATCTAATTTTTTCATTGAGCTGTTAAAATTTATCATTTTTCTGATCTTACTCTATTTTCTATCTACAAATAAAGGATTCTTATTCTAATTATCTAATTTTCCTTTGCAATTCCTAATCATATTATGATTATTGAGGTGGTTGGAAGGTTGGTACTGAAGTATAATGATTAAGTGGCACTTCAACTACTTCATAGATTTTGGGTTTGAGGACTGTTTTCATTCCAGGAGGTGGTTAAAGATTTCCCATTACCTGAAACTTTGACACTGGAGATACTGATTTATTTGGAGGACCTTATATGATCTAATGTCTCATTGGACTTGTATTATTATACATTATTTTAATGTTAATATTATTTTATGTATGCATTTCTCTATCTATAGGAGGATCTACATTAATGTTAACTCATTTATTCTTTTTTGATAACCTTAAGGTATTTGCTTAAAGAATCGTTGCATGCCTCTCAATATCAGATTGTTTTTATGCTTTCGGATTACTTTTGTATGTGGAACCGTCATTTGATGGTTATGATATTACTAGGTTATTTTTATTCATATTATAAATAGATGTACAATACAGGGAGCTGTGACTTAATTTGCAAGAATTTGTGCCTTTCTTTGGAGCACATCAATTTCATATTTTCTATATGTATCAATTACAAGAGGGTAAAAGTAATTGATTTATTTTTAAAGATATGAAAAATTCATTTTAATCATAGGTAACTAATATCTTCAAATAGGTTTCGCTATCCCATGTTTAATGGCAACAATTCCTTTGTTTTTTCAATCTTATGCACCTACACCTGCTAAAGTACCTGCTATATGTTCAATTAATTCAAATGATGAAAATAAATCAATTGAAAAGAATAGGAGTTTAAGTTTATATCTTAATCTTACATTATTCTATATACCATTACTTTTATCTTTAATAATATCTGTCTATTTCATATTGAGATCATATTTTAAGATAAAAAGAATAAAAAGTTAATACGAATTATTAAATAAACAAATAAATATTCAATTGATGTTTGCACGTAATTTAATACTCTATCCATTGGCTTTATTTATTTGCTGGTTGCCATCTCAAATAATATTTCTGATATTTGTATTTAAAAATACTTGGATAGAGTAAATATAATAAGATTATTTTATTAATTAAACTGGAACCTATTATTACATAAGAATTATATAATATGGAGCTAGTTTCTTATAAGGATTCTTTAATAGTCTTGTATACTGGTTCAATAGTTATTAAATGAGAAAGAGACTGAACATATTAGAAAGGGCTAATTTAGAATATTAAAAAACAAAAACCTTCCTCTCAAACAACAATGAATATAATGAAAACAGAAGTAGTAGCTAATTATCTAATAGTTTCGAAAATCTTTAAGAAATTTGATAATTTTTTTAATTTTTATTTATATTTATCATACTCTATGCAAACAAATCGATCAGCAGATGAATATTTGAGTTTAATAGAAAAGCAAATTCAATTTCTAGAATAATATTATCTAAAAAGTGCAGATGAGACAGACACTTAAATTATATAGAAATTTATTAAAGTCTACAAATACATTGATGAAGCATATAAAGTATTATATATCCATTAAATTAAAGAGTAGTTTCATTTCTGAAGAAGCTTTATTTTAGACTTATGGCTTCTTTTATTAGACAACCAAGAAATTCACAAGAAAATTAGAAAACAAAATATATTATGAGAAAACAGATTACGAAGCTACTCTTGAAAAATTTGAAAGATAATAAATCAAATTAATTCCACTTTATAAAGAACTGATTCTAGATGCTTAAAAACTTTAAAGAATGGATTTAGACACTTTATTAGATTCTAATATGGTTCATCACGTTTACACAAAAAAAGAATTGGGTTAATTTTCACTTTAATTGTTTGATTTCCTAAATTTGGATACAATTAAAGTCCCAAAAAATGTATTAAGTGAATTGATAACAGAAATCATAATGAATTATAATGTTGTACCATATCATAATTTTACTCATGCATTCTAATTATCATAACTATTATTTTCCTGTTACATGAAATCAGATTTGAAGAAATTTTGTAATTAATTAGAAATATTTTCTGCTATATTAGCTGGATTAGGACATGATCTTAATCATAGTAAAGTTATTATTTATATTTTTTTTAGAGGGAGTCAATAATATGTACAAAATTAAAAAATCTAAAAAATTCAATGTGCTAACTTCAGAGATTGCTGTTTTAGAAAATATGCATTGTGCAACTTTTTTCAATATTATTTAATTAAATAGATAACATGACTTTTTTTAATATATGACTAATGATGAAGAAAGAAATCTAGCCAAAAGATTAATTATAACATCTATTCTAGCAACTGATATGGTTATTATATAAACTTATTTTATTAGAGTAAACATAATAAATTACTGGCAAAATTTTAGAAAAGAGTAGAATGTTCAAAATAATTTGAATAAGGAGAAAAGAATGAATTAATTGATATGTAAAGATTTTCAAATGAAAGACTTGAGGATCGAATATTCATTTTAAATATTATGGTTCATGCTTGTGATATATCCAATCCAACAATGAAATTCGATAATTATATGAACTGGTCTTACTTATTAACCTAAGAATTCAATGATTAAGTATAACAATTTTAATAATTTTCTATAGACTATCAAAGAAGCTAGAGTTGGAGTAGATATTACAGGATTCTTAATTTATAAAGATAAACCAACATATTATGGAGGTTAAATCTTTTTTTCAAGTAATAGTTAAATTATTACTATTTTAGAAACCTTTGTTTTTCCTTTATGGTTTTAAATTGGTGAAATGTACCCAGAACTTAAATATTTATCAGAAGAAATTAATAAAAATTTAGAAATTTTATAATAAAAACTCAAATAATAATGATTTTTAATATTAATAAAGTTCTGGCTAAATTCTGTACTAATAATCCCATCTAATAATTGAATGCTAAATTCTAAAATTCCAAATATTAATAACTATGTGAATATATGAATAAGCATAATAAATCAACAGGTATCAAATATATGGCCAAAACCATTTTTTCATTAAAAAGAGAATTGGATTCTTAATCTAAAAATATGGAATTAATATAATAAGTGACTAAAGAAATAAAAGTATATTTCTGCATAACAAAAGTTAGGATTTTATGGTTAGCAAAAAATATGATATTCGTTCATATCATTAATTGACATAAATATACAAATATGTATAAGAATAAGAATTTGCTATAACAATCTTCCCAAGAAATAAACTAGTTAGAGAAAAATAAAAAAAAGTGCTTGCTTTACATGAACTAGATAGATTTGATGAATATTTCAATTATACTAAATTAGATTCTCCAGCTTTAAGTTTAATTATTTTTAAACTCAATTAGAACATGAAGAAGAAGCTAGAAGGGAAGATTTAGTCAATTCAAGACTAGATACATTGAATCCATTAGGCTTAGAATTATTTGCATAAAGTCCTGTATAAGCTGTTCTTACAATATAAACACCTTAAATTGATTAAGTGATGCTTCTGACGATTTTGATTAGTTCTGGAAACATAGAATTTAAGGATGTATCAGTATTTGACAACATAAATTTGAGACAAGAATGGCATTCCAAATTATTAAACATTGTAGAGCAATATACTGATTCTTATAGAGCAGATGTGTTAGATTTATCAGATGTATTTAATAATTATTAAAATATTATTAGCCATTCTAAACTAATATTGTTAAATATTTAAATGCTTTTGGATTTGAAGCAGAAGATGCTTACTATTTAGAATTATTAGCTATTCTATCAGAGTAAACGAATTATTTGAATTGGTTAAATGATTTACACAACATAGTATTAGTTAATTAAATACATTCTGCATGAATATGATTATTTATAATAAAATAAAATTGAATGGTTTAATTTATATGAAATCAAATTAAATGTTTTTTTTTATAATTATTCAATATATAAGTTGAGAGTTTATATAAATATAATGAACTTCAAATTTTTAACAGAGTTTTCTTGATGATGACTTTATGCTTTAAATGACTTGTCTTTTGTTGAATTTTGGAATTATAAATGTAAGGAACTGACTCTTTTTTAAGGAAAATAAATCTAAATATAATTTAACAAATAATACCCCAAGGTTCTAAAAGCCTTTAAGAATTCATCATTTTTGGTCATTTGTAAGATGTGGGTGAGGTTACATAGTTTATTTTTGACAGAATGCATCAATTCAAGAAATTATTATCCTTTTGTTTCTCCTAATAATTTATATATAATGAATTGCTATCTTATTGCATAAGCTATTAGAGCCTTCGTAAAATTCTTATGATAATTAGTTGAGTCTAATATTTCATGAGTTTTAGTATTTTTTGATACTTACTTTTTCTTTTTTATGATTTCGTTTTCTTTTTTAGTTTCATTTTTATTGTCTAAACTCTTATCATTCTTTTCGATTACTAGTTCTTCTGTATCATGATTAGATTATTGAATATTAGTTGGCTAATTATCATTAATTGAAATCGAGGTTTGCTCGATATGAGGTTCTTATTGATTTGAGGTTTAGACTGATAAATAATAGACTGGATATACTACTTAAGGCTGATAAAATTGAAAGTAGTAATATGGATGTTAAGAATACAACATTTTTCTGGTTAATATTAACATATGGGATTTAGATATAGAATTTGAATGGCACATTTATAATGGATTTTGCGTTAATTTTTATAATCACAAAAATTAATCATCAAATTAAAATTATTACTAAATGATAATTTATCAATAAAATGACAAAATTTAAAGATATACATTAATTATAATTGTTAAATCAAATTAAAACCTAAACATTGATGAAAATTAATTATAAATTACAAAATAACTATCAAAACTACTATCATGATTTAATTATAATTAACAAAAAGAAATGAATTTTATATTAATAAAATGATATTAAAAAGTTTTATGATAATTTATATATTCATTAAATGTTTCATTCAGCAACTTCATTAGCACCTTCATTAGCACCCTCTCCTTCTTTTACTCCCTCTGCTTATCTGGCTTCTTCAGCTAATTTTGCCTCTTCTGCCAATCTTGCTTCTTCTGCCAATCTAGCTTCCTCTCTTGCCTATTCTTCTTCAATTCTTTTTCTTTCTTCTTCATCTCTTCTTTCTTACAATACTCTAGCAGCTTCATCATAATCTTCTTTTGTTATATCTACTTTATTTATTCTCACCAAATGAAAATAAAACATTAAAATTTCTTATTTGAAATTATCTGCACCCATTTCATCTACTATAGGATTGGCTAACATATTAAGAGTTGTTATTGTTCTAATTTTTGCAATTTTTTTAAAATCATCAAATTTAGCTAATTAATTCTCTCTAAGATTAAGATAATATAATTATGGAAATTCAATAACAGGAGTTTTAATTTTAGTTATCTTATTTGCTCTTATATTTAATTTTAATAAAGATGGTAGATTATTTAGAGATCTAAAATCCTTAAGTTCATTTCCTTATAAATAGAGTTCCTATAAGGATTATGAATTAATAATTTACTTTTAATTAAGGCATATTTCCCAATCCATCTGTTGATTTCAATTTATTTTTACCTAATTCAAGAATTTCAATATTTTCATGTCCTTCAAATTCATTAGCAGTAGTAATTTCATTTTCTATTAAATTTAATCTTCTCAATCTTTTTAATTAGACTGGAACAAGGGTTTTGATTTTATTTGTAGAGAGATTTAAATATTGTAAGTATGGAAATGCTTCTGGATCTTAAAAATAAGAAAGTGTATTTATCTCATTTTTAGAAGCATTTAATGAAACCAAATATCTAAAAATGATTAAAATATATATTTACTTTAAAGGTAATAAATTAGTAATATCTACAATTCTATTTTATGAGATATCAATATATCTTAGATTCAAATGATTAATCTAAAATAATCTATCAATATCCTTTTCTGCAAGATTTAATTTCACATATGCATAAGTCGTTTAAGTTTTACTCAATCCTGAAATTCCTTATAAAACTAATTCATTAAATTTTGCAGTGTCTTCTTTTAATTTTGCCTCATATTCTTCTCTAGCTATTCTTTCTTATTCAGCTCTTTCTTCTCTTTCTTTTCTTTCCTACTCCTCTCTTTCTTCCCTCTCTTTTCTTTCCTATTCTTCTCTCTCTAATCGTAACCGTCTAGTTTCTTCATCCTCTTCAGGAGGCTTTTCAGGCTCTTCTTCTTATGGTTATTCAGTTTATTCTTTTTATTCAGGATCTCCGACCTCTTCATTCTATTCTTGCTATGGCTCTTGATCAATTTATTCTTCTTAATTTCCATCATTTTGTAATTCAATTTATTCTTCGCTCATATAAATAAATAATTATTATTTGTAAACAATGATAAAGTAAATTTATAAGGTATCTTATATATATTAATTAAATCATCTAATTTCACACATTGAAAACAGTGAGGACATATTGTTTGAAACCTAAGTAGGAAAGATCTTCCAGAATTTAAGAGTCTCATCTCCAGATCCTGTTAGAATAGTTGATTCATCTATAAATAACTAAGAAAATAAAATACCTGGACTTGCTGATAAATAAAGAACTCTTTCAGAGTGTCCTTCTAATTAATGAATTCTTTTCATTGTAGGATATTGCCATAGACATACTAAATTCTTCTCATAACCATGTGTAGAAACTAATTCATTAACAATTTTAGAAAATCTCAATTTACAAACCTATGAATCACAATTAATGCTTGTAATTTATTAATTAGTAAGTGAACTATGTATTTTAATAGTCTTATCTTAATTTCCACCTCCAGTAGCTAATATACCACATGAATTAGGATTCCAAGCTAATGCTCTTATGGCTGCTTTATGAGATTTGATTTCCCAGGATATATATTAATTATTGTTATTATTATTATTATTATTATTATTATTATTATTGTTATTGTTTCCTCCTCTCATTTACCAAACAAATACTTTATTATCATTACCACCAGAAGCTAATTAGAGTTCACTTCCATCAAAAGTGACACCACATACTTCTTAAGTGTGTCCTAGTAATTAAAATATTTAATAATTTGGAACTCTGACATCACATATATTAATTGTTTTATCCTTACTTCCATAAGCAAATATATTAGGATTAGCCCAACTTATTGTGCTAATTCTTTTATTTGATAGATTCATAGTACCATTGAATGAATTTTTATTGTAATCCCATAATTTTATAGAACCATCACAACATCCTATTGCTAACATTTATCCATTTGTATTCCATTATAAAGATGTATAATATGCAGATAACTCATTATTATTTATAGGTTCCGCTAATTAAAATACTTTTGAATTGTCAACATTATACAAATAGACAGATCTTTATAAACCAACTGCAATAAGATTATTTTTTCCCCAATGGAGTGTGTCTTGATAAAAATCATCCTCTAATCCAGGTGCATCTAATACTTTAATAGGGAGAGTATCAATTTTTCTTTTTGGTGTTTCAAGTTGTTTAGAAGATTGAACTTTGTCGTGTTTTTATTTATTGAAATTCAAAATACTCACATGTTTATTTTCATCAATTTCTAAGACATTTTCACTTAAAAGTTCTTCATATTAATTCTCTTCTTCAATTTCAAATGGCTGTATTTGTTTATTAAATAGATTTCTTGAAACATTTAATGGGATATATCTATCACTATAAGGTGATGCTTGAATACAATGATCAGGAGTGTTTTATTTGTGATTGCTTTTTAATAAAGATTTAGGTGTTTTCCAAGGATTCATATTTTTTGGAGAATAAAAATCGTTATTCTAAGGGGATTGTATTGTAGTTGATTAATTAGTTTTATTTTACTTCTTGTCTTTGGTTGGGGTTGTTAATTAATACTTTTTTGGAGTGACATTCTATTATTGCGGTATCTATTCTTATTACATTTGAATTTAAATAATATAATAATATATATATTCATAATAATAAATTGCCACACTAAAATTGAGCTTAAAAAAACAATAATATTAATCATAATGAATCAATTCTAATTTTAATTTATTCTATAACTTTTGCATCATATAATTCATCATCCTTCAGATTTCTATAATCGTTCTATAAATATTAATAATTTAAGTACTTCAAAAGCATTTCTAAATTGATTTATTAATGAACTTGTCTATTATTAATCATACTTAAGTTTTTTGAGGGCATCAAATAAAATTAAAATCTATTATATCAATTACAATTTATAAGTCTAAATTTATTCTATTTACAAATTTTGATATAAAGGATTATTTAAAATTTAGATATGATCCAAATAATGTTTAACATAGATTCTAGCCAAATCAATCTCTCTAATGTCATGACTTAACAAAATTTCAAAAAATAACCAAGTAGACAATTGAGTAATTTATTACTCCTAACATTATTTTGTATTAATTAACTCTATTGTCTAAGTCATTTTCTATAATTAAATATATTTATTGTTATTGATTAGATTTTCAAAAAGCAATTTCATCTAAAATTTTTAATTATATATATGATTACTTATCGTTTAAGTACATCTGTTGGCCATCCATTAGATTCTTCATAAGCACTTAATAAAAAATTAATCCATAATTATTCAACTTTGTCTTATGTACATAATTATATTCCTTGAGAGTGTTCCAAATAATCCAGACATAGTAATTAGCCAAAGTAAATATTGTTATCTTCAAAGAATTGTAATATAATTTTGCAATCTAAAATATCCATAAGAATTTTCCTCTTTTCAGTATGATAACCTGAAAAAAGTAATTTATATATTTTTACTTTAATTTTCATCTTCATTAGATATAACGAAATCATACATAATATCTTACAAAAATAGTTATTTACTGAGATCTTATGCTTACTTTTCTACTTCATTAATATCAATTCCTTAAGTATTCTTATGAAAAGTTCTAATGAATTCTTATGCCTTATTAACATATCTTAATCTCTTTTTAATAGGCAATTTAATTTGAATATCCTCTAAATTCATTTCTGGACATTAACTTAATGAAAATTATGCTAATTTAAGCAAAATTTGTATCAATTATGGATATACTTCATGATTTCCTTTTACAGCTTTTGCTAAGAATTGTTTCTTTTACATTTATAATTTCTCTAAATCATTATTACATTATAAATCCATTTCCTGATTGTAATCAATATATTAAATGAATTCTTTCAATTAATATTTTATAATATTATTAGCTATTGCTTCAGTTGGTTTTATAAGTTAAAATTAATTTAAAACTTGAAGAGATTCGATTAAAATTTCTTTAGTTTAAGCTTTATTTAATCCTTTTGGAGGATTCAAATAATATTAAATTAAATTGGTGAATTGCTAAATTAAGTCCATAATGCAATTACAATATTCATTATTTGATTAATCCTTTTCTTATTATTAACATTTCTAAGCTAGATATTAAACATAGAATTTGAAAGTGGCAAAAGGATACATATAATTTTGAAAGCATTATGTCATATACGAATGATCTATTAGGATTGCTACTTCTTCTATTAATTTCAATGCCTCTAATAATTAGTCTTATAATTCTGGTTACAAATCCTTATAATATAAAAAGATCTCTTTCTTTTCAAGTACTTTATCAATAGTAATTTATGGAGTTTTGGACAATTTTAAGATCCTCTTAATTTTTTCATGTATTTATTCATTTGGATTAAGTTTAATCAAATCTAATTAGTCAATAAGAATTGTTACTTTTTTAAGCAGCAAATGTTAAAATTTCATCAAATAAGTTTTATACAAGACTAATTTTAAAATCTTAATCACTAAAGAAATCAGGAAAATGATAATTCATAAATTAAGCAGTTTCTCTAAATTTAGTTTTATCACTTTTAATAATATGTATCATTAATTATTTTAATGTCAAATTACCAACAGTATCACCACTAAGAACACTTTTTATTGATAAATCAAATAATTAAGTTTTATTTTGATAGCTGTTAATAATATTTCTGATTCCTTACAATTCACCAAAGAAATAAATCAAAAATTACAATAATTATTTAATTTATTTGCAATAAGAAAATAATACTTTCATTTAATTCTAAAATAAATATAATTTATACATATTCTACATCTACATTAACACTAACAGCTAATGATTAATCTGAATAATTAGTGCTTCTTGAAATATCTAATCTAGTACTTTATTCAAAAGTTTCATAAATATATTTACTAAATCCATTCTTATAATTTTGAAATTAATTTTATTCTTCAATTTATAGATCATGTCTTTAATTCTTAACCTATTAATAATAATTAGATTCATTTTCAAATAATTTAATTAATTTTTCTATCTATTTAAATACTGTTTGTAATTATTTAATTGAATAACTCTCAATAGGTTTATTACATTCTAAATTATAAACTTTTTCATTGATGAATTTCTTAGTTGTAAGAGGAGCAATGATTTTCCAAATCAAAGATGTTGTACTTGATACTTTTTTTGATTTTTAATTTCTATCTTCATTAATTAATGAACGTTTAATCAAAGCAAAATAAGCTTTAAGTGCTTTCTCTTTGATTATAGCTCCTTTACGAACATAAACTTAACCAGTAACCCATATAGGAATCTTTTCATTATCATCAAAAAATTTTTGAATATTTTCTGAATAATGTATTCTTTAATATGCTTTCTATAAATCTAATTAATATTAATGTTAAAGTTCAACATTGATATAAAAATTCTATTCTTCTTGAATAATTATTTATAAGATTTATGAACAACTTTCTTCAATTCCAAATGCTCTGACCAATTTTTCAAGGGGAAAATCAGCATCTATTGAATCAATAAAATCATAATGTGTAACTTTAATAGCAGTAAAGAAACAATCAATTGGTCTCATTCTAACAATAAATTCTATTGTATGATCAGCAATACAAATAAAATGTTCAGGTAAATTATAAAGTTAAGCTTCATTAATATCAAAATGATTAAATAATCGATTTACAGTCATTTTTCCAATATTATAAGTACTTTTTGGAATACCATGACCATTTTGACCATGTAGATCTATTTTTTCAATTGCATCTTTTGATGTATCTCTATATATTGAATACTATATTTAATTATATGAATTGTATTTAGTGATCTATTGTTCTAAACTTCTAAAATATTGAATATGAGCCATATCAAGAAATTATGCAATAATATAATTATCTAAATGAAATAGTGATAATTATTCTTCTTTGTAAACTGACTTCAAAATTTAATTTTATTAAATTGTCAACATTTCTTTTTGTTTATATTATATTCTACCCTCATCTAAACATACTCCATATGGAATTACTGTATCAATCTTCATATAGGGATTTTTAACTTAGATAACCTAAAATTCTGGTTTCAATTTTATAAATTATTATTGAGTAACATTAGAATTTGAAATCCTTAATTTATATTCATTTATTTCATTAATAGTTCTATCTTATAATTCAAACTATAAATAAAGTTACAATTAATCTTTGGTTGTTATAATCAATACAATTTTATTTGTTTAGTATTGTCTTTCGAAAAACACATGATAAAATTATAGATTATGATAATCAAATGCATTTTTAAATTCTAAATTAGAATTAAATAAATAAGATTATTTTATTGTTATTATTTCTTAAAATAGTTCTCCTTAAAGTCCAATATCATAGATAATAATAAATGTATCTTCAACATTTTCATCTTTATCAAGTTTCTCAAATAAACCATAACAAATATTAAATTCTTCTTGTACTTCTAATTAAATTAATCCTTATTGAGATGACCAAGGAGTCAAATCCTTAAATATCCTATTGAATTATTTTTTTATTTTTTCTTTAAATTAAGTTGTATAGTTTTGAGCTGAATCAATAGATTTACAAGTAAGAGTGCCTGAACTGCCTCCATAGATTAAATTATCTTAATAAAATATGACTTAATTAATTATTTCTCCATTAACGTTGAAGCCTTATTTTAGCATTTAAAAATTGTCCAAATCTCCTGTAAAAGTATACAAAAATATATAGAATTCAGAAGCAATTGCCATAGTCCATACATCATCTACCTATTAAAATCCAACGGCTGTAATATAGTCTAAGTGATTAATTAATTGTTCTTTGAATCTGATTGGAAATTTGTACTTCTTATCATCCTTCAATAAAATAGAAATGTTTACAGTATTGTAGTAGTAATTTAGATCATCATGTAAAGGTGAAAAGAAATAGAATTGCATGGTTTTTTCATTCACCACAAAGTAAAGAAAGCCATCTTAAATACCACTCAAAGAACAATTATCATTAATTCTTATCTGTTCATGATGAAAATTAACAAAATGACCTTTATACAATGGTATTGCTATGTTTATTGAAGATAGATACATAAATTGTTAGGGATATTGATAGTTTATTAATTTCCAAAAAGTGTGTTAATAGGACTAAAGGAAGTTGAAGATTTCTTGCTCTTCAAATCTTAGAAAAGTGCTTATTGTGTTTAAGTCTTTGGTTTTGCATGTAACATATTTATTTTAATTAAATATAATCAGGAATGATGAGTTTTACATGGCGCCTTTTCATAATCTAAGATGTTGCGCATTAAATATGAGACTGTTGGACACTCATCCACTTTAATATCACAATTATACTTACTTGAATCATAATTGTCACTTTAAATACTGAATCTTTTAGTTTATGATTTACTTGCTTCACCATCACTGGCTTCCTTTAATTCAATGATTGTTTTTAAAGTTGGTAATCCTTAACGTTAATTATGTGGTTTTGCTTTTTGTTTAGCATTAACAAACCATTAATGTGTAAGAGCATCTGACAAAGAACAATTTGATAATAATTTTTTTATCAGATCCAATTGACTTGATGAAAAAACGTGTACAAATTATTAATCTGGAGTCTTCATCTCTAAATAAAATATTAATATTCAACATGTTAAGACCTCGATGGTTTCATCAATCAACTCATATTTTATTACTAATTCTTTCATGTACTTTAAAAACAATTTGTAAGGGTCACTTTTTCGCTATTATTATTAATGTGCATACTTTTAAATCTTAATTGATTTTAGTATAAAAAGTAATGATATAAAGTAGAACTCCTAATTAATATAGATCAGAATGTATTCCTGGTATTTAATTTTCTTCAAAACCACTCCAACAATACTTATTAAGATTGACCCATTTCAAATATTCACTTATATCATCTCCTTATTTAAAAGGCTACCTGTTATATTTATACTTATACATAGTATATAAATCCAATTACTGCAATCTCTAAAGATTGGCTTTCTCTATTGATTAATATGTTTAATGCATTGATATTTCCATGATATGCTTAATGTTCATTTAAATAACGTAGTAAAAGCAAGATTTAATAAATCAACTAAAATTATATATAATTGATCATACTGTAGCAACTTAAACTTCCATAAATTAAATATTCTCTAACAAAAAATTAAAAACAGGTTCTCCCTCAAATCTTTCAGTAATCATAACATAATTATTTGTGTCTTCATAGATTCTTTTTATTTTGAGTATTGAATGATTCTTGCTTTCATGCAATAAGCCAAAAGTATGTTCTAAATAGGGTTGTTACTTATTAATTATGTAGGCAGAAAACTATTGCCGATTCTTGTATATATATAGATTTTCTTACTTTTTTCTTAATTATAGAGTAGAAATCCTGGAATAACTATTCCTATAGACGATATTTGACTAGTAAGTTTTTCATAATACAAAATTGCTTAATCTAATTATACCAATGTTTCTAGATATCGAAACTACTAAAGAATAGCATAATATCATTGCCAAGAAGTAGAAGGTAACACTTTTTATTATTATGAATCAGTTGTTTTCTCTTGATTTAATATTGGGAAAGTTAAATGTAATGATTATCGATTTTCAGAACATTAGGATATAAGGTGCATTATTCTTTTATTATGACTCCATCAAACATAACAGTTAAATTCTGGTTGAGAAGGATTTATGTAAGTCTTGGGAGATGATTCCATTCTTTTTAGTGTTGACTAGTAATTAAACTTGAAGCCAAATTCTTGAATTCATTATAATCGAAGCTATCTTCATGTCTATGTCCAAATTCATTAGTATTTGTTCTTGATGGTCTGGTTATAAAGTTTTGCATTTTAATTAATGTTTATTTGTTGTGGGAAGAAATAAAAAATTGAAATTGCTAATTTAAGATCATAGCCATTACAAAGTGTAAAAATGTAATTGTAGGAAGATAGTATCGATGCCAAATTCGAATTTCACTTAGATGTATATTATTAACTTAAAATATAGAAATTTTAATGGAAATTGATTAGAGATGCAACAGGAGAAGAGTTGGTTAGATAATAATAGAAATAGAAAGAGAAAGAGAGATTAAAATTAGAATAGTAACAAAAATTATAAAAGGAAGATGAAGAATTGTAAAGGTTATAAAGTTAAATTGAATAACAAACATTTGTTTAAAAAGAAAAGAAGTAATTACATGATTAATTGAATGATCTTTTCACAAAGTTGAAAAAGGATTATTTGATAACTTAAATTAAGAATGAATTACTTAAAAAAATGATAGAAGATGATAAAAAATAGATGGGTGAGATTACAAACTATGAGTTTTCTAAAAGTTGAATTCAATTTATTATATATTATAAAACTTAGAAATCTTACATTATAATTAGATTAAGAAATTGAGAAGAGAATATATATAATAAATATAAATAGAGAATAAAATTATTTCTTGCTTTATTTTCAGAAAAGTGATGTTCATTTATATAAATTTTATTAAAAGATATGAATAAATAACGCAAGACACAATTGGAAGAATTATAGGAGAAAGAGAGTAGCTTTGGTAGAGTATTCAAAGTGGCTGGTCCATGTAAATACTGTTTTTTAATTTAATAGTGGTGGTTGCAGAGAAGATGGCAGGTGCTAAAATGTTTGAGTTAGTTAAGGTTGGTTGGGACAAACTAGTTGGTGAAATCATTAAATTAGAAGGAGATAATGCATCTATTCAATGTTATGAAGATACATGTATTCTCAATGACTAAATATGATTAGCTGGTTTGACTGTGGGTGATCCTGTTATGAGAACAAAGTCTCCTCTTTCTGTTGAATTAGGACCAGGTATAAATAACTATATATCTAGGTATTTTAACCTAAATTTTCGATGGAATTCAAAGACCATTATAAGTTATTGCAGATTAATCAGCTTCCATTTTTGTGCCTAGAGGTGTTGATATTCCAGCTTTGGATCAAGATAGAGTTTGGGAATTCAAACCATCTTCACTAATTAAAGTGGGTTCAATGATATCTGGAGGTGACATCTATGGATCAGTGTTTGAGAATAATCTTTTTGATGAACATAAGATCTTGACAGCCCCCAGAGTCTAAGGTAGAGTCACTTATATTGCACCTGAGGGAAATTATACACTAAAAGATAAAGTTATTGAAGTAGAATTGGATGGAAAGAAACATTAATATGGAATGAGTCATTTCTGGCCTGTCAGACAACCTAGACCTATCATTGAGAAATTGTAAGGTAATACACCACTCCTTACTGGATAAAGAGTTCTTGATGCACTCTATCCATCAGTCTTGGGAGGTACATGCTGTATTCCAGGAGCTTTCGGATGTGGCAAAACTTGTATCTCTTAAGCACTCTCTAAATATTCAAATTCTGAATGTATCATTTACGTTGGATGTGGAGAAAGAGGAAATGAGATGGCTGAAGTGCTAAGTGAATTTCCAGAATTAACTATTCAAATGAAGGGTAAGGAAGAAAACATTATGTAACGTACTTGTTTGGTTGCTAATACTTCTAATATGCCAGTCGCAGCTAGAGAAGCTTCAATTTATACTGGAATTACATTAGCTGAATATTTTAGAGATATGGGTTTTAATGTATCTATGATGGCTGATTCTACTTCCAGATGGGCAGAAGCCTTGAGAGAAATCTCTGGTAGATTGGCAGAAATGCCTGCAGATTAAGGTTATCCTGCTTATTTGGCATCAAAACTTGCCTAATTTTACGAAAGAGCTGGAAGAGTTAGATGCAGAGGTTCACCTGATAGAGAAGGATCCATTACTATTGTTGGTGCTGTGTCACCCCCAGGAGGAGTAACTTATAATTTCTTATAGTCTATAGGATTTTACAGATCCTGTTACTACTGCCACTCTTACTATTGTTTAGGTCTTTTGGGGATTAGATAAGAAATTAGCATAAAGAAAACATTTTCCATCTGTTAATTGGACAATTTCCAATTCAAATTATGAAAAAATATTGGAACCATATTTCAATTCCTTTGATCCAGAGTTTACTCATTTGAGAGTTATGTTCAAATAGATTTTACATGAAGAATCAGAATTAAATGAAATTGTACAACTTGTAGGAAGAGATTCTCTTTCTGAAGATCAAAAATTATCTTTGGAAGTAATTTAATATCAATATTATTTAAGATTGCCAAAATTATAAGAGAAGATTTCTTATAACAAGATGCCTTTAGTAAATATGATTATAATTGTCCACTTTATAAAACAATTGGTATGATGAGATGCATAGTATCCTTTTTTGAATGTGGTAAAAAAGCAATTCTTGAATCTTCAGGAGATGCTAAAATTACTTGGAATATAATATTGAATTAAACTAAACCATAATTTGTCAAATTATCATAAATGAAATTTGAGGTAATATATTTATTTTATATATTTTAGGATCCAAAATAACCAAAATAAGAATTAATGAATTATTTCACTAAATTTGTTGATGAAATTAAATCAGCATTTAGAAATTTAACAGATAAATGAGTATTATTATTAAAATGACATAAAAATTATTATTCTATTCTTAAATTTAGAGATCAATAACTTCAATCTATTAAAAGAAATTCATGTTTCTCTTAAAAAAATAATAGATTAAATGTGATTTATTAATATTTAATAAATTAAGTCAATATTATTAATATATCTATTATTTAATTCTAAATTAAATTATAAAAATATGTCATTAGTTAAAGAACAACTATATTTCTAAAATAAGACAAAATCAAATTCAAAAATAACAACTTAAAATATTAGTTTATCTATTTTCTCAATATATTCATATTCGTTTAAATATATATATATATATCATGGATATTTATTAATTATTAATGAAATGCCATAACCATTTTTTTGTTCTGTATAACTATTACAAATATATATCAAAAATCATCAAATCTAACCTTCTTTTAATTCTAATTGTAATTAGCCTGATTATGAAATAAACTATATTTTGTCTCTTTCTTCAAGATAGTCTTTTTAGATCCAAGTGATATTATTTCATAAGAATCACTCTTTAATGGCTTGTCTTTATTAGCATTTTCGGTTAATTGAATGGAATTTACTCTTTCCAAATCTCCTGTCAGTTCCTAAATTTCTAAACTACTTGCAGCTATTTTATTATAGTCTTTTCCAGTATCGTCGATTATATATGATTAGTAATTTTAATAAGATAATATTCTCTTATTTTCCTTATTCGAATCATTACTCCTTATACAGGGGTTGTTATTTAATGTTTAAAACACTTTCTTTTATTTAATCTTTTATTACAACATAAGCTCGACTTTTTCATCACTTTAGGCTTAACAACAACTTGATCCCATAAGTATTTTAATTTATAATAAATTATATTTCCCTCTATATAATTTCAATCGCAAATATCATATGTCTACAATTTATTCATTTGTTTATATTTACTATTAGACATTCTTTGAAATAAAATATTTATAAAAAATATACTAATATCCAAAATTTTAGCTATTCTATTGAAATTAATAATGAGATTCTAGAAAAAAAAAAAAACTGATTTTTCTCTTCAAAAACCCTCAAGTTTGCATTGAAAATTTTGTTTTATGATTAGCCATTCTAAATAAGCATTATAACAAGTAGATTAGTTGGAAATGATGCTCATCAATACATAATTTTCATAATCTAAATTTTAGCATTTTGTTCGGGGGGAATTAATGTTTCTATTACCTTTTATGATTTTACAAATTTGATTCCTCAAATTTTGTGATATTTTAGGAGTTAGAGAGAAAAAAAAAAAAATTTCCAAAAAATTATTCTTTTTATGAATACACATTGAGTTTATTTTTGGTATAAAAGCATATTTTTGAATATTACTCTCCCATTTTTATTATTAATTGAAGGATGGAACTTTTATTGATTAGAATGATAATATCTAGTTAATATTCATTATATTCAAACTTTATAACCTACATCTAAGTATTAAAAGTATTTATCAGATATATTATTATGTTCAATAAAACACAAAAAGACATTTTAACTTATAATTTCTATAATCTCTATCAGTTTTGAAGATAAGACCTAGTAAATATCAAGTTGGATAATTAAAATTATCTATCTTTATTTTTCTTAAGATTACCATGAATAATAGATTTACTAAAATTAAAAAATGTAAAATTATATACCAAAAAAATCTTATTATATAATTCACTTAGTGATTATTCTATTTTATTTCAATTTAATAATAAATCCTTAAAGTTTATTAATATTATTTATTAATTAAAATAATTAAATAACTCATTTACAAAAAATTATTCTTTAGATCATTTACCTTTTTTTATTATACATCCTTTTTATATCAAAGGTCTCTAAATATTTTATATTTATAATTGGATATGTAAATCTTTTTAGACATCAATTATCAATTTCTTGCATGAAAATGATGAAATCTATATGAAATTACAACCTAATAAATTATGTTTAATATGAAAAAGAAAAAGTATTTTCTATTTGATGATTATTTTGAATATAAGTAGTTAATTAAAATATAAATATCTTAATTGGGTAAATATTATTTTAATTTACAGAATTTTTTCTAATTTTAATATTTTATCATGAAAAGTAAATATTTTATTCTCCTAATTTTTATACTATATATTTATTTTTTTATATTTGCAGCCCATTGTCAAGGATCTTGTAGATTATTCATTCTAATTCGTATTTACCTATTCAGATTTTATATCCTTAATGATGTTGTTAAAATTCCTCCTTTATTTTGAATTAAAATGGAAAACTTGAAGACTTAGGTTCTAATGTACACTCTTAAAAATTCATATAATTTATATAATAAAATTTATAATATACAAAATAATGAAATCAAATTTTATTCTTTGAAATATTTGTCTAACTAGTCTAATTAGTCTAAATTCCATATTATTTATCTTAAAAGATCTATAATTTAAGAATAGAACTGAAAGAAATAAGAATATTTCTTAAAATAATATATATAAGATACTGAAAGAATTAAGTTTAATTTTATATAATAAACAAGAGTAGAATATTTATGAAGATTAGAATATGCAAAAAAAGTTAATAAAATATGATTTCTATATTAAAGATATTTGTAGAATATGGATGGTTTAAAGTAATGAAGGATTTAAAAGAATGTTATTGCAAATAATCATTATAATCAATACTACATTCTATTCATTCATTTAAAACCATTTTGGATAACTTTCTTAATTCCTACATATATAAATCTGTAGCTGCATAGCTTTATCCCTTTAACGCTCTAGCCAAATCTTATATTATTTCAACAGCCACAATTTCATTTAAAGTTTTTTTAGGTATATTCAAACTAAATAATAGTTAAACCAAGTCATATACCTAGAATTAACATTACCCACTTCAATACTAGATCTTTGAAAAGACAATCTACTTGGAGAGTGTTTTGAGTATTGCTTAATTCTTATTGGAGATTATTATTATGAATTTTTCTATGCTTTAGGTGATTAACTATTTCTGAAAATGGATTGATATGGATTCAATTAAGATTCCTTAGCTTTTTGAAGTACTGTTTTTTGATTGTCAAATTTAGAGCTAAACTTTTCTCTAACATCTTTTCTAAACATATCTAACTCTGCATATTTCTAATTACTCAAAATAAAGGATCCCTAATGCATAGTTTAATAATAATAATATATAAATATATTAACAGATAATTATATTATTTATTTTTTCATAATAAGTTAATGTATGATATGGAAATATAGTAAGTAATTTCCAAATTTAATGAGGAACAACATAAAAAATGAATTAATGAATAAATAGAATCAATTAATTTTATATATATTATGTAAAATTGTAATAATACATTAAGGTGATAAAAGTTCTTGTTTAATTATCCTGATTTCATTTAAATAATAGTTAAGTATACAATGTGAAGGTATTTTATAGGGAATTAAGGAAATTCGTTTTTATTAATTTCTAAAATGAAAATAGCTTTGATACTAATTGCTATAACTTTAGTATCCGCAACATCAATTTCACCATATTCTAAATTGAACTATTCAAAATAAAGATCAATGACAGCTGTTTTAGCTGAGGTTGAGTCTAAAATATAAGCTAATTCTCCATTAGATGCAGTTCTAAATGTTTTAAAATAATTCAAAGAAGCAGTTAATGTTGAATAAGTAAATCATGATCAAATATTTAATATTGAATATAGTGAATGTGATTCAGAATTTGAATTTAGAAATAAAGAAGTAGAGGATGCATCAAATATAGTCAGAGATTCAACATCCTAATTGAATGTCTGTAAAACCTCAAAAATTAGAACCACTAATTAATAAGAAGTTAATTAATAATAATTATTCACATATCAAGAACATTTAACATTAATACTTACAACTGCTGAAAATGAATAAGGATATTTCAAAAAAAGAGGTAGAGACTATGAAGATTCTCTTCATGCTATTGATGAAGCCCTTGACATCTTATCAGGTATTGCTAATGGTAAAAGAAGCTTCGCTGAGTTAAGCAGTGTAAGTAAATCAATGTTATAGACATCATTCAATATTTAGTAAACTATTAATTATGCTCCAATCTTTTATGCCTTTACATAATTAGCATCATAATAAGATTTAGTTGACCCAAGTCAAATTGAAAGAGTAGAATAATTATTACTCTAATTGAGAGAAAATGTACATGACACTTATAATGAATTCACTACTTCAAATGCTGCTGCTGTTGCTGCATTTAATGATTAGAAGGATAGAATCAATATTATTTTAAATAGATTATCAAATTAAGAAGAAAGATTATAAGATAAATTAGATCATTTAAATTAATGTATTGGAACTCAATCAGCAATAGTATAAGCAGCTTCAACAAAATTATAGAGAAATCAATAATTATGGGATTAAGCAGTTGCCTTATGCAACACTTTCGAAGCTGAATATTTTACTGCCACTATGGCTAGAAGATCAGAAATTTCCTTGATTACTGAATTAGAATAACAAGTCATTAAAAGGTTTTAGGTAGTCAAAGAATAAAAACCTGCTAGAATGCTGAGATATGTCAAACTTAAATATTGATTAATATACATAAATATCATTATGAAGAATACATTTTTCACATTCAAACATCCTAACAAGGTCTACTCTATAAAATAAGAAATTATGTATTTACAGAATATTGATTTTTTTCTATATTATGTATTATAGATAAAATACTTCAGAAACACTCTTTTTTTAAAATAAATAATTATAGAAAATAAAACATTGTACATAAATGGCTGATACTTAAACTCCTGATGATATTAGTAGAGTGATTCCCACAAATCCTTAATTTCAAGTGACTGGTGCAGTTCAGAATCAAATTTAGATTCCAAACCAAATTCCGCAAATTTAATAGTTACCATAATAAGCATATGTTGTATATGCTCCTTAGATGTACTAACCAAGACCTTAATTTAATCTTAATTAAGTTCAACCTATCCAATACCCATAATTTCAACATCCATAACACATGATTCCACCTTAATAATAACCACTCTTACCATACTAATAATAACCTTAAATAGTTTAACCATTACTTCCTGTACTAAAATAAGAAGAAACTTTAAAGCATGATTCCTTAAGATTGGCTGGAAAATTGGAAAGAAGATTTTTTAACTTATAAGTTCTCAGCTTTTTCTTACTTTTTTAAGCCTTTGCTTTAATTCTATGTTGTTGTTCTTATCGCAATGGCTTTATTGAATTCCAGTATCACCTTTATGGTAGATTTAAAGTTACATTTTACATTTTCACAGTAATCATGACACTTTCACTATTATATTCATACACAGTTTCAAAGAAATTTAAAAATAATTAATTTAGCAAAGTTCTTTGTGTAGTCTATGGATTAGCTTATGGCTTTTTTATATAGGCTTTGTATTCTTCCACTTATTATAATTACTAATATTATCAATATGGAAGCTATTTTTATTTTTTGGAATCAGATGGGGGTGATGTTATAGTTATAATAGTGTTTAGTTTCATAAATTTAGAAGTTCTATCACTATTTGCATATGCAATGCAAGAATTAGATCAATTAAGTTTTAGAAGTACATTTTCATTTTTATTATTAGATTCCTTCTGGTACATTATGATACCTTCAATTACTTATGGTGGAATACTATTTTCTCTTTATTACCAATACGGTATCTTATGTGGAATTATCTGTTTTTCAATTGCATTTGGATTCTATTTACAATTCATCCTTTCTAGAATGATTCAATCAACTAAAGTATTTATTTATAATAATCCTTTAGTTTAATTTGAGATCTGATGATGGTAAATACTCAGCTGTTCTACTAAGCTTTTTAATTTTAGTTCCATTCTTTGATATCGGATTTAACAAAAGTGATGAAATGGTCTAATAATCTTAGAGCTAAAACTCTTAGTAAAAAAATGTACAATGAGGAAAATCATAAAACAATATTCATAATTTATATCACTTGCTTATTATTCATTATTATTAATATATTAATCTAATGACTTCACAATAATAGACATAAACCTTTGTTCCTATTTTATTATCTTAAGAAGAATATAATCAAATTCTTAAGCAACCTATCTACTTGCATCAATAATTATTTCAAGAAATATACTTAAAGAAATAATAACAAACTTAGTTATAATCATAAGAGTATATGAATCCATATGAATAAAAATAATAAAATTTGAATTAGTCCTCAAGCTCAAATTCCTTAATTAATATACCATAAATTCCAACTCGTCCTAACTATTCTACTTAAATTTATTAGTAAGAAGCACAATATCTTCCTCAATATATTTACTATTAGTAACAATAACAATAACAAAATCAAAATTAAGTTTTAAACATGAACTCAAATCCTTTATAACATTAATTGATTCAAAGAGCTGGTGAATTGGAACTTAAATACTTTTATGAATGGTCTACATATTTATTTATGCTTGAGATTTGTATTTCACTATTTGTTAATACAATTTCTGCTATATACAATGTGGAATTGGTTACTTATAACTATTAATGGAATAGTGTATTATGGATAATTTTAATATTATTCTTAATATTGAATTTATTTGTTTTAACTAATCCATCCTATGTAACTCATGTATAAATAATATATTTATTTTAGTAAAATAATTAAAAAGTCTTATATTGGATACATGTTATTTTATATGTTTTATTAATGTAAGGACTTCAAACTGCAGTTTCTGGTAGTGCTCGAATTTTCTCTTGGCACACAAATTTTTTCTATTACTTTTACTTGTTAATATGTGTTGAATTTATTTCAGTTAGAATTGCTATTAAACGTAATGGAATAAGGAAACCTATTCAAGATCATATGGGTTTTTTATTAGCTCCACCAATTATTACTTATATTTTAGAGTTAATTAGTTAAGATTATTTCTTTATCTATGTTCCTTTATTAATTTGGGTTATTTTAGTAGTATTTATTGGAATGGGATAAATTTTAATAATCAATAAGTTAGTTGAAAAAGGATATGTATATATTTAATATTATATTTTTTAGAACAAATTTTAAACAAAAGATGTTTTTGCAATGGCCATAAGTATTCCAATTTTAATGATTAGTCCTTTCTTTGAAGATGAATGATAAAAAAACAATTAAATATATTATTTATATAATATTATAATAGTTTAATAAAAAGAAATTTTATCAAATTGAACTTCTGTAATAATCGATAATAGATTAGAGTTATCTTATTTCAACAGGTTTTTCTAAATAAAATTTCATCCCAACTTATTAACATTTTGGAAATTCTATTTCTTTTTGATAAGCTGAACAAGCAACAATAATAGGTGATTTTAAATCTTTTTCTTCACAATATGAAAATATATGTTTAGAGGCATTGATTCCATTAATTCCTAGCATTTCTAAATCCATAAATATTAATCCGTACATATTTGAATTACAATTATTGCATTTTTCTTTTAATTTAACTTTTTCTATTGCTTTGTATCCATTTATTGAATAATCAATTTAATGAACTCCTCTAGATAAAATAATAAGGAATACATTCTTATTAATAACATTTGCAAAGCATCAATATTAAATTAAGTATCATCTACTATTAATATTTTAGAACAACATTCAATAGAACAATTTATTTATTTTTTTGGTTAAGTAACTATAATTTAAATCTCTTTTGAACTTTCATCATCTTCATTTAGATTCTCAATCATTTCACTATCACTTAAAATTGATTGTTTATTATTGTTTGATCTAACTATTTTTGATTCTTAACTTTATAGATCTTAAAGATGAATTGTAAATGAAAAACATGATCCTTTATGATAAATTGATTCAAATCTTAATCCATCTCCCAATTACTATGCTATTTTATTACTAATTACTAATCCTAATCCAACTCCTTAAGCATTTAATTTCTTGCTTTCTTCAGAGTTTATCTTTCCAAAAGCCTTCATTAACATCTCTTTATCCTATTCTTGTACTCCTATACCTGAATCAGATATACTTATTTCAATCACATAGTCATCCATTAATTCTACTTTTAATGATATATATCCTTCTTAAGTAAATTTGAATGCATTTCCTATTAGATTGATCATTACTTATTTTATTCTGTTTTAATCCTATTCAATTATATCTGGACAAACAGATTGATACTATAAAAATAATTTTAATTGTTTTTTCTCAGCTTATAGATTAAACATTTATAAACATTCTTAGCATAACAATTTTAAATTAAATCTTTCCATTTTAAGTTAAAATTTATTTGCTTAAATCTATGCCAAATCCAATAAATCATTACATAGATTTAATAAATATCTTGAATTATCTATTGAATTTTGAATATATAAATTATTTTATTCTTTTGCAACATGTTCTAACATTGTTATCATACAACCTAAAGGAGCTCTAAATTCATGAGAAACAAATGATATCATTTTTGATTTTTAATTATAATGACTTTATAATTATTTAATGTATTTCTTGTAACTTAAATCTCTGCAAATTATTGTCATTACTTTCTTTATTTAAGAGTTCACATATACACTCACTTCTAATATAGGAGCTTATTAGGACTATTGATATGTATAATATTACTTAAGATAGGTGTTTAGATTATTAAACATAAAATAAATAGCTCTCCTTATTTTATTTAATCCAAATTTTATCAAGCATTTATTATAAAGTCATTTCTTTCAATCCTTATTATGAAATGTATTGACTTTTTGAATTAAATGATAATGATCCACTATATTACTTTATAGAATTTTATATATCAATTCCAATACTTTTTATTGATTACATAGATTTCTTAGCTTCTGCTTTTTCTATTTTAAAATAGTTTTAATATGCAGTTTATATTTAAGTTTCATCTAAAATCTAAAACATTGATTTAGCAGATCTATTTATAAATGTTGGCTATTTTTCATAACCCTATTCATATAGAATTACACCTTCCCTTATTTAATTGAAACATAAATTCTTAGTATAATTATCTTAAAATAGTTCATGTTAACTCATTTCTTTCCATTTATATCTTTCTGAATTTTAAAATATCTCTATTAATTATGGAGATTACTATTATTTAAAGGCTTCATAATTCATAATTGTTAATATAATATAGATTGCAGCATAATGAATTACAGTCCAGATAATTTATAGATCTAAATGATCATACATTCTGAATATGCAATAGGATCCAATAAATAGTAAATTTAGGAATAGGATCCATAATTTACATTAGTTCTTAAACATTAAATATGCATAAAATAAAGAGTGAGCAAAGCCAAATTATGGAATCTGAATTTCTATATGTAAAGTGTATGTCAACAATATTTGTATCATTATTATCCATTTTTTTTCTAAAGTCTAATTGTAATAGATAATTATTATAGTAAATATTACCAATGCAAGTATTGTAAGATTCTTATAAGTGTAAGAATCAACAATTTATTATATTAGTTGACCCAATAATAAAAAACAATTAATAATTAAGGCATGTGATATTTTAATATTCATTATATTAATGTCACTACAGGCATGTACTACATCGTTTTTACCCAAGCTCTAATATCATTAACACCACCAAATGCATATGTTCCAGTTACAGCTCCAGTAAAAGCATTATTAAACTCATTCTTTCCAACATACTCTATCTCAAGTGTATTCTAATCCTTTATCGTAAAATAATCAAAACTAACTTCATCCTAATTTCCACCCAATATAACAATAAGATCTCTCTTTTATGCTGAATCTAATATAATAATAAATATTAATTAACCTGCTACTTCAACTTGTTTCAAAACAACAATTTAAGAACCTGCTCTTGGAACACTTAATTTTGTTTTTGATTTAATATTTTCAATTGACTTTTTTTCAATATCCATTATAGCAATTTTATCAGTTACTTTCTCACCATTAGAACCTCCAAAAACTAAAATATGCTTATCTGAAATTGGTAAACAAGATGAACCCAAATGATTTGTTACATTAATACCTTATCTATATTTAAAATCTTTCCATTTCATTGTCATTAGATCAAAACATTCTACCTTATTACTATGGAGTATTTTCTAATAAAAATTCTATAATATTCTATACAGTTTCTTCATTCTCAATAGTAAATCCTCCATAAACATATACTTTATTATTCATAACAAAGCCTGAAAATCCAGCTCTTGCTTGAATCATAGAATCCACTACTTCCCATTATTATTCTCCATTTTAATTCACAGGTCCCTTCTCATCATAAATTTCACATTAATTTAAGAAACCCCAACCTTCTTAATTTATGAGTTAACCTCCAACAACCATATATAAATATTAATTTGTTGTTCCTGGTTTCAATAATTCAAAAACTTTATGATTGTGTCTTGCAAAATTCATTTGTGGTATTACAGGTACTTTCTCTCCTTCAATCTCATTCCCTTCTTCATCCTCTCTTATTAATCCTTATCTCCACAATTCATATTTAATTCTATGTCCTTCCATATGATCATGTAGCTAAATTCTAAAGCAAAAGGTAGAGCTAAAAATTTATTTATTTTCTTGATAAGCACCACCAGTAATGAGGAATTCTGCTCCATTCTATTTTTTGATATATGATGAAAAATAAGGAACACATGGTGGCTAATCTTTACTTATGAAAGCCCATCCAGCTAAAGAATATAGTATATCTTACGTTTTACATCTCCTGTAGCAAAATTATATCCAATAGATGGATAAAATTGCTCTTCTTACTTTTCCAAATCAATAAAAGGTGGATGAATAACAGGAGTGAATGTAAAATGATTTTATTCCTGCTTCATTTTTAATTTTAATATAAATTAATAGCAAATCATCAAAATTTCATTGTAATATATATTTGAAAGAGAATTATTTTATATATATTTATATGAGCAATTTACTTTATTTTTTTATTTAAATATATATAGAATCTAATTTTTGATATCTTATTTAAGATATAGAGCATAGAATATCTTATATAATTATTATACTTATAATATTATATATTAAATCTTTCATTAATGCATAAAAAGTATAAATTATGTTAAATAATATTTTGTTGTAAAACAGAGAAAAAGAAGAGAACTAAACTTAAAGAAATTCAGAGTCTTCCAATTCCCAGAATTCAACTTCAATTTAGACAACTAATTTATAATAGACTTCAAGTCTTAATTTAATTAATTAAGATGCTGGCCCTCGTCATACTTTTTCTCAGTTAGATTAAATTTATTAACCCTTGTTACAACATAATTAATAATTATCTAGTCTGAATGATTTACAAAAATAGAGATTTCTTATTTAAATAACAGGTGTTTGGATGTTTTAGGAGGCTATATAAATAATTATGTCTGTCATAACTATTTTAGATTTTAACTATGATAATTTGTTTTATAATTTTGACTAGGAAAAATATAGAGCACCATTATATTTATTTTTTCTGATATCTACTTCATAATTATTGTTAATCAGATTCTATAAACCATTTAGATGTGTACATATTAAATATAATAAAAAAGAAACACTATGCTTTTTTCATATTCTTGATTTTCACAATATCATATGCTTTATGGATTAGTGGTCTCATAACTGCAGATCATTCAGATATTTGGAATATAGAAAACTCTGTCTAGATCGGTTTTGCCATTTTTATAGGTATTATATGTAATTTTTTGACTTTAATTACTATCTAATTTCATTTTTCCTTAACCGATAAACAGATAACATTTTTGAGTAATATAATATAATATTCTTAGGAACAATTAAATATGTTGTTATTCCACCATTTATTTATGCATTTATATTTTAAATATTCAATCCTTTTGATTATACTGCAGTACTCATTTTATGGATGTCTACAGAATTATGGGCATTAACATTTGGAGGTTTATATTTGTACAGTATATTATAAATAATAAATGGTAAAGTAAATAAATATCAATTATTTTTAGTTTAATCTAAATTAAGATTAAACAATCTCTGCAGCACTATTGGCATTTATCAATATGTTTTTTCCATTTGGACATTTTTGATTAAATAAAATATGTATAATATGATTATCTAAAAATTATATTATTATTATTTTATATATTGATTTTCAAATAAGTCTTGTTTTTTAGCTTTTCTCACTCTCTACTGATACTTGAGTAAATCTTTAGTCTGAAACTAAATGTGTAAACAAAGGAGGTTATATTTGTTTTTTATTTGTTTAGACTTTCAATTTCATAAATAATCGTTTAATTCTATTCTTTCTTTCAGTACTCAACTCTAGATATTTAGATTTTAAAATATATTCTATTTTTATATTTTTCTAAATTATTATCCTAATGGTATCTAAGAATACTTCATATTTTGATATATGAACAGATATAAATTTCATTGCACATTAACAAACCAAATAAAGTAATGATATTAAAATTAAAACCTGGATGATGTAATTTAAAACAGCTGAATTATCTTAAATTGAAAATTAAATTAAGCATAATAGTAAAGATATGATGCATAGTATTAAGCATTCTTTTTCAAATTTATTTAACTTTCCCACATTAAAAGGTTTACTAATGTTAAACATAAGGTAATAAGTAAAAAGTAAACCAACTAACAAGATACCTTTAGTAATAATAAAATCTTATAATAATACAATAATCAAAGTTAACAATAGTCTTTAACTTACTCTTATTAACTCCCAAAAATAAAATCTTTTTGAATACTCATTAAATAGATAACCAAATTTTTATTTTATTGAATAATTATTAAAATTCTTCTTATTTTGATTGAGAGTAATAAATAAAATTAAAGGAAGTATAAATCCAGAAAAAATCAACAAAGGTAATATAAGAATGTAAACTGCTTTTTAATGATCATTAGTCCAATATTAATGTGAAACATTTGCACTTATCCATTACTATTCTCCATACATCTTTGGTGTTAATAAAGAAGATAGACTAAAATAAATATGAAATTATTTACACTTTAATTAAATTTAAAAAGCCTGATAAATATAAATAAAAGAAGGATGAATATAATGTTTCTTGAGTGAAATTGTTGAGTTACAATTTTTAAAGTACAAATGAAAGTGTAATATACAATAAATATTGAATTATTTGTATAAAAACAATAAAGGCAAGATTTATATAGATATAATCTATATCTAATTATGAGAGATAACAATCAAAATTATTTGTAGTAGAATAAGTTGAATTTCCAACAAATTTAAATACATCTTCAATATTAGAGATAAAATTCAATTAAAATGTATATACTACTAATACAATCTAAAAATAATTACTAATCAATTTAATTACAGTTCCAGATTAATCTAAAATATAAATAGATTAATACCTTAAGATAATCTCACAATTATATCATACATTTTGGTTTAAGCTTTGCAATATAGAAATTTTTAATTCTATAATTAGGTACTTTTAACAGTTAAACCAATCTAAATTAAGACCCAAATAAAAACAAAGAAGAATTCTATTAATATTAATCCCTAATTGCCACAAAGTAAACAAGTATATTCTCTAGTTTTTGAATATCTTCCAAACCCTCTTGTATTGTATAGATCACATTCTTGACAAAGTGCTCCAATAGTACCTTCTAAACATGTATCATCTCCGAATTTCCAACCTCCAAGACAATTTTTTGGTTAATTAGAACATAATTCTAATGTTGAAGAATATAAAGTATATCTCCAAACTCCTGGATATAAATCTATTAAATTTTCAGTATGATTTCTTATATAATAAGGATTCGATTTTTAGCATGAACCAATAAGAGGATTTACACTGTAATAGCCTTTTGATGAATTACAAGCAAGACATTAATCTTCTTAGAAGTATTCTCCCATTTAACATTTAATTGTTTTAACATAAAAAGTAAATTTATAATTTATATTCTCAATTGCATCACAACTAATTCCTACTTATAAATAATTATTTTAATAAGGATTTAAAATGAAAATTAGTTTTTCTAAATTAAGTGAGCTTTCCACAGTATTAAATTGTATTTAAGTAAAGGAAAAATTAGTTTGTACAATTTTAAAATTTTCATTCAATAAATCTTATTGAATATCACATAAAATTGACAAATTAGTTAATGTTTAATCTTCTTAAAAATAATTTTAAATTTTGAATTATAAATTTATTGAATTATTGCTAAATGTAAGACTCTTCATATCAAATTCTCTATAAGATTATAATGATTAACCACTTGGAAGATGAAGTAATATGTTTCCTCTTTTAGAAGTTTAATTGTTTTAAATTGATTTATTAAATAATTAATTAATCTTTTGATTTGTATCAATTTTTAATTAAAAATATTCTTGTCCATAACTATTTGTCTTATAAATAGCTTTATTATTAAAAAATAAAGTTGTTTATAATGAATTGATTCGATCTTTCTTTAAAATAATATCATTAAATATTCCACCTCCTTAATATGCCTTATTTTCAGATATCACTGAACTTATGACATAAAAAGGAGAATTTTAGATATAAATAGCTCCTCCTTTTTATAAAGCATTATTATGAATGAATAACGATTATTGTATTTGATAATTGACATTTGATATAGAAACTTATCCATTTTGAGAATTTGAATTGTTATAATAAAAATGTTTTTTTAAAACAACTAATTATTCTCCTCCTAATTATTATGAACTTATATTTAATTTATTGTTAGAAATACAACTATTATTAATAAAAATGAATTATTCTAATCTTGATTTAAAATACTTCTAATAATGAATATTAAATAGACCCAGATTAAATGACATTTAAGAAAAATAAATAATCATTGCATCTTGAATAAAGAATTTCTATTAGTCATCTGAAAATTGAATTGATATTAATTAATCTGGAGCTGAACTTTAAAGAAGTATTTGTGTTATTAAACAATTTTCTTGCTTTATTTAGAATGTATTAATTAATTATGTATCTATTTGGAGTATTTCCTCTTTAAAATTTTATAAACAAGGGTCTTTATAAAATTAAGGTACTCTAAATATACTCTATCTTAATGTTAAATGAGCTATATTTAAAATTTTCGTTCTGGAATCTACAAATTATAAGTATGTATTACTTTGATATGATTCATATTAAATTAATGAGCTAGTCAATAGTTCTCCTACTTCCATATATAAATTGTAGAGTTTCATATTTTCTATTTTAGTTAAAGAGAAGGCTGGTTAATTTATTATATCAAAATACATATAGATATCATAAATTGTAAGATTGCTAATTTAAAAATAATAGTAAATACCAGTAATCAAGATAAAAATATCCATTATCCTTATTAATATAGGATATTTCATTCTCATTTAGTTCCTGAAATTCATTTGTATTTTGATAATATCCATCAAAAGATACATTAACTAAAATATTACTTAAAATGACAAAGTTATATTAAGTCTAAAGAGAAAACTAAATACCAAAAAAACCCTTAAATAGTGATATAACATTATAAGCAATAATATTTCTAAGTTCTATTCGATTGTAAGTATTTGAAGGGATTAAATACAAGAATCCACCATCATAAAGACTGTAGGATGTAATGACTTTAATATCTATAAAGTTAAGAATTAAATTCGAATCCTTTGCAATTACATAGAATGATCCACCTTTACTCTCCTTACCTCCTATAGCAATACTATCTGATATAGATGCATTTTTTATATTGAATACACTATCTAAAACCAATTCAATCTTACAAAAACCTCCTTAAATAGCTTTTGAAAACTTAGAAGATATGTTAATAAGAGTAAGGTATTGAGATTAAATATTAAAAATACTACCTTCTGATTAAATAGGAAACAATTACTCTAAGACTTTTATTGAAGAACTTGAATAAATCATATTTATGTACTAATATAACCAATCAGCATGTATATTAGTAAAGATACTTGTAAAATTGCAAAGTAAAATATTTTTTGATTCTAAATAAATAAGGGCATTTGATGTGTTACTAATAATAGTATTTTAGAATTCAAAATTTGAAAGTTAAATTTCACTTTAAAATGATAGAAAAGATATGAGAGATAATTATTCAGAAGCTTTTCTAATTTTCTCATAACTATTACCAAAGAGAAATGCAAAATAAAAATTATTAAATAATACTTTTGAAGCCTTACTTAATTAAAACTAAATTATAGATGTTTCATATATTCCAAATTCTTAAACCAGAATTATATTCTAAATATTAAAATCAATTAATTAAATTTCCATAATATTTGAATCATCCTATAATTTAATCAAATTAGAATTTTATATTTTTAAATTGGTTATATTGAATTTAAGTAATGTTATAACTGTTGAATTGTGGATGTAAATTAAATTTTACAAGGTTGGTGCTTGATAATAATCCAATTCTTTTTCATGACTTATTCTAGAAATTGATTCCTACCCATAAATTATTACATTCTAAACTTTTATGTACTTAGAGTTAATAATATTCATTTAAAAACTTGATTAGACTATTATTGAGCAAAAATAATCTTAAATTAATACAAACTTTGCTTAAATAATAAATAGAAATTAATTCTAATTTAAAATATTAATCTAATTCAATTGAGTAATTTTAATAGTTGATATTTATACATCCTCATAGTAATCATGTTAAATTTTAATTATATTACTATCTGAGATTATTTCATTAAGTAATAGTTATGAAATGTAAAATTTTAAAGAATATGAATCCAATCTTGAATTAGATTAGGTTGAAATTAAACTAGAATTTATAAATTTTGTTGAGGATATTTAGATACTTTCAAAATAGACAGGGCTATGTATCATAAATACATTTGTGTTAGTGAAATTAGTATTTAAAATTTCTATATCTGTAAAAACTTAATAATTAGTTAGATAATTTTCAATGAATTAAAAATCTTCAATTAAACATTTTAAAAATGAGATTTTAGAAAATCTAATGTATTAGAATATTAATCTATTCTATTCTCCAACAATTTAAATAATTTTAGATTATTTAAATGTACAATTTATTAGTGTGAAATTATTAAATTGAATAGAATTTGTTTCAATATTTGGATTTACAAGATCTACTTATATAACACTTGTATTAAAGAAGTAACAATTTTTAAATATTACATTTTCAAATCTTACACTAAAACCATTTTGTGTTTTGTTCTATTTAATATAAAATAATGAAAAATTTGATATTTAAATGGAATCTAATATTACAGTATTAAATTCAATATAATTGATTTCATTCCAAATGAATAACTATTTATATATATTCTCTTATAATTATTAAGTTATTGTGATATTTAAAAATGTTAGTTTAGTTCCATTATTTGAAGTAATTAAAATAATATTCTCACAAAATCGTTCATTTATTGATATCAAAAAATCTTTAATTACTATTTCATCAAAATAAAATATATCTAATTTGAAAGGACAAACCATTTCTTCATATAATTTTGAATTAATAATCAATTGACTGATATATTATTGACTATAAATATTATTTTTTATTGGTATATCAACAAGTAAATTAATAAAATATTCTATATCTAAATAAAGATTTATAGTCACTTTTGAGAAAATAAGATCACTATCGATTTTTTAAAGTGTTAAATAGTTATATTCAGTGTAAATCAAAAGCTATTCTTATTTCAAATAGTTTTATAATTTTGGTATTGGCCTTCCTGTAAACTAATCAACAGAAAATTATTCAAAATTAGTCTTTAAACAAAACAAATCATCTGAAGAAGACTTTGGTTAACAATATAGGCATTAATAAGGACATTTGTAACAGTAGCCATTATATTCAGTTATTATTTTTGAGTTATCGTATGATTAACACTCAGAGCAAGAATCTTCTGAATATTATATACAATAAGGAATTTTAATTTCAATAGAACAATATTTAGAATATCCAATATTACCTTTACAAATACCATAAATATCCAAATATTGGAAATTATTAAAAGCTAATTCTAATCTTTTTGATATGGCTTAAAGAAATGGTTAAACTTATGTAATGTAACTATTATTAGTAATAATGTAATCAGGAACACATTCAGTAAATTATTAATTACATTAGTTACATTAACCAAAATTGTTTATATAATATCCTTTTAAGCATTAAGTGCAAAAAAGTTTTTTTCTATTTGATTAAACACATTTGAGACACTTTTAAATATAATCTGTGCAATCAGCTAATTCATATCCTTATGTAAAATCTTTTGTTAATGTAGTTAAACAAACCTTATTACCTTAGTCATTTACAAAATAATCTATACACTAATCTTATGTAGTCTGTTTTAATTCACATTTCATAGTTTAAAAATTATAAATGAAATTTTCTTCACATAATGCACAACCTATTAAATAATCTTCATTAAGGATTTCAATAGATTAAGAAATTTGAGTGCTTATAAAAGCTTAATTAATCAAAGAAGATATTACTATTTCATCTGCTTTAAGATATTAGAAGCAATATTTACAATTAGGTATTGTACATTATTAACAACCTTATCTATTTAATAATAAAATATCATTCTTATTTATACATTAGATACACATTTTGGTTTTTGTTTCACATACTAAACATTTATAGCCACAATTGTTATAATTAAAAATATCAATCTATTTTCTAGGTAAACAAACTTAATTTGTTTCATCATACTAATATAAGCAATGAACATACGCTGGTTACCCTAAGTGATTTACATTAAGTTTATAACAATTTAAATTTAATTCATAAGGAATGCAAAAAACAAAACAGTAATTACAAAGTTTTAATTCACCATCGCTATATGTATATAAATAATTTTGCATTTAATCAACTAAATTATAATCTGATTATTATAAAATCTCTTTCCATCCCTTATCAATTATTTAGTATTTAATGCAAGTACTATTATATATCCATGTTTCCCAATTCAATAAACATTCAATACATATAATATAACCATTTTATGATTATGATGGACTAATATTAAGAAAATGAATACCATCTAATGCATTCTCCATCATACAAAAAATATCCAAAGGCACAAATGATATGTGGTTTTATTTTATCATAACCTTAGATTTTTGATGTTTATTCATACAAAACTTAAACATAAGGATCTTAGAGCAAATCATAACATTAAACATTGTTTTATTCCAATGTCCAAGGCTTACAAAGGCAAGTTGATTCATCTTCATTATATATACGATTTGAATTCTCCTCACATGATAAACAATTATTTTAAAAAGGGCCATTACATGTAAAACATGAAAAATGACAAGGTTAAAAAATACTAAAATCTTACATACATGAATTGAAAATGAAAGATGCAATCTAACCTTTAATTTCTAAGTCTTAATCTGATTTTGCATTAATTGTTATTTAACTCACAGTCTATGAGAACTATCTTATATTTTATATTTCAACAATCACATTTTCATTAAAATTTGGAAAATATATTTAGAAAATTAGCATTTCATTCTAATATTATATTTTAATAAAATGCCAATTATAAATAAATATTGGATCAACATGTGTTATTTCTGTTTATTAAATCAATGATTATATGTATTCGACATTATAATAGTTATATGGAAATTTAAAGGAATAATATTTACAATAGATTACAAGATCGGAATCACTTTAAAAGTGATAATATACCTACATTGTATTCCTACCTAAAGATAATTTTTGATCAATTTCATTTTATGTATCAACAACTAAAACTTAAATTAAATTTTCAGAATTTATTTATGTTTCTAATTTATTCCAAAATTATATTTAATATTCCTTATGTATCTTAACAGGTATATTAAATGTATTCAAATTAGTAGATAAATATTCCATGTATGGCATTGAAAAGTCTTTACGTGATTCATAACAATAAAATGAATATAAGTAAAAAACTCTTGTATAATAGGTCTCATTAAGAACCAAAAATATAAATCCTTAAAATCCCATTAAATCTAACTCATTGTTTCTTCCACCAAATATAAATTTGACGTTTTATTTTTATAAAAAAATATTGTCAATCTAAACTGTATTCATCTAATCTTCTGTGTTAACCTTTAGTTAAAGTTATAATAGTTCTTCAGAATAACTAAATATCGTTCCTACTTCTAAACCTTCATACTTTAAATAATCTTATTCAAATTTATATTCTTCCATAGTATCAGATGATCTTGAAAATATTTTTATCACATGATAAATTTTTTATACATCAACATCAATTGTTTAGTATGCAATTAGTGTGTGCTCTTAAAAGTAAACTGAAAATAAATGGGCTTCTTAATAAGGGGAATCAAGGGTTTTTGCTAGATTTATCATTTAGTTTAATGGTGTATAGTATGTAAATACACCATAATTACTATTATCCTCTATGTCAACAATGCTTTATTTAACAGGATATTAGGTTGATAAAAGTAATACGGTACAATTCAGGATTTGAAATAACCAAGTTATGATTAGAAAAACTGCTTTATACATTTATCAATATGCAATTTTAATATATAATACTAATCATTACTAATTATTAACATATAGAAGGATTTGAATAATAAAAAGATTCATTATTTGATTTATAGATTGACTGAAATTTATTAATCAAATATATATTCTCAATTTCAAATAGTAAGAATGCAAAAATAAATTTATCTAATCATTTTCATAAATATAATGAAAATATTTCAATTAATAATTAATTATTCTTTTAATGGTGCTAGAAACCTAATTATTAATTAAGAATAGATCATCTAATATTGTGATTCCTCCTCCTAATATTAAAAGTATTAGAATATATCTATTATTAGAATATGCTGATAAGACTGCAGAATATGTGGCAAAAAATGGAGCAACATTTGAAGATCTTGTTATGTAAAAAGAATTAAGTAATCCTAATTTTTGTTTCTTGAGAAGAGATGATCCTTATAGACCATATTATGAAAATAAAATTACAGAGTTTGCAAGAGGATTAGTTGGTATTAATTTACTTTTAATTATTATTATAGCACCAATATAGGAAGAAGAAGATTAGAAAACAAAGCCTGCACCTAAAAATGAATAACCTAAGAAAGTAGTCAAGGCTCCACCTAATGATTAATATACTGTAGAATAACCAAGAAATTTATCAGCTTTAGATTTAGATATTATTAAACATACAGCCATATTCATAGCTAAGAATGGTAAAAAGTTTCTGGTTGCCTTAACAGAAAGAGAGAAAATGAATCCATAGTATGATTTTTTAAAACCTACTCATGATTTATTTCAATTCTTTTCAAATTTGGTTGATGCTTATACAAAATGTTTATAACCAAAAAAAGAAGAAATTGATAGATTATTGACATATGTTTAAGATAGATAAGTAATATATTAAAGATGTCAAGAAAAATATGAGTATGACATATATTTAAAAGAAGAAAAAGATAGGAAATAATAATAGGATGAAGATGAGAAATGTAAAAATTTTAATAATTATATAATAGAATAAATGGCAATGATAGATTGGAATGACTTTACAATTTGTGAAACAATTGATTTCGCAGAAGATGATAGAATTGATAAAGTTTATGAAAAAGGAATCTAAAGATTTGATAAAATGGACTTTAAAGGTGCTGATTAAACATAATTTTGTAATATGGTTGTATATTTTTAGAATAATAGTAAAACTTAGTATAGACAGGACAAGTTGTATCTAGAATTATTAATAATCCATAATAACCAAAAGAAAAATAAATCATTACTTTAAATTCAACTTTATAAAAAGCAGGATAACAAGGTGATAGTAGTGCTCCAATAATTTCAAATTATTAAAGACCTACATCATAAAATGAATTAGTCTTAATAAAATGTGAAATTTGTGGAAAGAACTTTCCTAAAAATTAAATTAATGAACATATTCAATTAGAACTATAAGATCCTCGTTATAGTGAGATAAAGAAGGAAATTAATGAAAGAAGCAAAACAACAACATTACAACCTGGTAATATGATTGCAGAACATCTATCTTAATTAAAAAAGAAAAGACCAGACATTTTTGAGGAAGATCATAGAAAACCACCACCACCTCCTCCTCCTTAATAGAGACCATAGCCTCCAAGACCAGCTCCTCCTCCCCCACCTCCTCCTCCAAAATGAATATTAATAATAATTTACACAATTAAAATATATATGCTCATTCTAAAAGGTTTTTATTGTAATCATCGGAATTAAAAAATAATTAACCACATTCTGAATCAATCTATAATTTTAATTGATTGTTAATAATGAGACAAATATTAATATACTTTGTCTTAGCATGAATAGGACTTTGAAATGATAAACTAGTATAAAAATTATGTTTCTCTTTCAAAACTTCAAATAAAAATCCAACATCATCATGAATAAGTTATACAGATATTTCTTTTGGCAATCTTAAGAATTCATTAAGTAAAATCGATTTCTTAAGGTTATATATAACGATTTGTTGATGATTTATATTCTATTCTAAAGGTTATAAAATGATATAGTTTTCTACATTTTTAATTAATAAATTATCATCATACTAATTTATATGATTTTTGCTGATGTAATTTTAATTTAAAGGTTTATTTTATTTGTTAAAAATATTTAATACTTTTATTTTATAAGTAGGACTTATAATGATTTCCATGTCATTAGATAAATAAAGTTCTTATTTATTATTATTTTAATTATTAGATTTTAATTAAGGCGAAAATTATATTATTGGATCTAATGGTTCTAAAATAATAATCTATTATGACAAATCAACAGTGATTGTTAAATAATTTTTCAAGGATTTCAAGAATTCGAATTATTTTAATTCTGGAATCTTCTTTAATAGTTTCTATGTGTTCAATGAATGAATAAAAGCTTATTCATCACAAATATCTTTGAATATTAAAGTAATGCAAACTATAAAATCTATTTCATCATCTAAGAGATAAGAATTTGCTGTAAAATTAACTGGAACTTTAAAATGAACTACATCTTAATTGTTAATGAATCCTGTAGCTGAGAGGTCTTGACTTTCTAAATTTTTAAAGTATTAAGGTAATTAGGTAAATTTTTTAGAAAATATATTTTACAATTTTGTTATATGTGAGTTTCTAATTATCTTAAAAAATCCTTATTCAACAAGATTTTATTAGTTACTGACGAATTTCACAAATTTATCTAAATATTGTGTTATAAATTCTCTATTTTAACTGTTTAATAGAATTTAACTCCCTGTCAATGGAATCGATGCATAAATTAATTCCTTTCTTTCATTTAATTTCTATATTAATAATTTATTCCTTGATTTGCCTATTTATTCATATATTTCATTTATAACATCTACAATTTCTTTATGGAAATCAGAATCCATATTTTAAAATTATATTTTATTTGTTAATAGGATTGTATATTTTTAGTGTTAAAATATTGGAATAATTTGTTCGAAAAAGTAAAACCAAAATTTCTCTAAAGAATTAAATGTAATTTAAATTGAGACTAGACTTCTATTGATAAAAGTCATAGTAAGTTGATTATAAGAATAAAAATAACATACAAAATGAAAATATCATATATTTATATGGTAGTATTCTATGATCAGTATATTTGGTTGTTATTTTTTCAATTAGAAAGGCTTTTTAGCAGATTATCTAATTAAATTAGGATCAAAAGGTTTCTTAGGTGTTGATGGTCTGATAAGTCTTGAATTCATAAATCGTTAAAAAAATATTTAAAATAAAAATGGAAAGTGTGAATTTTGCAGGAGATAATCCCCAGCCTCGCTTTGGTCATACTATTTGTGTCATAGCTCCCAATAAGATAGCATTATTTGGAGGTATATCTTGAATAAAGATTTAAAAGGTGCTGTTGGTGATACTGGAAGGTATGTAATAACAGGAGATGTGTATATTGGAGATATAATTTAAAAAAAATGGAAGCGAGTTGAAGCTAGTGGAAATGTACCTACTAATAGAGCAGCACATCAAGCTTTGGCTATTGAATTAAATCAAATGATTATATTTGGAGGAGCAGTAGGAGGTGGTGGTTTAGCAGATGATAATTTATATGTATTTGAATTAAGAGACGATACAGGAACATGGGTTACAGTTCCTGTAATTGGAACAACACCAGGAAGGAGATATGGTCATACTATGGTGCTTATAAAACCATATTTGATAGTTTTTGGTGGGAATACAGGACAAGAGCCTGTAAATGATGTTTGGAGTTTTAATTTAGAGAAATCACCTTATTCATGGCAAAAATTAGAATGCTCTTCTGAATAACCTATTGTTAGAGTATATCATTCTGCTGCATTGTGTTCAACAGGCTCAGCCAATGGTATGATGGTTGCTTTTGGAGGTCGTACAAGTGATCAAAGTGCTTTAAATGATACTTGGGGTTTAAGAAGACATCGTGATGGTAGATGGGATTGGGTGAGAGCTCCTTATAGATCATAAACTGATTAACCAGCTTAACGATATCAACATTCAACTTTATTTTTAGGAACATTAATGTTAGTGATTGGAGGTAGATCTAATAATGTAGGAGAGACTTTGCCATTTGAAATATATGATACTGAAACATCTGATTGGTATAAATTTTAACCAATTCAGAGATTCAGACATTCTTCATGGTTGGTGGAATAATTTTTATATCTTCATGGAGGATTTGATTCAGATCAACCTAATATTCCAACTGAGGGAATCTTAAGAATTGATTTAAATAAGAGATTTGCTTAAACTCCTCAATTATTAAAGTAAATGAATACTATAAAAGCTGATTAATCATTTTCGCAATCTTTTAATCCTAAACCTTCTCTTCCTTTAGCATAAACTTAAGATTAATTTAAAAAAACAAATTAATCAGCATCTGCTCAATAAAAAAGTAATTTTTACATTAAAATTAGATTAAAATTCACATCAGTAAATTAGAGTGTCAAGTGCAACTAATAAAAATATTAGATTGGCTAATTAAGCATTAGTTGCTATGACTTATGGTCCAGAAGAAGATATAACTAATTAAGTTAAGAAAGTACCAATAGATAAATTACAAGATGAACATAAAAAATTAGGACCAGGATTTTAGGATCCAAATTCTTAAAATAAATCATAAGTTTTAGATTAATTATGTTAACCATTTATGTAGAATCTATTAATACCCAAAGATTATTCATAGATTCCTCCAAATTCTAATTTATTAACAGGTCTTAAAAAAGAAATGATAATTAAATTATGTGATGAAGTTTAAAGAATTTTAGAAAAAGAACCTAACTTATTGAGATTGAGAAGACCAATAAAAATTTATGGAAATTTAAATGGTTAATATCTTGATTTAATGAGATTTTTTGATCATTTTAAAGCTCCATATGATAATTTATATAATGGAGATATAGATTCTTAAGATTACTTATTTTTGGGAGATTATGTTGATAGAGGTTCAAGATCTTTAGAAATCATTTTACTTTTATTTACATTAAAAATTAAATATTCTGATTAAATTCATTTACTTAGAGGACATCATGAGGATCCTAAAGTAAATAAAATTTTTGGTTTTGCTGATGAATGTTATATAAAATTTGCAGAAGATATTATGGATCCAAATAGCATTTATTAAAGAATAAATAGAGTGTTTTAATATTTACCATTAGCAGCAATTATTGAAGATAAAATATTTTGTGTACATGGTGGTATTGGTTAAACAATGAGAACAATTGATGAAATTGAATTGATATAAAAACCGTTAGAAATAGTTCATGATCCTAAGACTGTAATTTATAATATTTATTTAAGTATTAATAAAAAATAGCTTTGGAACTTTTATGGTCTGATCCATGTTTACAAGAAGAAGAATTAGATAATATACCAAATCCAGATAGAGATATATTTTAAAATAAATAGATTTTCAGATTTGGAACAAATAGAATTAATAAATTTTTATAAGAGAATTCTCTAAATATGATTATAAGATCACATGAACCAACAATGGAAGGATTTGAAAGATAAAATAATAATGTAATAACTATTTTCTCATGTCCAGATTATGGAGGCAATTAACCTTAATGTAAAGGATGTATGATATTAATAATATTTCTTAAGCAATTTTAACTATTTCAAAAAGAGGTGAAATTATACCTAAAGTAATATTACCTGCTGCACCAATTTAAGAATAAAGATGGATGGATTTGGAAGAGCCAATTTAAAGAAAAAAAGGATTTGCTAAGTACTTAATTATTGACAACGAAGAAGCTTAATTGAGAAAACGACCATCTACTCCAACTAGATAAAAAAGACCATCCTCTTAAAAATAATTCAAATGATTTAAATTAATAATTTTGATATCTTCATATTAATCCATAAATTTATAATCTTATTATTTTTATTTATTTATTTTTTTAAACTTAGTAGATATAAAAATAACTAAAAATAAACTAAAATTCAAAATAGAAATATTTTTATATTAGGTTTGATTAATAATATTCAATTGTAAAAGAAATCTTTATATGACCTCAGCTATTCATCCTCTTAAGCTAAGGATAAAAATTTAACTTTAGTTGGTTTATTCTCTGGAATCAATTACTATTTAATTTCTTTCATTTTTTCCTCTATATTAATATATAAAATTATTACATTTTCTTCTTTCAAAATCTTCCTCAAATTTTCTTAGAGAATCTTCGGAAGCTTCATATACAACTTTAGCAGAATGAGATTGACCTGTAAGTTGAATTAATTGAACTTATTCCATAATTTCTTTTTAATTAGATTCATTTTTATTAATTTAATCTTCTTATTTTTTTTTTTGCACTTTCTATGTATAAGTATCTTATGAAAAACTCTACATATAGCCATCAAGTTTTTATGTAAACTTCTTCTCCTTTTATTTCACTTCAATAATTTCTTCAATTTTTGGAATGTCATCTATTAAAGGACTTTAATATCCAATAGGTTTAGATACTTCTAGAATTTCCTATTGTTTATTGTCAATCTTAAGGTTATGCAATTCTTAATCTTAGGATAATTACTTTTCGAGTTCAATTTAGGGAAGTATAACTTCTAATTCTTTTTCTTTAGCTGTCTCAACTGATTATAATGCTTTTTTTAAAGATCTCACATGAGATTCTTTTTATTATAATTTCATATCAATTTCTTCATTATTTAAAATTTAAGTATTCACATTCTTAAAATTATCATTTTTCTTAATATTTTGTTCATCATCATCTTATTTATTTTTCTTTTAAACATCATCTTTCTATTTTTTAATAACTTGCTTTTATTTTTATTGTTTTTAATTACTTGAAGTCTTTTTAATTAATTCTTTAATTGTTTATTATTAGATTTAAGGTTTCTTTTTTAAAGCATCTTGAAGTAAAGTTAATTATAATTCAAAATCAACAGAGGATTTTTATTATTTGTCTTATTTATTCCAGAAATATTCATCATCTTCTTCCTCCTCACTAAAATCATCTGAAATTGATTATTCTTCAACAATATTATCATTAAGTTCTTATTAACATTCTTCTAAATCTTCTATAATTTATGGTTCTAACTCTTCTGAAACATCTGTAAATTACTCATCCTCTTCCTCTTTTCTATTTTAGTTTTGATCAAAAAATGTTTTCTATATTTATTAATATAATTATTACTAAATCAGTTAATGATTCTTCAATTTTCTATTTTGATTGTCCACTATTTTATTAAACCTCAATAAATAATATTTTAAAAATACTTGGTCTAAATGATAATGATCTTATTTATCCTTGACTACTTATTCTTCCACTAAATTTTGGAGTATCTGCATCATCATCAAATTAAAGATTGCTTCCAACAATCAAACACATTCCTATAGCTGTTTATTAAACATCATTTGTATTAATTGATAAATTAGCTTGTATATTACTATTCTGATTTATTGAAATATTAACAAATCCATTATGATGATAACCAACAAGGAAGGCTATAGCGTTGACTTGAGATTAAAATTAAGGATATTTAAATATGGCTTGTTGGGTTGCTCTGAAATTTGAACAGTTAATATAAACTTCATTATCTGTAGTTGCTAAATATCTATAAGTTGCATTCAAAGTGACAGCACTAAAAAATTGGATAATGAAATCATTTTAAGTAATATTTTTAACTTTTGCAAATAGAGCTGTTGTAGATGTATGTTCTACTAAAGCTAAAGCTACTTAAGGTACTTTTGCGAATGGAGTATCAAATCGAACTAGCTAGGATTTAATAAGAAAATACTTGATTATAAATTTATGATCCATTTGCTTCTTCAAATTAAATAACTCCTATTTCTAACTCACTTGTTGCATTTACATTTAAAGAATTACAAATGAAAATGAGTGTTATTATGATGAATGTTTTCATATAATTAAAATAAAAACGAATTTATTAAATATAATATATTTAATTAATTATATTTCAATTCAACGAACATCTTTGACTGAACACTCTCTTTTCCATACCATCCAATAAAAATGATAAATATCAACACTTTTAATATATGATTTTGAAAATTCCAATAACATTAAATAAGGTTTTGTATCTCTATTTTAATTTATAAAATAAAATTACTTTTGATTCTTAAATTTAATGAAAATCAGCCGACTATTTATTCTTCTTAAACTCTTATAGATTTGTTACTGTACAATTGAAGAATTATCTTAACAAAACCCCACTATAACAAAATATATTGATCTCTTATCTAATAAGTATTACGGAATGGTAAGCTTCTATTCACCATTATCATCAATGTCTAATTTTATTAGTGACATTGTTCAAGTAGTAGATAAGTCATTTCTATTTTCTGCTAATTTTAATAACGAGTTTTCCATTATTGCATATTGTAAACACAATCTCTAAACTAAAGAAATAACTCATACATTAATATTAGTTTAATAACAAGAAATATAAGAATAATAATTTGTTGTTTCATTTGACCCATTACTATATGAAGGCTAACTTATTTGTACATCTTTTTATTATGATGCTGAACTATAAAATCTTCAATTTATAATTTAAACTAAAAATGATATGTAATATAAAAATTTCAATCAAATTAATTTAGAGTTAAGAAATGTTAAGTTTGTATTTGGTGGAGTAAATTAAAATTTAGAGTTTAGTAGTTTTTAAGGGTAGTTATATCCTATGTTAGCGGATAATTAAGGAAATATTTATTTTTATTTGAATTATCTAATTGCTCTTAATTAATGCTCTTAATTTGAAGAGACTTTTGTATTTGATTAAAAAGAATATAATCAAGAAAATAATTGGCAACTTACATTACCATTCATTGTTTTTAAGGATTATTCTATATACTTTTGGCATAGATTTATAACACCTATAGAATCTGGTGATTTAGTATATTTAATACATATAAACACTTAAATTGAGTTTAATCTAAATTATTCTTTAGGAACTAATACTCTCATGATTAATTACTAATTATAAGAAAATAAATAGATTTTGATATCTGTTAAATATTATTCATATGAATTTCCATACATATAATATAATACAGATTATATTAGATCATTAATTAAAGAATATTAAATTGAAGAAATAGATTCATATCTAATTTATTAATGGCATTTTACAACTATTCAATATTAATATAACAGTTTATTTATTTAAATATATTATCCAGATTAACAGAAAAATGTTAATTTTAAGGATGATACTGTAAGACAATTTTCTTATTCCTAATTTTCTTTAATATTTGGAGAGAATTTAAATTAAAAACAATATAATGGAAAAATAAATTAGTTCAAATTTAAAAGTTGTCAGGAAGAATTAATTGATACTTACTAATGTCATTTTTCATGTAATACTTGTAATGGACCTTTGAAAAACAGTTGTTTAACTTGTCCTGAAAATTCATATCGAAATTATAATCCTGAGAGTCATACTTGCACATGTTAACTTTGGACTTTAGAATAAAATTAAACAAAATGTTTCTCTATTTCTCATATTGATTAAATGACAATAAAATACATTGAAAAATCTAGTAAAAAAAATTATGATTAATTTGAACCTTATATAGTATGTTCATATGGATATTTCTTATATGAAGATGATTGCTATTAATGGTAAGTTTATTTATTATATAGAATAGTCCTTCAGCTTCTCAAAAAGGAGATTTAATATGTCTTGAATGTTTAGATAATTGGTAAAATTGGATTCAAAATCCTATATGTAAGGAATATGTGCTAAATAAAATCATTTATGATCATGAAAAATAGGAATATAACTATGTAATTGATTATTTAAATATTCCTTCATTGTTTCTCTTTATCGATCATGAATTGAAATTGTGTAATTATTGTACTTAATTTTGTATACATTCTTCTCTAACATATTAATGTAAATAAATTAAAGAAAAACATTTAGGTAAGGATACTTATGTAGAATGTTTATATTTTTATGATAGTTAGACCTTATCTTGTTTACCTCCTAATTAGATATTAAATGACGGTCGTTGTTCAGGATAGGCTTGTAATAGTTAATGTAAATGTTGTGGTTTTGATAATCATTGTATTTAATGTATTAATGAAAATGATCTTTTACTTTTGAATAAAAAAGATTGTGTTTTATGTACAATTCCTAATTGTAAAATATGTTTTCAATATCTTAAATAATCAGATGGAATATTGATTTCAACCCTCACCTATACTAATTATTATGAAATCATTACTAATGAGGATTATATAATAGGATGTGCTTTATGTGAGGACAATTACATTTACAATTTCATATTAAATATTTGTTAATTAAAATAACAAATTTCTGAATCTTGTGATAATTATCTTATTGATTAATTTAATTAACCAATTTGTTTGACTACATAAACATAAAATTTTAATGAAGGAATTGAAATTTCAAATTGCTCTAAATTTTTAAAATCCTGTTTAAATTGTGTGAAATCAAATATAAATAAACTATTTTGTACAACTTGTTAATAAGGCTTTTTTTAAAATTCTTTAGGATATTGTGAATCTTGTGATGAGAAATTCAAAGAATGTAAATTACGTTACCCTAATTAATATGATATAACTATGCAATAATTATAACCATTTCTTTTAGCTATTTCTAAAGGATAAAAACTCTTTTATCCTCCTTTATATGTTTATTAAGTTTAAATTGGTATTTGTTAACAAAGTGACAAATGGTCTTAAAATTGCAATTAAGTTAGGAATGTTAATTATTGCAACAAATATTATACTAATGTTTGTATAGAATGCATCTAAGATGATACTTAAATCATTACTCTATATGAAGGAATATGCTATTTATGTTCTTATCAATGCAAAATATGTCTACCATCTTTGTTAAATAAATCAGAAATAAAATGTTTTCACACTGATTCTTAAACTAATTATATTGATTAACTTTCAAGTAGAGTAAAAATAAAAAGAGAAAATGATTCTAAATATTTATCTTAATTAACTATTGAAAATTTAAGTTGGATTGATGAATATTCAGATGTCTTTAATTAGTAATTGTTTTAAAGAATGAATTTTATATATCTTTTGAATAATACTTTTGGACAATATTTTTACAAAAGATAAACATAAAATATTTCAGAATATTATCAAAATCTTATTATTTAATAAATAACAGTATACTAGGATGGTATATTACAGTAATAAATTAGGTCTTTAGTCATTGTTGATTATTAAATCATTAATTTAAATAATCTAAGTATTTCAATTTAAAATTTAAATAAAGATGAAATTATTAATACATCTTCAAAATATGGATAGGATATCTATATTAATAATCTTATAATTAATTAAACTAATTATGTAAATCTCTAAAAATAAATATTCCTTTTTAATAATATTACTAGTCTATTCATCAATAATCTGACTATTATCAATATTGATTTATAAAACTTCCATTTATTTAAACTTTCTATTTTTATTTAATCTACAAGAATTAATATCACTTTAGTAAATATTAAACTTTTAAATTGTAAATTAATAAATTCTAGTATTTTTTCAATAACATAAATATTAGATATATTTGATTAGAATACAATTGTTTTAATGCAAATTCAATTTTTAAATTGCATATTTTTAAATTCATATTTTTTGTTATTTTAGGACAACTTATTGTGTCTTAATTTATAATCTTTATTAATTGATAATCTTACTATTTAGCAAAGCAACTTTACTTCAAGTTAAATATTTTCTAATTATACAGCAACATAAACTAAATTATCTTTTATAACTTTTATGAAAAATTAAATTAATAATTCAAATTTTTTTGTAGCAGATCTTAAATTTGAAGTTTACTCTACTAAAATTGAATATACATCTATCAGAAATAGTTAATTTATATATTTTAAATAATAACTTTCAGCTGCATATCAAAAAGAGTTACTTATTATTAATAAAATATTTATATCATAATTATAAACAGATTCATCTTTACTGAGTATATCATAAAATATTATTAGATATATTGAATTTTATAATATAGAAATTAGAGATTTAATATAAATAAAAAATGATCAACATTAATCATTTGATCTATTTTTATTATAAGCAAATATACTAATAATTAATAATTACTTAAGTTATAATTATAATTCTAATCAAATTTAAATTTCTATTCTAAATTCTAATATAATCAAATTATCAAATATTTTAATAGAAGAATAGAAAAATGATATCAGAATAAATCATGAAATTGAATTTTTTAATTGTCCATTACAATAGCAATTTTTAAATGTTTATAATTTCACTTCATTTATAATAGATAACTTCTAAATCTAAAATATCATGATTTGCAATCATAACTTTATTAAAATAGAAGATATTCAAAATTATGTTACTCTAAAATTACAAAATGTTAATTTTAATGATATTTTACTTTTATAAATTTAGGGTACTTCTTAAACATCTATTATTGCTATTTCTATATCAAAATAATCAATTATATAATTTAAATCATTTACTATTACAAATGTATTTGGAAATAATTATGAAAGATTAAGAAAAGTATCTGAACAATTAACAATAGTTTCTATTGTTGTTCCTTAAAGCAATTTAGAAATATTAAATAGTTATTTTAAAAGTAATATTATCACTAATACTACTAATGCTTTAATCTATTTAGAATCCAAATCAATTTCAATTGATAATTTTACTAATTTGGAGTCAAATTACTTTACAGAATTAATATACGCTCACTTAAACTAAGAATACACTAAAATATCTATTAAATCTCTCTAATAATTATTTCCAATTAAATCAGAGGGAAGTATTTTAAATATTCTATGTTAATATTTAAATTTAAATAATCTTAATAATGAAAATTCTGTTGCTTTGTTGGGGGGATTTTGTAAGATTGAATTAATTTTAGATTGTGAATTATAAGTGTTAAATACTAATATACGTAATAGTAAATCGATTTAGGCATAAGAAAGCAAAGGAGGATCCTTTTATATAAATGCAAAAGATACAAATTTAATAATGAAACTAATTAATATAACTATCTCAAATTCATATTCCCTATATGATGGTGGATTTATATATTTAATTCCTTCTGATAGTTCAAATTTCTTGATTCTAGAAAATATAAAAGCCACAAGTGTTTTTTCAATATTTAGAGGTTTTATGAGTGCTGAATTTTCATTATAAACAAGTGAGAATTTTGTGGTTCTAAGGAATATTGATATTCAATTAGAATACACCTAAATTGAGGATATAACAAGTAATTATGATGTATTAAAAGATAATGAACTAGATTATATTAAAATAAAAAATGGTTATTTTTATTTCAATTACTGGTATATATATATATTTTTATTTTAGTCAATTGTAATTAATCAACATCAACCTATAATTCCAAATAATTACATAACCTATTTTCTATCTATCATATATGCAAAATCTACATATATTGAATTTCTATTTAGAAGTTGGTGAATAGACAAGTAACACAATAATAGAATTTGAATCAATTAAAAGTAAGAAAATAAATAATTATTTAGATTCTTAAGACAAAAATTTAATTATATAATCATTCTAGGCTAGACAAGCTGAAGTTACAATTCCTGAAGCCTTTTATGCTCAATCATGTAAGTCTACTTATTAATATGAAATTATCCATTTATAATATCTAAGTGAAAAATCATTTATTTTGAAAAATAATAATTGCTTGATAAATTAATTATCAAAAGTGTATTAAAATGTAGAAAGCATAATTTAGATAAGACTTTTAGATAATTTTAAGAATTTTATATTTTCTAATGGTTTTGTACTTAATTTTCATAAAAATTCTTATTCAATGGCTTTAATTGATATTTATTACTAAACTTAAGTTAAATCCAAATTTGAGTTATTATATCTATTAAATAATAAATGTACTCTATCTACTTGCTTAAGAATTAGATCTAATGACTAGTATAAAATGGCTGAAGTAATTTTAAAATAAATTTACATGTTAAATAATAATAATTCAAAATATGGTTAGCTAAGTCTTTAAAATATAAGTTATTTAATTAAATTATCATATTTTATGAATAATAAGGCAATAGAAATGGCAGGGGCAGTTTATATACAAAATAGTCCTCTCAAAATTAAAAAATCTTACTTCATTAATAATAGTGCTCCATTGGTAGGTGCAATATATTGTTCAAATATCTCAATCAAGGATAGACAAGTATTAACTTCTACTTCATTCTTTTATAATAATCTAGCTATATAAGCAATTAATACTTTGGGAATTGAATTTTATTCCATAAGTATGAGTCAACCAGTAGAAAAGAATCAAATCATTACAGATTATCCATAATTATCTAAATCAAAAAATTAGAGCAATTCTGAATTATATATGGTCTATTTACCTAGTGGTTAGACACTTAAATAATATTAAATTTTTGACACTAAAATACTGAAATATCAAAACTAAGAACTTTAACTTAAATTTATAATTTTAAATTATTTTAAAGAAAAATAAATCATAAATAATTATTCTATATAATGCAACATTACATCTAATTATATAGATAAGGACTTCAATATTTTATAGAAGAATAATATAACTATTTTTACTGCTGAATTCAATAAAGATAAAAGTGAATTAAATTTAGAAAACTATACATTTATATTGAATCCATATTCTGAAGACTTATTAAAAATCCAATTATCATGTAATAATATTGAATATAATGATAATAATTATTATGAATTATTTGCAAAAACATATAAATGTTAGATGGGAGAGTATTTCTATGAAGATTAATGTTTGAAATGCAATGCATCTAGAGGATATTATAGTGTAAATCCATTAAATGGAGAATGCATTAAAGCAAATCCTGAATCTATCAAAAATCATACAGAAAATTTATTAAATCTTTATGAAGGATTTTGGAGATTGAATATTTTAACTCCTATTGGCGAATATTGTTCAAACAACCCATCAAATTGTTTAGGAGGATGGGAAACAGGAGACATAACATGTATGATAGGTCACATAGGTGCTTTATGTGAGGCATGCGATATTTATAATTTGAGAGGTGAGGGTCAATACTCAAAAAGTAGAGATTATAAATGTTCTTAATGTGAAGATTTTGGCTTTTTAATTGCTGAATTTCTGTTAGCTTTTATATGGGCTTTTTCATAGATAGTTTTGGCTGTAAAAAGTACTTAATTATAAAATCAAAAGTTTCTTTTATCTAAATCTTAAACAAAATTTTATGATATTTTAGTAAGGCTATCTTAAGGTAAATTATATTTATGAAATATAGATTAATCAAGTTCTGTTATCAAACTAATAAGTAATTATTTTCAGATTATAATGGTAATATATACATTTAAGGTTGAATTTATTTCAAATTTAGATAGCATATTTTAATTTATCGGTAATTCTACATACTCAACTACTTATAATTTTGATTGTTATATATCCAAAATTGAGTAATTAGACATAATGTATTTGAATTTGATTTGGATCTTATAAGTTCAATTTTTGTAGTATATCCTTTATCTTTTATTATCATTCTTTATTAAATTATCAAGACCAAGATTTTTTTCTTTGGAGACAATTTATTCATCTTTCTATTACTTATATTTATCAGGACAAATTAACCTAATAAAATTGTAAATTTTAATATAATAATTTAGATTAGCTTAATTAATTACTCCAAAGACAATAAGTAATGTATAATGGATCTCAGCAAATCTATCTTATCGTTATTGGACAGCCACTCATTAAATGGTATTTTTTACTCTTATTTTACCTTTATTAATTATTTTTGGATTATTTATACCTTTATTTTTATTTTTAAAATTATCTGAAAACAAATTTAACTTAAATAATTATAAGATTAAATAGAAATATGGATATTTATTTAATGAATATTCTAAAACTCATTATTATTGGGAATCTGTAAAATTAATGTACAGATAATTATTAATACTCATTATAGTGTTACTACAAGATTATATTGTAATTAAGGGTATAATGTTGATTGGATTACTTTTTGCTTATTAAATTATTTTTAGTATGAGTAAACCATATAATGTTGGCAAACTCAATTAATTTGAATTATAAGCAATTTAAATATGTATATGGTCATTCCTTTTATGCATATTATAATATTAAATCTAAGAATTTAATTAATGGCTAAATATTATATGTTAGTTGTTCATTTTAATGTCACTCATAATATTAATAGTTAAATCTATTTAAAAGTTCATTCAAGTTTTTAGTTCAAAGTATGAATAAATAATTGACTATATTAAGAATGTGATAGTAAGATATCTAAATTTATAATAACTATAAAATTCAAAATTATTTGAATTGAGTAGCAAAAGAAAAGCAAGAGTGTAAAAATATTTTAAAGTAATTAAACTACATGTTTTTAAAAGAGTTCAGACGAATATAAATATATAATAAACCTAAAATGTTGAAATTATGTTATGTTCAAGTTTATCGCCATCTTAAAAATAAATAACGCCAGGAAGAAGATTTTTATGATTTATCAATATTAGAGTTTTTATTTATTGATAATTTTTATGATGATTAATTTTTATTGTGTCCTTAATAATTCTTATAAATCTAAAAAATTAGTTTTATTGATATCTACAGTTGAAAATTAGTTAATCTTGATCTTTCATTTAAATTATGATATATATAGAAAACATGATTACTATATAATATGCAACCCAGGATTTTGTTTACTTATTATTGAAAACTATTAATAACTATTAATTTTTGTTTAAATATAATATTTATTGAATAAATTGATTAAATATAATTGAATAATTTATGAATATTTTTGTTTTAAAATGTGTAATATTATTTTAAAATCTAGCTAACTTCTTTTCTGTTAAATCCATCTTTTTCCTTTATTTTCTATATTAGATATAAAAATAATTGAAATTTAAATCTCTTTTAGATGGTTATTGGTTCTATAAAATATGTAAAAATGATATTTATTTTACAATAAATTGAATTTATAAATTTATATAATTATAATAAATGGGAGCTTAATGCTGCACTTTACCAGCTAAATTAACTGTTTATGAAATAGACATAGACAGTCAAAGATTAAGAGGAAGTGTACACACATAAACTAAAAGATCTGTAATTAAGAAAGATTAAAAAAGTGATGAAGAAATAATTAATTGTCAAAAAGAAAACTATGAGGATTTTTAAGTTCTTGGTTCTGGATCTTTAGATTTAAAATAGAATTAAGATTAAATACAATATTAAAATAGATTGTTACAGAAATAAGAAAGCCAAATAGAATCAAGTATGACAGTATTATAGATTTATCGAAATAGCAATCCCAAGAAGTAAATTTCAGAGAAAAATAACAAATTCATCAGTTGGTTCTGTAAAATTGGGAGCAGAAGTGTTCATTAATCTTAAATCTGGAAGCATACATAAATATTATGAAACAGGAGAAATCTTAGGATAAGGAGCCTATGGAAAGGTTTGGAAGGTAACACATAAAAATACTGGTAAAATTATAATTCATTAATTTCAGGTATGATAAGAGCGATGAAAGAACTGAAAAAAAAATCAATTATTATTGAAGAATAATAAAGATTATTTGCAGAAATGAATATTTTAAAAAACTTGGATCATCCCCATATAGTGAAACTATATGAGTTATATTAAGATTAAAATAACTATTATCTAATAACAGAATATTTATCAGGAGGGGAATTATTTGATAGAATAAAAGAATTTAATTATTTTAGTGAAAGGAAAGCAGCTGAATTGATGAGACAAATTTTATCAGCTGTTGTCTATTGTCATCAAAGAAGTATTGTTCATAGAGATCTTAAACCAGAGAATGTGCTATTTGTTAATGATTCATAATTATCTCCAATTAAGATTATTGATTTTGGAACTTCTAGAAAATATGATCAAAACTAAAAAATGACCAAGAAATTAGGAACAGTACATATGATTATTAATAACTTAGGCATATTATATAGCACCTGAAGTTTTAAAGTAAGAATATAATGAAAAATGTGATGTTTGGTCTTGTGGGATAATCTTATACATACTGTTATGCGGTTATCCTCCATTTACTGGTAAAAATGAAGAAGAAATTATGCAAAAAGTATGTGAAGGAGAATTAATTTTTGAGTGTAAGATTTGATTTTCGAAATTAGATTAGAAGAGGATTGGGAAATGATATCCACAGAAGTTAAAGATCTCATAAGAAATATGTTACAAGTAGATCCTAGCAAGAGATATTCTGCTTAGTAAGCTTTATCAGATCCATGGATCAAAAAGAATTAATCTAGTACGAAAATGAATAAAACAGCATTATAAAATTTGTAGAAGTTCTAAGTATCTAATAAATCAAATTTAGGCTTAATCTGTATTTACTTAAGCTGTACTTTCATTCATAGCTTGTTAAATGACTTCTTAATAGGAATAAGATGAATTAGCCAAATCTTTTTAATTTTTAGATAAAAATGGAGATGGAATTTTATCAAGAGAGGAACTGATAGAAGGATATAATTCTGTCTTTAAAAATAGATAATAGGCTAATTTAGAAGTTGATAAAATTTTATCAATTGTAGATATAAATTAAAGTGGTTAAGTAGATTTTTCTGGTAAATTATTTATTTTATTATTTTCAGAATTTTTGATGGCAGCTATGAATTAGGAAAAATTAGTTTCTTTAGAAAAAGTCAAAGCTGCCTTCAAAATTTTTGATGCAAATGAGGATGGGAAGATATCAAAAAATGAACTTGAAATGATGATTGGAACAATAGAAGATGATATTTGGTAATAAATATTGATTGAATGTGGAGCATAAGGAGAAATTACAGAAAAGCAATTTATAAATATTCTGCTGCATTAACGACATTGAATTTTACTTTACTTAATTTGTCCATTTATAATAATAAAAATTTATCATTTAAAATAGTATAAAAGCATTTCAAAAATAATCAAATATTTCTACATTGTAAGCCTTCTTTTTAAATATAAACAACATAAGAAGATTGTTAAAATTGTTAAGAAAATATATATAATATCAAATTATCTTTCTATTTAATTTATTCATCATATTAATCTATCAGTTGTTATTGCGTTACTCTTTTCAATAACCCTTCTATTATTATAATTCTCTATTGATAAAGCATTTTCAAAAAAAATCTTAATTCTAATTATTTTGGACAAGACATGAATTTTTCAAATTCTACTTTGTTAAACATTTTTTCTACCTCTTTTATAATACTAATACAAAAAAAACTTTAATAATTAATAATTCATTTAAATTAAATTCAATGAAAAAATAAAAATCAAATTTTAAATAACATCAATATCAGAATTAACTTGTTTTGCCAAAGGATTTAATTCTTAAATAGTTTTAGGAAATTATTTGTAATAAATAGTTTTAATTTCTATGAATAATATTATGATTAAATCTTTTATTGTAGATTTAATTTATAAAACAAGATTAATAACATTCTAAAATTTTGATGCTTTGCTGGATTACCAAAATTTACATCTAATAAGTTCTTTAATGAAAGATGTTTCTATGAATCTAAAATCCAAGTTTGAAATATGTAAAAATTTCTTGATATTTATATTATTGATTAATAAAATATTTTGAAACACTTGAATTGTAAATTAAACAATTACTTATATTTTTATATTATTTTAATTTATAGATAATTTTTCTGATTATAATTTGTATGTTTATTTGTTTCATGGTTAAAATTACTCGTAAGTTCTACTACCTCTTGTTTATCCTACTGAAGATGTAGTAGTAGTTCCACCTGTTCTAGTTACAACTCTTGAGGATGACACAACAACTTCCTATGTAAATTAAAAATAAATGAATTTACCTTCTTTTATCCTTTTCTAAGTGCTTCTAATTCAGCTTGACACATAGTTAATTATTCTTAGCATTCATTATAATCATGATTAACTTTGATGAATTTCTATTTCCATACTTCCACCTCAGATGATAAGTATGTCACTTTCTCTTGGATAACAGTTTGTCCTTATGATTCCAATTATTCATATCTGAGTCTCCAATCTTCAAGATCTCCATCTTTAATTTTAATAGAGTATGCTAGTCTTTCAATTTCTGATGACAACATAGCTATTTTATTCTTTTTTAAATAGAGTATTTATATACCTCATAATCTCTTAATTTGATAAGTAAGTCATTATTATCTTTCCTTAATCTACCATTTTCATCCTATAATCTTCTGATTTGGTCTTCAAGATCTTTTATTTGACTTTCAAATCTAAGTCTGAGATTGAAAAACTCTCTTTCTTTAGAGGCTAAGTCTTCAGATTAAGAACTTCTCAATTAAATTTCCCCTCTCATAGATTATAGTTGCATTTATAGTTAATCATTTTCTGATCTTAATTATCTTAATTGTGTTTCTAAGAGTTATACTTTAGAGTTGTCTACAACGACTTTTTCTTTTTCAACTACTTTTTCAACAACTTAGACTTCTTTTCTTTTTTCTAATTCAGCAATCAAAGATTAAAGGTATTCACACTCTAATCTCCAAGGAGCTTCAATTTCCTCTTTTGAAACTACAATAATATTCATGCATAGAGGTTGAGCAGCAACACAATTCTATTATACTGAATAGTTGCCTTAATATCCAATTTAAGGAATAGCAGCCATATTTGAAATATAACTTTATCCTCCAACAAAACCTTATGTTTAAGTTCTCAAGACCTGTTATGATTACATTCTAGGAATTTTTGTAGCACTTCTTTATTCCACTTCTACTGTGGTTGTCTTGAAATAACTGATAATTTTACTTAAACTTTTGGTGTTTCTCTAGAAATTACTTATTCAACTCTATCTTAAGTGATACTTCTGATATTATCCTTGGTGCCTGATGTATATTGTCTTTATGAAGATTATGTTACATATTATCTACTTTAGAAATCACTCATTTGATTGAAATTAAATTATATTTATGAAGCAATCAAATTTATACATAGGGTTTATACCACATTAATGATATTCAAAATGCTTTTGTTATATTAAAGAAAATATAAAGCAACCATGAATAGACAAATTTTTAATAAATACAAAAATTCAATATAAATATTAGAATAATATTAATATTAATAAAAAAACATTTAAAAGATGTCCTTGGCGTTGGCAGGAGTGGTGCCTCCTTTATATGAAAGAAATTAAGAGGCTACGATTTACATTGGTAATTTAGATCAGAAAGTCACTGATGACATAGTATGGGAACTGTTCATTCAATGTGGACCTGTAGTTAATGTTCATATTCCAAAAGATAAAATTTCTGGAGAACATTAAGGTTATGGTTTTGTGGAATTTAAGAGCGAGGAAGATGCCGATTATGCCATCAAGATTATGCACATGATTAAATTATATGGAAAACCCATAAAAGTTAATAAAGCATCATAAGATAAAAGAACACAAGAAGTTGGTGCTAATCTGTTTATAGGAAATCTAGACACTGAAATAGATGAGAAAACACTTTATGAAACATTCTCTGCTTTTGGACATATTTTATCAACTAAAGTATTGAATTTTCAATTATAATAGATTATGAGGAATCCTGAGACTGGAGTATCTAAAGGTTATGGTTTTGTTAGTTATGATAATTTTGAATCTAGTGATGGTGCTTTGACAGCAATGAATGGATAATTTTTGGGAACCAAAATTATTCGTGTTGAATATGCATTCAAAAAGGATGCTAAAGGAGAAAGGCATGGAAGTTAGGCAGAAAGATTGTTAGCTGCCAATAGGCCTTTAGCATAAAAAGCACTTCTAGGATTTGTTGGATATATGCCAACAGAATTGAGAATTCCTTTACCTCCTCCTCCCTCCATTTAAATTCAACCCTTACAAGAAGGATACAAACCTTTACCTTAATAGCTTCCTGTCCCACTTCCACCTCCTCCTTCAGGAATGCCTAAATGATTTTAAGCATACATAATATATTAGTTATTCAATTATTATTCAATTATTTATTTTTTGCTTTTCAATGACTTGGGTATATTGTTTAGATCTTTATTAGGAGTCTACCAGATAAAAGTGCAATTCTTCTATATTTTATTCATATTCAGTTAATGTTCTTCCATGCAGAATTTCAAATTTCGGTTTAGGGACTGTAGTCATTTCAGTAGATAAAGATTGCTTTGTTTATTATCCATTTTACTCCAATTATTGTAACAAATCCCCTAAGAAATTTATTCTATTTATTCTCTCTTCCTTACTTTAACTATTTTTAATTTAGTCATTACTTTCCACTTCCAATCAAATTCTATCTTTTTTATTAAGAAGTTGACTAAGCACTCTATACAATTTCTGCTGCATGATAATTCTTTAAACGAAATGAAGGACTTCTTCTAATCTAAGTTGACAGAAATAGTTGTTTGTAATTCTAGACACACTCAAATTAACTTATACCTGTGCAATTGGTTCAGCCAGATGTTAAATCTATCATTCAAAACAAATCTCATCATACTTCTAATTGTTGCAATTCCCCTTAACTAGGAGTTCTGTTAGGACTTTATTATGTTGAGCATCTATGTTAACTTGAAGAATTTTATCTCATCCCTTGAGAACTCTTAGCTCTACTAGGATCAATCACTCTTTGTCTTCTTCTGGAATTATTCAAGTATGGAGTATATCGGATAGGGCAAATATTCATTTTAATTTTATTATAATATATATAGATTCAATGAAAAATTTTTAATATAAAATGGTGTAGACATTTGATTTATTGTCACTGATATCACTTAAATGCAATAAAGGCACATTTTCTTTTTAATTTTATTTCCAATTATTGAATATGAATATAGGTTGTAATTCTTAATTTGATTAAGGAACTATCTCCAATAAAATTTGATCTTTTTATCAATTGACAATTTTTACAATTTTATGATCTTGTATAATTATTTCTATATTTACATTGAATTTATATCTAATTCTAAATTAGAATCAACCCTAAACATAACCAGTATCTCACTTTTAGAATACTCATTAATAGATCATATTCTATCTATCTATTAAATTAAAAATATTATACATAAGATAGAATGGGTATATTTTTAAATATTCTCATTTAAATCTTTGTAGAAAAAGAAAAAATATAATTTATTAAAATTGTAGGTATTACCCATTAATCAAGAACTTAATTGATAATCAATATTGAATTTAATAATTAATTTTATTAAATAGAATCTTAATTGAAGAATCTAATAAATATATTATAATAAATTAGAAAATTTAAAATAGTTTTTAAATAATTGTTGTGATTTACATTATTCATATAAAATTCAAAATAGTTTATATAAAGAAGAATTCTCAACAATAGTTTAATTTAATTAATTAGATATTGAAAAGAAATGATATATCTTGTTATAGAATATTTAGACTAAAGATAATTCAAAAACATTACAAATTAAATTAATCAATATTCTCTAAAATGATGCTAAAATTTATTATATTTAGTAAAAACAATTTGAATTAAAATGATATTGATTTTACGAGATTGTGATAGATTTTGAATAGACTTGATTAGTTAATTGAATATTATTAGTTTATTGAGTTAAAACTAGTATATAATTTTTATAAATAACCTTAAATATTATTTTAATATTAATTTTAATTATTATATTATAGATAATTAAATATGAAATCTATTTTTTAAATTTTAGATTTGCAAAATCCACTTTTTAAGAAAGTGCTTCAAATTCTAGGTGTTTAATGAGTCAAATTGACTAAGCTACATCAATTATTGTGAATCAATTAACATGTCATTTGTTAGTTATATGATTTAAATTATAATGAAAAAGCCCTAATGTCAATTTTTTAAATATTTCTATGTATCATGATATCAGAAATGAAATTCTATATTCTTTCAACAGATACATTTTATAATACAATGTTTAAAAAATTTGACTCATGGACTGTTTAAAAGTTGATAAAACTGGTATAAAGCAACCTAAATTGATACTAGAAACGAGTAAATCTAAAAATAATTGATTGTTGAGTAGGTCATTTGATCTCACTAAGAAATGCAATAACTTCAATTAAATGCATAATTATTTGAATTAGTTCATATATTAATAAGATTTGTTTTTTTTATATCGAAATGAAAATATATGGTATTAAATAAGAGGAACGAACAAACCCAGGTCCAGTCAGCATTCCAAGATCAATTCCTTTCTGTACTATTTATAAGTATCTTCTATTAGATTAGACAAGTGAAAATTTGATATCAATTTAAAAACAATGGACTGTTATTCATAAATTCATGAGAGCCTTAAACAAGTTATAATTAGCTTAAAACAAAATACATAATTAACCAAAGTACCCTTTTGTATTACAACTCTCTATGAATGAATTTATGGTACATAGTAGTTATTATTCTTAGGTTCATTTGGGGGTTGATAAACTAGAATTAAGAATGTCTAATGAGCTTTCATTCTATCCCAATTATGGGCCTGTATAATACTGTTGTCCTCCTCCAGTCAGTTCACCTGCTCCAACAATTAAACTTCCTATTCATAAGAAGCGGGAAGTGAACGTCCTACAAGACTAGAAGGATACTAAGAATATTCCAAAGAATTATTGCAAGAGCATTATAACTTTTGCTTGTAAGAATCAAAATCTATGTTTGGAAATCCTTAAAGACTAGTTGAAAGTGATAAAATTCTTGGAAAAGATTACTGTCTACAAAAAATAACTGCTTAACATAAGGATCTTCAGCAGCCTTTTACAACACTCTGATGACCCTGAAGAGGAGGAGTTCAGAAAGGCATTTAGAATAATAAGGTAAATTCAAATAGTATATATATTAGTCGGATATTCATCAAGAAATATGCTATAAACTATATTTTTAACTCTAAGATAGTGTAGCATAACTGGCATATGAGATATAGATCATAAATTTATAAGGGAGTAAAAAACCCAAATAATTTTTCACATATTAAAAACTTATGAAAAAAGTTTGATTGAATCCATTTGATTATAAAATATGATTAATGAATAACTTATACATCAATTAGATGTAAAAATTTCTATTAAAATAATTTTTTCCAAATCAAACCCCGTTTCATAATTTAAATTGCATTACAGAGTTTGGAGACTAATAAAATGAACAAAAAACAATATTATCTATTACTAATTACTAGACAAACTTTATACTTATTAAAAAATTTAATAGGTAATGTGCAAGAATCTAATAAAGAAGGATAGAATAAATGTAATATCAATATATTCTAAAATCGTGTTTAAAATTTCAATAACATTAATAATTAATTTTAATAATTAATATCATATATTTATCTATAAAATTAATTAAAAAGCAAAACAAAGAACAAAATAAAATCCAAAGCTCTCTTAAGAATAAACTTGTTTTACTGTAGAATCAGTAAATGACTATGCAATGTAGAATTGAAATTATCATATAAAATACAGATCGATATCCCCTTTAAAAAGCAATAATTATCCTGTAACAATTCCTTTCATATTATCAATTCATGAAAATATATTCATTCTGCTAAACTGTATTTCAATAAAATACCATTATTAACTGTATTAATTCTAATGAATCAAATTCCACTAAATATTATTTCAATTTTTATCAAAAAATGTAAACACTATTTAAATTTATTGAATATCAAGAAATCAAATATATATCAAAATATGCACTGATTTCATCATTTTTGCAAATAAAATGTAAATTTTTTGGAAATTAGCAATAACTTCAAACTCATATGATAAATAGACTTAATTATGATCCTTATATACAAATATTTTCATTGAATGATTTGAATCAATCAACATTAATAATAAGGAAATATTAAATATATGTGGGCATCCATATTTAATAAAGTATTAAATTGGTTTTCTCTACTAAATTATCAAATAAAAATAATAATTCATTAATATTTGATTATTTATATAAAATTGTGAACTTTTATCCAATATCTTTAATTTAGTGATAACCTATCCTAAATCGATAATTAAGTAGTTGATTATATTATAAAATAAATGTATAATCAATAACGAAAGATTTTAAATTTGATATTGATTGTTAATTAATCAAAGAAACTATAAACTCTGAATAATAATATCATATTCTTATTTAATATCTATATTATCATATTAACCCTCTTCATAATTAAACAAAAATAACAAAAATTGCACCTTATATAAGAGTTCAAAAAAGTTATCATTAAGATAAATAATAAGTCTTATAAATATTTTATATTTAATTTTTAGGATCTATTTAATTTGGATACATAGTGCAATTGATTTTGGTCTTTGGCAGTTAAATTATAAAAAATCAATAATTAATTGTCAAATACAGAGTATATTGAGAAAATTGATGAAACTGTCATTAGACATAAAAAATAAAAATTTTATTAATATTTTTCTTAAGAATTTTTGAAAGAAATTTTCATCTTTTGTTTTAGCTGATTGAAAATTAAGGAATTTAATATAAAAATATTATTGGCTCTAAAATATATGAGTCTTAATAAGCCAATATAATTTACTTCAATATTTTATTTTTTCATATACGATCAGAGATTATTGAAATTCTATTGTATAATTTTGAATCTTAAATGAATTCATAATGAGAAAATGTTAAGGATTAAAGTTTCTAATTTATCAAAGAAAGATTGAGTCTAGCCATTATTAAATTCTATATCATGTTTATTACTTAGAATAAAAATGAGCAAATTTTACTTTTTTAATTACAAAAAAAAATTAAGTTGTTTTAGATATTTTTTTTTTAAGATTATATAAATCTTAGTTTTAGGCTATTTATTTTTTATTAAAAAAAAGTCTATATTGAATTATTAATTTACTATTAAGTATTTTTTGACTATTTAATTTGTTAGTTTTATACATTGACAATCTTAAGGATTAAATCCATAAATGTTAAGAATATATTTATTTTTATAATGTCATATTTATGTTAAAAATCATATATTCCCTATTCCTCTTAAAGAATTATACAAAATAATAGTCTTTAAATCGGGAAAGAGGAGACAATAGAAATTTATTATAAATTTTGGATTATAGATAATGATAGTTTCAGGTTTAATAATATATTGAGAGAATTGCCACTAATAATAACATTAGTTTTATCATATTATTATTATTAGAGGTTTAGATAATATGAGATGATAGAGATAATTATATATATCATTTATCTAACAGGTATAAACATTGGTTGATTGTTTTATCTCCCCTTAGCTATGACAACAACCTATTACCTTTTACATTTAATCATAAAATTTAATATATAAATAAATTAATTAAATTGAATTCATAATTATTTGAGTTTTTTATTTGGGATATCATTTTTTTATCTTCTGGTCAATCTTTATTCCCATTTTTCATATTCTAATTTGATTTTTTTAGATAGATAGAAATTATCTTTTTCATCTTCGGTCAATTTATTCAACTCTTCCAGTTTGGATTAAACTAATTGAAATATCACCAAAATTGATCTTTTATCAATATATCATACCTCTTCTTTAATGTTTCAATTAATGTTTCTCTTAATTTAACAGCACCTCTAAATCGTTCTAATCTAACATCATTAGCAATCATATCAGCCATTTTGAATCCTAATTAATAAAAGTAAGGTGAATAATATTTTAGATTCATTATTGTAGGACCTGCATCTAAAGATTTCTAAAATTCATCTTCAAAAATCTCCAAAATTTCAACTGAAACTAGTTAAATACCATCATATTCTTATTCAGACATAATTTTTGCCATCCATAATGGCAATTTCATAACATGTCCTCTTTATAAATTACCATCTTCTGTATGTGCTTCTTTGTCCAAGAATTATCCCTTATACAAATCAACTTCTAATCTACATTCTACTAGATGATCTTCACACAATATGTCGTCGATGTTATAATACATTAAAATATATAAATTAAATTTAATGTTAAGAAATTGTGTACGACAATATTTCTGTTTAGATAGAATGGTTAGCTCTAAATTACACTTTGTAAAAGAGAAAGATGCAAAGACAGATTATGTGTATTATGAATAAAAAACTGTTTTCTCAAAGGAAAAAGGAAATAAGAAATATAAATTATTGGATGTTAAAGTCCCTGATATAAATGTTAAGAAGACTTAATTTTATGTTTTTGATAAAAATACTGTTCCAGTGCCAAGGTAATTTTATAACTATTCTCTAGATAAGTGTATACAGCTCCATTAAGAAAATATGTTAAATAAAAGCTTTAAAGAGATGAATTTGTCAGATACAAAAAAGCTTAAACTACAATTTAAGAATAATAAGAAGAATAAGTAGATGAATTATGGGGTGAAAATCCTCCAATTAGATATTTTGAAAGATTAGTGGCTAAGGATTTATTTTTTAATTACAGAAGTCCACGATTTGCTGAATATAACAATAGAAAAAATGATTTCCTCTCAAATCCCTCTGTTCATAGTGAGGTGAAAAATATCATTTAAGAAATTAAGTAGGCATCTACACTTTAATTATCAAGAAGTACATTTATTTTCTAATTTTAGTTTATCATCCAAATTATTTCATTGAAGATCATTATAAAAAATTACCTGATCTTTTTACTAAACTTAAAGAAGCAATTACTTAAGCAAACTTTAAGGAAATTCCAAAAATTGCTTGGATGTTATAAAGTTAATTGTTATACAAAGAAGATATATATAAAATATGGGAAGTTATTGAAAATATTGTTAAACCATAAATACATCATTATTCTATTGATGAATTAATATTATTAAAAAGAGGATTAGCCACAACATATCCAAAAGCTGGAAGTTATGAATTACACAATTTAATTTATAATTTAGTTTCTCAAGAAAAATTGAATGTTGATTAAACAATTGAAGCACTTTATGCATTTAGAACATTTAATAATGATAAATATGCTAAAGTCTTAATAGAAAATCTTATTAATTTGTTACCTGAATATAAAAATAATCATTCAAAATTGGCTTAAGCTTTTTATTCAATAGCTAATAATTTACCAAAAAAACATTTAAGAGCAAAGTCTTTTGATGTTACAGCCAATGATAAATATAGATTAAATGTTATGAATGCTTTTGTAGGCCCATTAAAGGAAGGAAAATATAATATGGATGACATAACAAGAATTTTGTTAGGTGTTTCTATTTTAAAAGTACCAAGTATTTTATTTTAATTTATAAAGATTTTAATGATTTAATTTTTATACTAGAAAATTAATTATAAGAACCAGATGAATATTAATTAGTTCATATTCTATATGCTCTCTCAAAAGGTAATAATGGAATCTAAAGTGGAACAAATGAAACTTATAAATATTTAGAATAATTTGTCTTAAAGTATTTTGAACAATATGAAAACTTAGAAAAATCTAGAGTAATAATTAATTTTATATTTCTAAGATTTACTATGCTTATTCAGCCATTTATTCTGAATTTGCTTAGAATCCTATTTTCTTAAATTGGGTTAAAGAGAATATATTAAAATTTTCATTCTCAGAATTATAGAATGTTATCTATGGTCTCATGTTTAATTAAGTAAATGATTAAGAAATTTGGTCTAATTTCTTAAAAAATGTAGCAACAAAAAGTGAATATGTTCCTTTAGCTAATTATTATGCTTTCAAATAAGCTAAGTTCTATATTACATAGTTCTATCCCCATTGGAATTTAAAACCATTTGAAGAAGCCTGTTAAAATGCTGAAAATATGTTCTTGGCTAATAGGACTGAAAGATAACATTTAGACTAACAAATTATAGATTTTTAAATTGTAAATAATATATTTATTTATTAAGGATCTCAATACTCATTTATAATATGATTGGAAAACTTATTATAATTGGAATAACACTTACTTTTTCAATATTACACTACCAGATCATAGAGTAGCTATTATTTTAAATACACCAAGAACAACTATTAATGGAAAACCAAGAGCTTAAATACAATTATAATAATAAGTATTGGCTACATAAGATTGGAAATTATTGATTTTTGATTAAACAGAACTTTTTTCAATGAAAACTAAAGAAAGAGCTGCATTTTACAAAAAAACAATTGATGAAGCAATTGAATCATAGAAAGAGAATATGAAAGCATGGGAAGAAGAGAGAAGAGACTAAATCTATGAACAATTATTAATTCAAGCTGAAAATGGTATGACTCCAGGAAAAAGATTTGTCAAAAGAGAAGATCTTAAAGGTCTTTCAAGATTCCCTGTTTGATAAATTAATGCTAATTTATAATCAATATTAAATAAATATTATTTTGTTATTAAAAAAATTCAATGTGATCAATTAATCTGAATATCTAAAATTATGTATAATATTTTAAAATTGATATCAAACAGATAAAATATAAATTCTAATTAGAAAACTTAATTGATTTTTAAAATATAACAGATTAAGCTCTTTGATAAACATTTTAGCATAAAAATTTAATTATTGACTTTGTCATTAAAAGAACTATTTTCAAATAAGCATTATAAAAGGGTATGAAGAGTATGTAGGCTATTATTAAGTTTCTTAAATAAAAATAAAATATTTTTTTTCAAATGAAAGGCCTTAATTATAAAAGCAAGCTAACATATACTTATAGTAAAAATTTTGAAGAGATTTAAAGAATATTAGAAAAAGATGGTTTTGATAACTTTAAATTAAATGATAATTTAAAGATTGTTGAATATTCAATCGATAATTCAAAGTCAATTCAATTAAGTTTATTACTTTATCTATAAGTAAGATAATGTTAATATAAATAGGAAATTCAATTAATAAGATTTTCTATTGCATAACAAATCTAATTGTGTTAAAATATCTATCTAAAATACAATTACCTCTAAAAATAAAATATTTAACATAATTATTTAAGTTCTGATAGAATTTGGTTAAAAGTAACAAATAATAATTAAATTACTATTCTGCCATAATTTCTCTAATATTCAATACATTTTGTTGGTTTTGATTGTCCTTTTTATGAAATAGATAATTATTAAAATTCCAAAAGAGAAGATGGATAAACCATTAAAGATATCATTATAAAAATTTTACATTAATTAAAGTATAAAGAACTAAAGAAAACTAAATCTCCAGAAAAAACAATAGCACTTCAAATTATTTTTACATCTTTGTTAGAATAAGGAATATATAAATCATTTGACAACTTTTTTGAAGAATCTTCAAAAATTTTAAAAAAATATAATTATAAAAATTAAAGATTAAGTGGTGTTGTTGATAAAGAATTAAATATTTTTAGATCAAAACGAGCAAGAAGGATAGATGATGTTATTGAGAATATACAATTAATTATATTAAGTCATTATAAAGAAGGATAATCTTTTAAATTTTAACAGATTTTATATACAATATTCCCAATAATTGCAAAAGAATTGAAAAATGCAACATTTTATCAAAATTAACTATTACCCAAAAATTAAATTTATTTAGAATTTGATAAATAAATATTCTATATCAATAATTAAGAAGTTGATTAGATAATAAATGAAAATAAAGAATCAATTATGAAAGATTTTAAATTTGAAATTGATTTGTAATAAATCAAAGAAATTATAAATTCAGAATTACCAAATCAATTAAAATTTTTAAACTATTTTCTTAATAATGCTAAATTTGCAGATTAACAAATTAATAATATTTTAAGTTTCATTAATTAATTCAAAAAAGAAATAATTCTAAAAGTAACCATATCAACATTAAGAGATTACTTAAATTTATAGATATTAAAATTGATTCAAGAATTAATATGAGTTATATTCTTAACAGATGTATTTATTTATTTATTTCATAAAATATAATAAAAATAATTAATTTATATAATAAAAGAGATTGAAAGTCATATATAGTTTTAAATTTCACATTCAAACACCATATTAGATAGCAATTTAAATGGTGATAATTTAAGAATCTACTTAAAATTTATAATGATATATGCCCTTTTGTTCAAATTTCCTGAATAATTATTATATATTAATTTCATATAAAAGAATTTCACATCATTTATTTTTAAATTAAAAATGTTTTGTTAAATAAAATTAAGTTATTAAATTCTTTACTACAATTTTATTTTATTTTGTATAATAAATATTATGTAATATATTTTGCTATTGATCAGTCTAGGCACAATATTTTGTGGCCCACCGTCTGATCTTGTAGATCCCTTTTAATATGAATACTTTAGAATTCCTTATAATAAAACTATGTATTCAGGATATTTGGAACCTCAAGATATTCCTGATCATCATTTTCATTACATATTTTATCCAAATGATAAAAGTGATGCTCCAGTAATATTATGGTTAAATGGTGGACCAGGATGTTCATCTCTTACAGGAGCAATGATTGAAAATGGTCCATTTGTTTTCATAGGAGGAACTCCAACTTTTGAGGAAAATAAATATTCTTGGGCAAAATTTGTAAACAATTCTAATAAAAATTAAAGGCTCATATGCTTTATGTAGAGACTCCAGTTGGCGTAGGGTTTTCATATAAAGATGATGGAAATACAACTACAAGTGATGATGTCACAGCATAAAATAATTATTATATGTTATTAGCCTTTTATCGTAAATTCCCAGAATATAAAAATAATGATTTATATATAGCTGGTGAATCTTATGCTGGAACTTACATTCCAACATTAGTGAATAAGATTATCGATAATAGTTAATCAAATATTCGAATTAGAGGAATGATGATTGGAAATGGATGTACTGATGCTGCTGAATGTACAAAAGAAGCAAAATACTTTCCATATTACAAATTTTAATTTCTTGCAAATCATAATTTTATTAGTCAAAAACTGAATGATTTTATAGAAATTCATAAAGCAAGGTGTTAATTCAATAATGAATAATTTTGTTAAGATTTATATCAAGATATTTTAACAGAAACCAATTTAGATGGATCCTATGAATACAATCCATATAATGTTTATGGTACTTGTTTCTAACCTCCAGTGGAAACACCTTAAGGTGAAAGAATTCCATATGCTAAAAATAAATTTGATCCATTTGACATAATCTAAGGACATATTCCTCCTTGTTCAGATGCTGTTGGATTATATCATTATCTTCGTGATGATGAATTTAGACAAGTAATGGATATATTATATTTTTAGTATTTAAATATTCATCCTAAAAGTGATTAATGGGCTAAATGCCAATCTCTCAATTACACAAAAGATCCAAGAGCCACTTATTATTTATATCCCAAAATTATGGCAAAAGGAATTAAAATACTTAAATTTAGTGGTGATGTCGATGGTGTAGTTCCAATAACTGGAACAATATATTGGATAGAAAAACTTTAAAAAGAATTAAGTACTTCTTATTTAATAAAAAAATAGATTTACCAACTATTTAATAATGGAGACCATGGTTCAAATCAAATAAATAAAATGCTGGTAATCTATGGGAGATTGATGGTTTATTATTTGTGAGTGTTAGAAATGCTGGACATATGGTACCTGCTGATTAAAAAGAAGCTTCATTTATTATGGCCCATAATTTCATTTTTGATGTTCCATTTCCAGAAGAATGATTTCGCTTTCATTTAGATGAATTAAACATATTACTTATTTATTATTCTCTTTTTACTTCTATAGTTTTTTCCAATTTATCTTTTTGTACAATATCCCATCCTAAAAAATCTTAATATTTTATAATTATAATTTATAATTCAAATAATGTAATAAATTATCGTTTTTCATAAAAACATAAAACTTTATCTTAAATTAAAAAAGTTATTATCTATTTATGAAGAATAAGACATTGATTTCTTATATTTAAACTAAAATCGATACGTTTCATAAATAATTCAAAACTGTATTTAATATTAAATTAATATGTAGAAAGAATTCATTTATTTTTCATTAAGTTTGTAATTATTTAGGTAAATCCTTAAAAAAGTACTTAAATCCTCTCTTTTGCTTCTGAGAAAAGCTCACTTTTATCAATGATACCTGAAATCCTTTATTCTTCAGGCCAAACTTTAATGATTTTTTTCCCCATTATTCTTTTATACTTATTTTTTACAACAAGTTCCTCTTCAATCTCTTTTGGGATTATTGAAGCTTCTGAGTTTTTAAGACTTTTGTAATATCGATTCTTTAACATATTCATTGTTTTTCCTGGGAAGTATTTGGTAATCTTTTAAAATTTAGGTCCTAATTTTTTTACCAAAAGTAACAGTATTCGATCTTCCTCTGGAGTAAATGTGGAGTTATAGGCTTTTGAATTTAAATCCAAATAGCTTCTTTATTTTTCTTTTATGTATTTGTAAAGTGCGCTGCTCCTGTCTTTGTCTCCATAAATATAGCATTTTCTTCGTGAATGAGTTTTTTTTTTTATAGTTTTTGAAATTGTGGCATTAGTTTCTTAGCTTTAAGTAGTTTGGTTGAATAATAGAAAGGAATTCGATGCTTATTCACAAATATTTAATTCTTCTGAGTCTTCATATTGATATTTGATAGAGATCATGTTAATTTAATTAATATATCTCGCCAAAAATATCTTATATATAGTACTAAACAATAATTGGGGCAGTTAAAATTGGTTGAAAACGTTTTTATGTTCAGATAATATATAACACATTTTCTTTTATTATAAGACTTAAATCTTTATTTGCAATAGCTTATAATTCAATTTTAATTGGATGTTTTTTATTTATGATTATCATATGGCACATACACTTAAAATAATAAATTTATGTTATTTAGTTATAAAATTAATTATGCTCTAAGAAACTTATTCTTAAATTTCACAACAGATTTAAAATTGAAAGAGGCTTTAAATTTTCTAACAACATTATTAATTAGAAAAATGTAATTCCAGTTTAATATATTAATAATAATTGGTCATCTATTAATAAATATAATATATTTATTAAATTATGTAATAATTAATCTTTTTTAATAATAAAATGTTCATAATACAATAATTTAATGGATAATATAATTTAATGACATACCAATTATTTTTACTATGAAATTATTTTATAAATATAAATAAATGAAAACTCTTTTAATTTTTAAGGATTTAATTTTAATCAATTTAATTTTCTCAGTTTGATTTAGAATTTATTGAATACATTCGATATGGCCATTTATCAGAGTTTATATTCTTTAATTATTAGGCTTTGATTGTATTTAGAAAACAAATTTTTGATATTTATTATTTAANGGGATTATTGAAGCTTCTGAGTTTTTAAGACTTTTGTAATATCGATTCTTTAACATATTCATTGTTTTTCCTGGGAAGTATTTGGTAATCTTTTAAAATTTAGGTCCTAATTTTTTTACCAAAAGTAACAGTATTCGATCTTCCTCTGGAGTAAATGTGGAGTTATAGGCTTTTGAATTTAAATCCAAATAGCTTCTTTATTTTTCTTTTATGTATTTGTAAAGTGCGCTGCTCCTGTCTTTGTCTCCATAAATATAGCATTTTCTTCGTGAATGAGTTTTTTTTTTTATAGTTTTTGAAATTGTGGCATTAGTTTCTTAGCTTTAAGTAGTTTGGTTGAATAATAGAAAGGAATTCGATGCTTATTCACAAATATTTAATTCTTCTGAGTCTTCATATTGATATTTGATAGAGATCATGTTAATTTAATTAATATATCTCGCCAAAAATATCTTATATATAGTACTAAACAATAATTGGGGCAGTTAAAATTGGTTGAAAACGTTTTTATGTTCAGATAATATATAACACATTTTCTTTTATTATAAGACTTAAATCTTTATTTGCAATAGCTTATAATTCAATTTTAATTGGATGTTTTTTATTTATGATTATCATATGGCACATACACTTAAAATAATAAATTTATGTTATTTAGTTATAAAATTAATTATGCTCTAAGAAACTTATTCTTAAATTTCACAACAGATTTAAAATTGAAAGAGGCTTTAAATTTTCTAACAACATTATTAATTAGAAAAATGTAATTCCAGTTTAATATATTAATAATAATTGGTCATCTATTAATAAATATAATATATTTATTAAATTATGTAATAATTAATCTTTTTTAATAATAAAATGTTCATAATACAATAATTTAATGGATAATATAATTTAATGACATACCAATTATTTTTACTATGAAATTATTTTATAAATATAAATAAATGAAAACTCTTTTAATTTTTAAGGATTTAATTTTAATCAATTTAATTTTCTCAGTTTGATTTAGAATTTATTGAATACATTCGATATGGCCATTTATCAGAGTTTATATTCTTTAATTATTAGGCTTTGATTGTATTTAGAAAACAAATTTTTGATATTTATTATTTAAAAAACATCTATAATATTTATAAAAGTTAGGATTGTTAAGAAATAAATTTTAATTTATTTAATAACATACAAAAATTATAAATAAAAAATTTTGTAGGTGAAATATCAGATATTTTTGCATTCTTAGAGTATATCTTAAATGATTTAGTAGAAAGTATAACCACAAAGAAACAAAATTTGAAGGAGGTCGCTTGCATCTAGAACTAACTTCATTAAAATTAATTCATTTTATTTCTTATTTTTATATATATGGCAAGGTTAATATAGCACTAGTGCTTTGAATAATTCAAAATGATTATTAAATAATGATGTTTTGAGATGAACAAAAAATTTCAATTCAAAGTTCTATCTTTTAGATTATATTATTTATTTATTTAAGTCTCAGTTTAGTTTGCAGTAAATTATTATTTAAAAAAAGAGCTTAATATTTTAATATAATATAAATATAACTTAATTCAGATTTAATGAGAATATTGGATATAAGCTTTGAAAATTGTAATTCAGATTTTATTAAAGAGTACAATAAAATTCAGAAAGATATGAAAGAATAATTATTTATTGACCATTAAACCGTAATTGTTTTTTTTATCAATACTATAAATTTAATAAAAAGTGAACATGTCTATTTTTGCACTCAAGAGTTTACGTTTTAAAATTTTTTAATTCTAAATTTTTTATCATTATAAATAATATTAATATCAAGAAAAGAAAAATAATTAAGTTTTACATTATAAAACTAATCAATACATTATGAAATTTGCCAATTAGCATCATTTTAATTTATCTCTATCCAATATTAAATATTTTGATTTAAGAAAAGTTCACTGTATTTAAGGCCAAGGTCAATTTGTAATTGAGTGAAAGAGATTATGAATTATCCCTAAAACAATTTAAAAACTAAACAATCGAAGGACAAGGTACTGTCAATTTATATTTGAAGTTGGACCCATTTTCTCTCTAATTTGCTAAAGTGAAAATCTCTAAATAAAGAAGCTGACAATATAGTAATTTAAAATGCCCGTTATACTGAATAGCATTAGCCTCATATACACAATTTGGATAGAATTGAATAAATAATTGAGTTTGTTTAATAATAATACTAATAATTTTAATCTATAATACACCTAAACTAAATCCTATATAGTTTGTTTAGTTTATGATAAAAAAATTTGCAAATATTTCATTATATTTATAAGGTTGAAATCATATTTATCAAAAAAATGAATGATCATTAGCTAAAATGATAGAAAATGATATCTAAAATTTTTAGTTATTTGATAAAATCAAATATTATTTTAAATTGTCAATATTAAGCATTATAATGATCAGAAATCACAATCAGATAGAAATTCAATAGATTTATTCTTTAGATTTGTAATAAAGTGGATATAGATATTTTTATAGTTTCATTCCATTTTCATGAATATTTTATTCTTTTCATTACTTGTAAACTTAATAAATATTAAAGATCTAGAACAATTAAGCATAGAAATATGGATAGCTAATGAAATTAACTACAAATTGTAACTTAATAGAATGCAATTTTTTTGTACTGTCTATTATGTTTTATAGAAATATATATATAAAATTCATTTATCATTTTTGCAATTGCTAATGAGTTATTAAAATGAACTCAAGAATGTGTGTAGAATTTCCTTTGCTTCTGGAAAGAGAGGGCTGTTCTCTATCACAGAGCTCATTTATTTATGTTGAGGCCATAAATTAAGAATTTTCCTACCAATAATTCTTGATTCATTTTTGTTTGATAGAAGTTCTTCTTCTATTTCTTTTGGAATTTCTTGAGATTCTATGTATCGTAGACACTTATAGTATCTGTTTTTAATCATATTGACTGTCTTTCCAGAAAAATACCTTGTTATTTTATTAAACTTGGGTCCTAGTTTTTTGACAAGCAAGATTAGAATTCTGTCTTCTTCAGCAGAGAATTACGAAATTTAAGCTCGAGGCTTGTAATCAAGAAAGGCCTTTTGCTTCTCTTTGAGGTATTTATAAATAGCGCTGCTTCTATCTTTCTATCCATATTGAATAGTTTTTCTTCTTTATCTGATTTACTTAGATTTAAAAATTCCCTCTTCTGTAGGTTGAAGATGGAATTCAGTTTAGTAAGAGCTATCATCTTGATTGGAGGTTAAATTAGATTTAGATTATTAAGAGATTCCAGAAATCATTTTGTTTTAAAAAATATTAAATCCATTCTAATTATGGTATCCCATTTAAATTGCAAACTAAATCCGTATATTTAATTAAAAAATTTTAATGGAAATGTTGTTATTATTGCCAATAAACTGACATTTTCTGTCTGAATTTTTCAACAGCATTAATGTTTTTGAAAATATTGATTAATTTATCATAGTAAAATTGATAGAAAATATGAATCTAAAGGAAGTAAAAAGCTAATAAAGCCCATAATATTAGATATATTGGTGCTCATATATTTCAAGGATAGCATAAATGAGATTTAAAGATAGATAAAAGTTTACAATTATTTTATAATTAACGGGAATAAATTTACATGCACTTTGTTTAATAAGCTTTTTGTATTTTCTTTATTTCTATTTTAAAGTCAAGCCACAATGGAGATTTTAAGAAATATAAAATATATAAAAAGACTCCTTAAAAACTCATAGGAGTATTAAAATTAACCCTTAAAAGTTATAAGAATCATACACAATTTCAATTTTTAAGATTACCCATATAAAGGAGAAGAAAGTCTAGAAATCATAAATATTAACTACTTTACAAATTATAAATTACAAGAATATTTGTATTAATATATAAACCCTATATATAAATTGATTTTTTGTAAGAGTAAATTAAGCATATTTGAACTTGTTCGGTTTATAAATGATTTTGGATATGGAAAATCAAAATTTTAGGAGGAATTAATTTAGAGAATAAGATGGCATAAACAGGAGGACTTGGAGAGGATATTATTATGGATTTAGGTAGAATATATAGTGTGTAAGATAAAGTTCTTATAAATGTTTATTTATTGATTCAAGAGAAACTTGAGATTCTAGTAAAAAAAATAATCATTAAATTTAGATTAATAAAAGGAAAATAAAGGGAATATAACGAAGACTATTTGCAAAAGACGATGAAACCCCGAAATTAAGATAAAAAGCATATATTTGTTTAATATGAATAGTTATATATTTATTTAATTATGTAATAATTTTTACAAATTTTATGTTGGAATTAAAATGAATTTTGAAAAATAATGAAAATAACTATAAAATTATTTTAATTTTTTTATAAATACAAATTAGATGGACTCTGGTGGTGCAAATACTTTTGTTATAGAACCTAAAGATGAAGAAAAGTGATATTTTAAATCCATATGATTAGATTTTATCCATCTAAAGTGAGAAAATTAATACAAGAAATAATGGATGATAAATTAAAAAACGAAACTTATGATGCTAATAATACTCCTAATTTAGCAGAAGAATTAGTAAAAAGAATCAGAAGTAAAGTTAGAGAATGTAAATGACTTATTTCATGTTATTCTTAAGCTATCAAAATGCCAAGATATAAAATTGCAGTTTAAGTAGTAATTGGTGAAGTCAAAGGATAGGGATGCAAAGTAACTTCAAAGAATCTTTGGGATCCAACTTGGGATAATTATGCATCATATTCATTTTAAAATGTAATAAATCCTTTTCATCAATAAATCAATAGGAAAATATTTATGGCGTAGCAATAGTATTTGGAGTCTATTATGAATGAATTTAATTTTTGAGTATTAGATATTAATATACATATCATTTATTATAAATTTTGTTATAATCAACAATAAATTTATCTCCATAATAAGGTTTAAGAAAATCATAATTCTAATAGAACTAGCATCTATTATTTCTTGGGCACTCAATAAATTTAGACTTTCTAGTATTTTTTGAATATTGATTAGGTTTGGCATATTAATTTTGAACCTATTCATCTAAATAGACAGGTTATCCAATCAATTTAAGATTTTCAAAATAGTCTTCTGGAAACAAGAGTGATTTAAAGTTTTTACATTTATACTTTTCATCCTTATAACAATTTCTTTACATATAATTAAGTCTTCTCCAAATTCTTTTTTAATCTTCATCATTAAAATCAAATTATGATAATTATTCCTTAATTATATATTTATGTTCACATAGAGGATGTACTAATAATCTGTATTCAAAATCTCTGAATAACTCTTTCTTAGATCTTTCAATCTCAAAATGGTAATGAACTTCAGCATAAAATAAATCAAATAAAGCTTAGCTTGTCTATAAACTAAAGATAGTTCTTGCTCCTCCTAAGTGTTCCTTATTCTTTGTTATTGTATAAAGATCATCATCTTCACAAGGCATAATAAAATTCAGAAAACTAGTATTAAATAGTTTAATACTCTTCATAATCCATTTCAAATTTTTTTAGACCTGTGTGTCTATATAAAAAACTATAAACAAATTGATCATCATGTTCAATTTAATAATGACTCCAATTAAGAAATCAAATACATTAAAAATTAGTTTAGACACTTGAAATTCATAGTAGGCATAGCAATTGATTCAAATATTTGCTTAGTGTCTATTCCCTTTTAGCTTACAAGATTCATTCTTTTCAAATCTACATTCTATTCTTCCTTCGCTATCAGTTAAAGGTGTTTATTTATTCTTGTTATTAAATTTTACATTTTAATTAAAATAATATGAGATTAATTATTCTCAAAATCAACTTCTTCTTAAATTATCAAATTATAAAGAGTTTTCTCAAGATTTATATATTTATATTACAAATATTTATAAATTACAATTCTATTTTAGATAACAAAATAATTTATCATGATAAAAGAAATATTTAATTAAAATAATATACAAATCAAGTCCATAATGAATGTGATTTTATTTTTAAATTAATTTTAATTTTTTATATTAACAATTTTTCATAAATAACCTAGCTATATCAATTTTTAATAAAGATAGACTTATACTATTCTGAATAACAAAAATGTTTTTTGCATAGATCTTATTGTTTATTGAATTTTTCGAACAAGTTATATCATCAAGAATTTTATTAAAGATAGAGTTATTGTAAAAAATTAAGAAAAAGAAAATTAGTCGTTATTGCTGGTTTCATATAATATTTAGTTAAAATTAAATAGATTAAGACAAAAAAAGATCTAGAATGTAATTATTCTGATAAAATTTAACTTAAGGTTATTAATCAACCTGGTATAAATTGTTCTTTGAATCTTAAAAAATTTTCATTAATAATTTAATAAAAGTTTTCATAATGCCAAGAAGAAGTGGATCAGCATCAAGATCAAGACCTAGCCCATCAAGAAGCACAGCAACAGCTGCAAGACCAGCTCCATAAGTTTAAGCTCCTCCTTAAACTCCTGCAAAATCAGGAGGAATGTTTTCAGGCCTTGGATCAACTTTGATGACAGGTATGGCATTTGGAGCAGGTTCAGAAGTAGCTCATTAAGCAATCAGATCTGTAATGGGTGGATCAAGTAGATTTAAATGTTATTTAAATAGGTCATTCTTAACCAGCTGAATAATAGACCCAAGAATAAGCTCCTCAATAGTAATAATAAGCTTGTTAGAGTGAAAGCCAAATGATTTCAAATGTAAATTTTTAAATAATATTTTTAGTGCTTACAGACTAATTCAGATATTACAAGATGTCAACCATATATGGACATTTTTAAAGAATGCTAAAAGAAATACAACTTATGATTATTTATTATAGATTGAAATAGAAATTATATAATATATTTCATTAATTTGCCTAATTTGTTTATTTTAACTTTAGTTATTTCTACAATTGATCAATGATTTATTTTTCTCTCTTAACTTTTTATTCATAATTGAAGATCATCAAAGCCTTACCTTATTCAGCATTTAAAATTTACATTTCCTTCCTTTATCTTACAGCATTCATCTTTCTATGTTTATTTCCAGACATCACATATCCTAATCCTTCATATTTTTCTATGTCTTCTGATGTTAAACCAACTTCTCCTCTTCTAGGAATACGTTTTCCTGATTAAATGTAATATGCAATTGCAGCTCCTTCCCCTGGTAATAATTGACTTCCATAATTGGTTCTGTGTTATAAATTTTTATCGAATAATAAAGGCATAGGACCTATTTAGCAAGATTTATCATTTTCTTCTTTTTTCTTTTACATTTCTTCATTTAATTTTCTAACTTTCTCAGCAAAAGAATCATCAGAGTCAGTTTCTGAGTAACTTTAAGAATATATTTAAAAAAAATACTATTATTCTTCTTCATCTTATTCCTAATCTATTTCTTCTTGTTAGTTTATTACTTCTTCTTAGATCACAATCTCTTTTTGTTAAGATTACTATTCTCTTTCTTATGATTTAGAAGGAAGTATTTTTTATAAATGTTCTCCTTTCATAATTGCATCTAATTTAGCTCTCCTTAATTTATCCTCTTCTTATTTCATTTATTCTTCAATAATAAATCTTTATTGTCTTCTTTATTCTTTCATAGTTTATAAATCTGAATAAATGATGATAACATTAGTACCTCTCCTTACTTCTTCAGAATCACTATTAAATTGCCAAATATTTGATTTTTTAATGGATTCTCTTCTTTATTTTCTTTGAAGCAAGTATTCTTAGTATGAAACCTTAGAACGTTGATTTTTAACTTCATCCTCTCTACTTCTAGATGTGGAAGAAGATGATGATGAACTTCTTTTTTACTATTTCTTTTTCATTTATATAATTATTTATATATTTTTATATAATTAATTATTCAATTAAAATGACGATTGATTTTGATTATGTATTTTTACATCTTCTAAACATATGTTTAATATCTATTTAGATATTTAAATCATCATTCAAATGATTTAACTTATTTAATAATTATGTTATTATTTGCAATCCTCAGCATAACTCTAGCAACATTTACATTTGATGATAGCCAATGTACATGCAATCAATTAGTGGTTGAAACAGAATGTAAATTCAATACACAATGTACATGGGATGGAGTAGCTAAAACATGTTCTAGAAAATCATGTGCTGATTTGAAAGATCAATGTGCTTCAACTTAAGGCTGTGCTTTAGATTCTAATGGAAATTGTAAAGACTTTACTAAGTGTGCTGATTACACAGTCTCAGGATTAGGATAATGTCAATCCAAAGATAAAACATGCACTGAAGATTAACATACCTCAAATGGATACACATGCAAAACTGGTACATATGTGCCTGAATGCTAAAAAATTACAAATAAAACAGACTGCAAAGGATATCAAACTTCAACATAAGTTTGCTTTTGGACAACAAATCCTACGACTAAAGTTTCAGAATGCATGCCCATTAAATACACCTCTTGTGAAGATGGATAATCAGATCCCAATTTATGCACTCTAAATTCTTCATGTAAATACACAATTGAAAAAAAATGTGTTCCCAAGACCTGTGCTGATGTTACAACCGAATTTTATTGCACAGCTATTCCTTAATGGAATAATTCAAAAATGACATTATGTTAATGGAATGGAAATTGTTAGGAAGCTTCTGGAGTTGAGGTCTTAACACAAGCTAAGTGCTACTCAAGTACATTAAAAAATTATCATTGGATTACTTCTACAAATAAATGTACGTTATGCGCTACTACACCTGCATCATCTGGAACACCTACAGGTACATCTACAGGCACAAGCACAAGTACTGGTACATCTACTGGAACAACAACAGGAACATCTACTGGAACAACAACAGGAACATCTACAGGAACAAGCACTGGAACATCAACAGGAACAACTACAGGAACATCAACAGGAACAACTACAGGAACATCAACAGGAACATCTACAGGAACAACTACAGGAACTTCTACTGGAAGTATATATTATTTTAATTATAATAGCCAAACCAAACGATGCTTAAACCTAGAATAAATTTTCTTAGTTGGTTGTAATTTCATTATTTATGGCGTTAATTCAATGATAAGATTATTTTTAGACAAAATCATTATTTTATACCATTTCTTTTTACTTTAGTTTTTAGTTTATTTTAATCTAGGATATCAGTCTGTCTAAAAAAATTATTTGTTAATCTCAATTTGAATAATTTCTTTACTTTTTTTTTTGATGATTAATTCCTGTATTTTGGATTAGATATTATGGAATTCTTTTATTATTAATTTTGAATTTGTTTTATAATATATTTAATTTAATTAAGATGAATTCTTCTATTGAGTACTATAATCTACAGTAACATAAGCTTTATGAATATATGGTTGGATTAACCTAAAATGTAACAGGAGTTGAGAAAATTGTAAATATATGAAATAATTGAAGTTTGCAGAATTAATTGCATGCCTCCATGATTTTAGTTCAGCAATTTCAAGTATTGGACGAAAATTTCATTCCTAAATAAGTAGTGGGAATGAACCAGATATTTTAGTTTGCTTATATTAATAAGTGAGCAATTACTTGTTAAGATTATCATAAAATTGGGATAATACAGCTCAAAAAATTAAGAGTGAGATTGCTGAACCTTACACTTAATTTGTTGTGAATTTTAGATAAACAAATAGAAGTTTGAATAGTGAATCCAAAAGGCAAGTAACAGAAATATTGGAAACAAGAAAAGAAATGTGTAAAACTTAAGAGGAATATTGGAAATTAATGAAGTTATTTGAATAGAAATCTGAATAGGCATAATAAATGGTAGATCATATTGAAAAAGGAAATGCAACAAAGGAGGATTTTTAAAAATAATTTAACAATTCTCTAAGAATCTAAGAATTAGCAGATGGAATGGAGAAGGATTATAAAAAATTATTATAAATAACAAATGAAAGATGGAAATAGTTTCATTAAGAATGGGATACTATATTTACTAATGTTGGCTTGAATGAATAGAGTAGGTATAAAATAAAATGTAAAATAGGATTATGTTTACGAAGCAGACTGTTAGTGCATTATTGAAATTATTACCTTTTGATTAAGATTAATCATAATTTGAAGAAAAAATATCTGATTTAGAAGTTAAATTGAAGTAGGACCCAAAAATACCTATAAGGAAGTTAATTGAAAAAAGAATGCAAATTAAAGAGGAATGTATGAAATATAATTATTATCAAAGCTGTTAAAATTTCATAAGAAGAATTCATAAGTTATGAATAATGGAAGAAGAATCATTAAAATTAAGATTAAATAAATTCCATATAATAAGTGTAGAGTTAATGGACAATTGTTGGTGATAAAATTTCAGAAGAAGAGAAAAAGCTCATGGATAAATATTTATTATCATTATTTTAAATTGATCTATCAGATAAATGCGAATCAATTATAAAGATTAAGTAAATTCTTTAAAAATCTGCTGGGAGAAATTATTTTATAAATTAATTGAATAAATTACATATTAAATCCTATCAAGAAAAATAAGCAAGTAAATTAATTTATTATTATAGAATTCTATTTAACATTAACAACTGAATAATTTATGGAATTATTATAATTAATTAGACATTGGTTAAATTATGTTGATTTGAATGAACTATATGAATCTGAAGATGTTTATGATTTATTATTAAAAGCAATAAGAATAGTAAGAATGGATGGAAAAGAAAGAGTTAATTTAGCTTCATAATTATCAGATATTCCTTTATGGACTAAGGTTGATAGATGGATAGAATTATTTTAATTTATTAGTGCCAAAAAAGTTGATGAAAAGAGAAAGCAAGCCTAATCAATTATGTAATAAACCTAAAGTACTATTTTAAAAAAAGGTGTAAGAATTATTGGAAAAGGATTATCAATAATCAAGAATTTTGGAACTTAGTAATCTAATATGATAGAAGTAAATGAGAGTGAAATTTGCTATATGATATTAGATGAAATTAATCTATTTATTTATTCTTTGAAATTGCCATCAGAATTATCTGCAGAAATAATTATTTAAATAGCATCACAATAATAACAAATTGATAAAGATCATGTTGTTAAATTATTAGAGAAATAGGAAGATTTGCATAATTCTTAATGGAAGAAGTTTTTCAAATCAGGAAAAGTAGTTTTAAGTCACAAAACTGAAAAATTTGAGAGAAACAAATTATACATTTATGAAAATAAAGTAATATAAGGATGTGGGTCTTGTTTAAAGTAAATATTACTATATTATTAGATTTCTATCCATTCAAGATTAACCATAGAAGTTACTTACTTTAAATAGCAACTTTAATAAATAGTTAAAACATAAAATTAAAAAATTCTATTTAGGTAATTCTTAAATACTTTCTGATGAATCTACTCATTAATTGAGATTGAGATTAATGTCTTAAGCTTTAAAATTGAAATAATTGAATATTGATTATGTTGAGATGAAAACAAAAGTAGGAATTGAAATGGATGTTAATAATCTTTATGAAGAAACTATTAAATTGGATGTTTAGAGAAGTCTTCACATTCATAAAGATAAAATTAATTCAAATGTTTTATAAAGTTTATTAAGAATTTATGCTTTTTACAATGAAGATGTTGGATATTGTTAAGGTATGAATTATATTGCAGGATATCTTTATTTAACTTATTAAGATTAAGAAGTAGCATATAAGGCTTTTGATAGAATGATGAATCTCTATTTTAAAGAATTATATATCAATGATTTTTCAAAATTGGTAAAATTAATATATTAAATTTTAGAAAACTGGATTTTATGCTTTTGAAAGATTACTCTGTATCTTCTTGCCTGAATTATCTTAGCATTTGAAGGACTAAAAAATTGATGCCTCTTATTATGTTGCTTCTTGGTTTATTACTTTATATTCTAATGTATTTCAATATAGTTAAAGATCTGCCTTATTGAATGTGATATGGGACTTATTTTTAGCAGAAGAATGGAAAGGTAAAATATTATAGTAAAATAGGATTCTATAAAGCGACATTTTATATATTTTCATTGTTTCAATAGCAAATACTAAATCTTGAGTTTGATGAAATACTTCATTATTTAGGATAATTGATAAAATCAGAAATATTTAGTATTAGCACAGAAAAAGAGTTAATCTAATATATTTAGAAATTTGATAAATCCATTAAAGATGATGAATCAATTAAAAAAACTATACTATCACGATTTAGAATAACTAATAGAATGTTAAAGAGTCTGGAATCAGAATATCATAGCTTTTAATTGAAATTAAATAAAAAATTTAATTAATGCATGAAGAGATGAATAATTATATCTATAATTTAGTATAAAAGTATTTTAGAATTATTCATAACACTTTATAAATCAAATTTTTTATTTTAATGACTTCAAGAAAGAGAGTGAAAATCTCTTATTTATATAATAATTATATTATTAAATATTGAAATAAAAATAAAATTTATAAGAAATCTTAATATCTACTTAAATTTATTTATAAAGTTTATGATAGATTGGGTACTATATTTTTCTAGAATTTTCCAATAATATCTAAAATTTAATTCACTTCAATATTTTGCAATTAATTGTAATAATGATTATTAAAAAGTCATTAATAAATAATTAATTATCTTTTATATAAATGTTTTAAAGCCATATATCAATCAATGATATTAATATATCAGTGTTTTTTTTGGAATTATTTAATTCAATCATAAACTAAACATAATTATATATAAAATTATATTCCTTCCATGATATTAAAGATAATTAATAATATATTTATGAGTTCTTAAGTAATTAATACAAATAAATGAATTTAAAAAGGAAATAATTGTATTTTTCTCTGACATTATTACTCTATTTAAGAGTAATTCAAAGAATTATACTCTCCTCTATTCCTGCTTTAGATTAGAAAATAATTTATTCATGATAATTGTATATATACCAATGCGTATACGTATCATTTTCAAATTAAAATTAAATTATTTTACAGATATGCCACCCAAGAAGACAATCGCCGAACCAAATGTCACTGTTCCTAATGGAGATGCAGCAAAAGGAAGAGATATCTTTGATTAATAATGTGCTGCCTGTCATGCTTTTGAAGGAGATGATAAGACTGCATCAGCACCTACTTTAGGGTAAACTCTTTAATTAATCAATTTAGAGGACTAATAGGAAGAAAGTCAGGATCAACTCAATTCCCATATTCTAAAGGTATGAAGAGTGCAGGATTCAACTGGACTGAAAAGCACTTATTTATGTTTTTGAAGAATCCCTCAAAGTATGTTGTTGGTACTAAGATGGCTTTCGCTGGTCTTGAAAACGAATAAGAAAGAGCTGACCTCATAGCATACCTTGCTAACAATTGAGCAAATATATAAATATAAGATAAAATAAAATTGTGGCTATAAGAGAACCAAATTTAGCAGTTCTTGTCATAATTATACATGATTCAGTCATTGTTAAATATTTGATACTACTCATCATTGTAGATGTTAAGTTCTTTTCTGGGGTCAAAGTTTGGATCTTTTGCTTTTTATCTATAAAATAAAAACAATTTTAACCTTTAAAGGAATTAAAGTTCAGTAGGATCATCCCTATTGATTGGGCTTTTTGGTAAATCAATATGTTCAGATAGATCTAGTTGTTTCTTCTACCCCCAATTGATATAATGTATAGTGCAAAGAGTTCTGGAACCCCAAGGACCTTTGGTAAAATTAGATGCAAATCTTGCACCACAATATCTACACCAATCCTAATTTAATAAAGGAAATATATTACATTAGTATACTTTGAATAATCAAAGTACTTAACTGGAATGATGCCCAATTCTTCATAAGAATAAGGATGAATATCTTATTTGAATTGTTTTCTTTAGACCTTCTTTACAATCTTTTCTTGACTATTACTTCTACTAGAATCTAATTATCTTCTATCATTGGGCATGGTTTCATTTTTTTTCTCATAAATTCTTCTGGTTCTAGCTGTGGTTCCAAATTATTTAAAATCTAATTTTGCTTATTTCTATTTTTTTTAATAACCTTTAATTGAGATTTTAACAATCATCTTTCCTTCAAATTTCTCTTCCTTTTATTTAGCACACAAATCACAGATCATAACCTTCTTGCCTATCTTTTAAGTCTTAGATTTGACTTCAGGAGGTGCACATTTACTATGAAATGATCTACAACATCTAACACAATGGATTAAGGCTGTAGTTGTATTAGAAGAATTAACTTTACAAAATACACAAACATGAGATGGACATCTAAATAATTCTACATTTGAATCTAGAGTCTTAGATAATGGATTAGCTTAAATACAACTTAAATGAAAATATCTATTGCAATTTGCTGTAGAACATTTAGAAATAGCTGATTTATTTTTGATCTTCCTCACATTATCTTCAAGTGGATCATTTTCATCTGATGATGCTATTACTTCTTCTTTCTATTTCTTTTCAGGAGGATATGTTCCTTTAGTTTTACATAATAAACAAACTACTAAACAGTTTCTACAATCAGGACAAGAATATCTAATATTAACATTTTCTTTCAATTATTCTTCACTCCAATTCAGTTCTGGAAATGTATGATTATTAAGAAAATCTTAATCAGGTCCTTCAATATTGATATATTCTGTTGTTTCTAATAGATCTTTACAAGCTATATGGAAAGCTCTTCTACAATGTCCCATACAAAAGATAGAACAATTAGGTCTTTCACATACATAACATAGTTTTTTAATTAATTCTTCTTTACTTTTTGATGCCAATCTTCTTGCATCTTCCCCTTAAATTTCAACTGTTCTTTGTTATTTTCTACCTAAATCCATATCTGTTAATTTTTTAATTCTTCTTGAAGGCTTACTTAATTCATATATCCAATTCATAGCTAATTCTCTATAATTTTTTGCATAATTTGATGAATTAATTTTATTCAACAAATCTGTTAATATTTATTCATCATCAGTACTATAATTAGATTAACTTAATTTAGATTCTATCAATTAATTAACACAATCTCCAACTTCTTCCATATATTTTTTTTATTCTTATAATGACATATGTATATCAAATAATTTAATTAATTTTTAACATCTACTTTCTTAACTTTTTAATATTATTTTCCAAAAATTTGGATCTTAAATACTTATTGATTTATCTGTTTTTTCAGAAACAAATGATTATTTTGAAACTGTATAAGTTCCATTTATTAAAGAATATTTTGCTGTTCTTGAATTTTTCTCTAATATTTCATCAATATTCTTTTCTTAAAATGTATCTCCAATTTAATTATGACTTATCAAACCTATAATTCCATTCTTTAATAATACTTCCATATCTTATTTACTCATTTTTTTATCATTCTTGTTATTTTTAAATGAACTTTCACATGATTTAAATTATCCACTCATAAATATAGCTTAATCTAATCCTAATTTTTTTATTGCTCTTTCAAACATTTCTGCTTCATAAGTATCTTTTGTAATTAATCTATATACAGTAACTTCTTTTGATTATCCAATTCTATGTGCTCTAGCTGTTGCTTAAACATCATTTTAAGGATTCCAATCAGAATCATAAATTACTACTATTTCAGCAGCTGTTAAATTTATACCTTATCCACCTGCTTTTGTAGATAATAAAAACACTTCTCTCTTTTTCTATGGATCATTAAATCTATCAATAGCATTCTATCTTTCTCTTGCTTTAATCTATCCATCAATCTTTTCATATTTTACTTATCTAAATTTCAAATATTCTTCCAATATTGATAACATCATTGTAAATTATGAAAATATCAACATCTTTTTTCCTTCATTTCTAAATTTATTCAATAATTTATCCAAAAGAATCATTTTACCTGAACTCTCAACTAATTTATTAATATAATCATTTTTATTTTAACATCCTTTTGTCAAATCATTTTACATTTCTTATATTAAAAATGGATGATTACAACATTTTCGAAGTTGAATCTCTAAATTATTTAATGAAGCAGCATTAGCAGCCCATTAAGAAAATCCTTATTCTAACATAGACTTATTTCTTTCATAAAGTGCTTTGTATATATGTTTTTAGATTGTAGTCATTTCAATATCTATAATTGTTTCTTATAATGGAGGTATCATCTATTCTACATCTTCTTTTTATCTTCTCAAAATATATGGTTTTAGTAATACATTCAATTTATCTACTTAATCTGATGTCTCCAATTAACCATATTCTCTTTTAAAACTAATTAAGTTTGAAAATTCATATGGTTCTATGAAATTAAGTAAACTAAATAATTCTTCTGTATTATTCTGAATAGGTGTTCCAGTTAATAATAAGGTTCTTTAACAACAAAGCTTTTTTAAAGATTGTAAAATTCTAGCATTTGAATTTTTTAATTTATGAGCTTCATCAACTACAATATATTAAAATGGAATATTAATGAATATAGTTTAAAAATCTTACATAAAAACTTCATAACTAGTTATCAAGATCTAAAATTTATAAATTTCAGAAGCTTGGAGTACAATACCTTTCATACTAATATCAGTATAGAAAAATTCATATTATCTACATAATGCTCTGCCAGCACTACTTTCTTGATCATAATATAGAACAGCATTTAAATTAGTCCATTCTTCAACAGTACGTTTCCAATGTTGTAATGTTGATAATGGTGCTATGATTAAAAAGGGTCCTCTATAATTTTCAAAATTATATAAATGATTTAAAAATGCAATTGTCTGTATAGTTTTACCTAATCCCATTTCATCTGCCAAGATTACATTTCTATCTTCATACCAAGCTCTAATAAGCCAATTCAAACTATCAAGTTGATAATCTCTCAATAATCTTCTATCTTTATAAATAGTTTGTGTAAGTTAAGTATATTCATGAGGTGGTTTTCTTTGATTCAAGAAATACAATTAATTTCTAATTTCACTAATTTATAGATTAGATAATTTCTTTTTTCTAAGTCCTAATTCAAAATCTACAAGAGTTTTATGATTTGAATTTTATTACATCATTAAATTCCTTGTTTCTTTATCTAAACTTCTATTGAATTATTTAAATTCTTAAATCTTTTATCTACAATCTATCAAAGATTCAGGTTCCCATGTAGCTTCTAAATAAGATAAATGCTTCCATTTGACCAAATATAAGCGATCAGGCTCTTATGATAATTTTTGTATTTCTAATTCAGATAAGTTTTTGATTTCTTAAGTATCCATTTGTAACCAATCAAAAGATTTATCTCCTGGATTCCAAGCTTCTATATCTGGATCAACACTATCCATTTATTATTAGAAATCTAACATTTCCAATTACATTTCCTAAGCTACATCAACATCTTTGGTTTAAAGTTAAGATCTTAAATAATCTTCAAGATCAAAAAATTCTTCATTCTTAATTTCTAATTTTATATTCAACTTATCTTATATAATAGATTCAATTTCTGATAGATTCTCTTAAATAGTGTATTATTTTTCATCAATAATATTTAAGACATTAAGCACTAATTCATTTATTTTTTCCTTCTTTAATTCAGGCATGATATCATTTCTATGAGCATCATTAACTTTATTTTTATATGATTCTTCATTAATATATCTTTATTGAGATAACTTTTATTCATAATTCTTTTTAGCTTCTTCATACCATTAATTATAAAGAATAACTGCACACTCTCTTAAAGTATCACTAATTTATCTCATTTCACTATTTTCTTAAAATTCTTAATTAGCACTTCTAAATACTGTTCCCAATTCATTCCAAAAATCATTGTTTGTTTTGTACTAACCTAAATATAAACGATTATTTATGGTGCCAAAATCAAGGATTGCTTTACTTTCTAAAAAGTATACTCCATAATGAATTTGATTCCTACTAAAATTAAGTAAATGAGACATCACTTTAGTTAGACTCTCTGCCCACTTACCTTTCATTTCTGATCCTTTTTTTGGATGAACAATTGGAAATATTTCTGTACATGATAATACTCGATCAACTTCTTGAAATGCTGGATCAAAATACTGAGCATCTACAACTTCATCGAATTCTTCCATAATACGTTTATCAAACACTTTATTGAATCTGTTGATTTTCTACTTTCCATTTTTCTCGTTAAGGATCTGACCATTATGAATAAATTCAACATACTCTCAATTCATCAAGCCATTCTGTATGGAAATAGCTTCGGTCTTTGTATTTAACCAAATATTAAATAGTCTCTGTATGTGGGTCAGTTTTTCGCCACAAAATTTGATCAATCTCAGGAACGAATATACGCCTTGATTCACTTTCTAAAGTTGGTTCATTCATCGACTCTTCTTCCTCACTCATTGTAGCTGCATAATTCCTCTTGATCGCTCTAGCAGACCGTCTTTCATTACTAATTCCATTTTACTCTTCACGGTAGTTTTCTTCTTCCATTAAGTTGTACCTACTAATGTACCTAACATGTTATACTTTCTCTTCTACTTTTCTCGTAGTCTATCTGATTGTCTATTGGTTGGGTCATTCTCACTTTCTAAATCACTCATTTATAAAATAATAAGGGACAAAAAGGTAAAAAAAAAACTATATGATAAATTTTTCTTCTTTTTTTTGAATTTCAGATATATATGCTCACAAATCGGCGCGCATTTAATTTTTTCATATATTCTATATATACGATATTCTCATTAGTTCAATTTTCACAATTCTCATCTCTCTTTTAATATTAATATTTTTATGGATCCAAGTACACAATGGAAAGAATTAAATAAAAAATACTATAAGTTTCATTAATTCAATCCTATAACAGGTGAACAAAAGAACCTTGACTTTTACTATTAGCACATAGCTGTGGCTAAATGGGGTGGTCCTTTAGCAGCAACTAAAAATTATGATTAGGTTATACTTATGCGTACAGACGATATCCTAAAAGATTCCATAGTATTCTTTTCCAATAGTGGTAAAATTATGTCACGAACTCCATATAAAGAGGCAGATAAAGTAAAATCAAAATAATGAAATTAGATTCCATTATTTGATTTTCTTGAAGATGAACATTTGATATTACTCAAAACAAGTGGCATTTATTATATAATTGATCCTTTCAAAGGAACCAAAAAAAATCATGATTTAGGTGAATAATTTAAGTTAAATCCCATTTAAAGAGCACTTGTTATTAATAATGGATTTATATTGATGGCAATGAACTTTGAATTTTATTATATTCAGAATGCTCATGAACCTGAAGTTTAGTAATTTAAAGCATCTAATTTAACTTAATCTCCAGAGCATTGGTAAGTAATACCTTCTCAAAAATCTGCAAGTGGTAAAGTAGAATTAGTGATAGCTAATCCAGATGGAGGTATTCTACATATAATAGAGAATGAGAAGTCTAAAATTTATTATAATAAAGACAAGATAACAAGTGAAATTGATAAGAAACTTCCAGATCTAAGAAATATTAAAATGTTATGTCTATCACCAACTTTTAAAAATTTAGCCTTGTTATAATATTATGGTTAAAGATGGATTATGGCATTTATTTCTAACTATTTTGAATCTTCTGAGTATCGTCAGATGCCTATAGATTTGAAAGAGGATGATGTAAAAAAAGATGAAACAGCTGAAAAAGATCTCAGCATTTTGGAAAGACCTAGAATGATGTTTTGGTGTGGAGATGATTGTGTTGTTCTATAATTGTAATAATACATTGTTTTAGTATCTCAAGATTCTTATACAAAAATAAAAATGAATAATTAGCATTTTGCTATGAGATCTGAGTATGATGGATTGAGAGTGTTAACATAAAAAAAGAATGAAATATTAAGAAAATTACCTGATTCATATATAAATGTATTTGAATAACTTTCTGTAAAACCAGGTGCATAATTATATTGTGCTTATGAATCTTTTGAATAAAAGAATCCTATTGAGGATGATGATTTAAGAAATAGTAAAAGTCTATTAAGTGAGGCTGTAAGTGATTGTGTAAAATGTGCATAATTTGAAATTAATCCTGAATATTAGATAAAATTATTAAAGTCAGGAAATTATGGAAAGATATTTTTGGGAACTTAAAATTTAGATCCAAATATTTTTAATGAAACAGCTAGATATTTGAGAGTTGTTAATTCATTGAGAAGAAGTGGTGGTGTTGGAGGAAGAGTAGTAACATATGAATAAGTATTATAATTAATAAAAACTCCAGATATTATGATAGGTTTGTTATTGAAATATAATTTACATTATTTAGCTACTGAAGTTTCTCATTTTCTTAAATTTTAAATAAAATAAAGGGCAGCAATTTATACACATTGGGCTTGTTGTAAAGTTGAAGTTCAATAAGATGATGATATATTATGTGATATAATTAAAGAGAAAATTAAAGAAGAAAGAGGTGTTTCATTTACTTAAATAGCATAAAAATCAATTGAAATTGGAAAATCATAATTGGCTTTAAAATTATTAGATAATGAATAAAGTCTGTCTAAACGAATTCCAGTATTAATTTGGATGGCAAATTTCTAATCAGCTAATAATAATAATTCTTATTATGAAAAAGCATTAGGGGATGCAATAATTTCAAAAGATTCCAATCTAATTTATTTTGTTATAATGAAATTCTTAAAAATTGAAATGAATGAAACTTATAAATTTAATACTCTCTCTCAAAATCCCATCTCATAAGCCCATCTAGTATATTATTTAAGAAATTTTGATGATAAATATTTGTAAAAATATTTACAATATTACAAGAAATTTGATGAATGTGGTTTATTAGCAATTAATTAAGCTTACTAACAAAATAATTTAGATGAGAAAATCAAATTCTTAGATTAAGCTTTAAAATATTTTGCAGAAGACGAAACTGACTAATTTTATAAGAGAATTATAGCTGAATAAATCATAATATTAAAAGATTTAAAATCAGAAGTTGAAAAAGGTAGAAAGAAACCTAATCAAGCAATTATGGAAGAAAGACCTATTAATTCAATTATGGAAGCCTTTTTCACAAAAGACAAACCAGAATTTGCTTAAGAATTTGCTAAAACTTATAAGATACCAGATCGTAGGTATCATCTTTAAATATTAATAGAATTTATTTGACTAAAGTTAAAACATTAATTAATAAAAAGAGTTGGGATGAATTAGATAAATTTATGTAAGAGAAGAATAAAAAATCTATTATAATACCATATGAATTAGTTGCAGAACTATTGATTAAAGGAGATCAAGAGGAAAAAGCAATTTAAATTATTATGAAGATGCCTGATGTTGAAGTATTCATATTGTATTTTCTAGGAATCTTGTAGAACCTTAATTAAGATTGGATAATAGAGTTCTGCAGTACAAGTTGCAATTAACAATAAAAAAATCTAATTACTTTATGATATCAGGGGATTAATCTTTGATAATTCAGCCAAGGCATTGCTAGAAACTTATTTAAGCCAAAACCAAAAATGAATAGCTAAATATATAAATAACAAATCATTGCATATCTGTAATTCTCCATAAAGCATTTGCTACTTCTGGCTTACAAATTGATACAATATGTTAATTTTCAATTTTACTTTAGTATGGTTAAGTATGTAAATAAAGTCCAGTACATATATGTTTAAGTTCTATAATATATAAGAATAATAAAAACTTATAATAGAGAATTATTTGATTTCTTCATCATCTGCAATAATTTCCCATTCATCCATATCATGTTGTAAACAACCAACTTCTCCCATATTATTAATAGTTTGCAAACATTTTAAATATGATTTTGTAATAGGATGATAAATATAGGTTTTATTGTTAATCTAAATAATTTACCACCAATCATATTCATAATTACAATTGTTACAAGTGCTTACTTCATTTGATTTATTATGTTCATGTTTAATTGCATGAGAATGTAAGTATCTTTGAGTGTGTAAATTATATAATTTTATTTAGTGATGCTTTTCCATCTTAAGTCCTTCTGGCAACCTAATTAAATGTATAGTTGCACTTTGTTCAATCTAAAATTATGAATTTAGTTCAAATGATGAATTTTAATCCTATTCAGTTTCTGGGTCTTCTTTTATAACAATGCTTTAAACTTAACTTAATAATCTTGACTTTTTCCTTTTATGACCTACATTATGATTAGAGAAATCTTTTTAAAATATTTCTTTTCTTGGTAAATCAGAAAGAGAGGAACGATTAGTATATTCTTTTACACAATTTCCCATTATTATATAATTATTGATGAGTACTTTTTTAAAAATATTACGTAGTATTTGGATTAAAATGTCAAAATATTAGAGTTTCTGATTACTATAATTTAATATCTAAATATGTATAGATCATTCTTTTTTTGAATTGAAAAAACCAAATACTGGAGCATCTGAAAAGGCTTTCTTCAATTCTGGGGGAGGTGGCATAGATGATGTTGATTATTTAACAGGAGAAGAGGGTTTTAAATTAAACTACCTCTGCTATGGTTTTTAGGTATTTAGATTGGTGCTATTATTACTTTTGATTTGTGTAATAGGTTTATCATTTTGTTATTTCCTTTAATTTGGTCTCTTGCTCTTTTGATATGGTTCTTAGATATATATAAATATAGATACTTGAATAAGCAAAATCATAGAGATCTTCATTTACAATCTATTCTGAATCTTTTAATAACTTAAATTAACTAAATTTAATACATCAACCAATTATTTGGCTATTCTAGGATCCATTGCATCTAAAGTAATCATAGTTATGCTTCTTCCTTTATCACCAGCTCTACCTGTTCTTCCAATTCTATGAACATAATTATCAATTTAATTAGGGAAATCATAATTGATTACTAAACTAATATCTCTAACATCAAGTCCTCTTGATGCAACATCAGTAGCACATAATATTTTACATTTTGAAGCTTTGAATTCTTTCATAACATAATCTCTTTGTTATTGAGTCTTATCACCATGTAAAGACATACAAAAGAATCCATGTTCAGACAAATAACTGGCCAAATCCTCACAATCCTTTTTAGTTTCAACAAAAATTAAAACTTTATCTTTATTGGATAATTCTTCAAGAATATAAAGTAATCTAAAAATAGATTTTCAATTTTATACTCTTCTTATTTTTCATTTTGATATAAACAAATTGTTTCTTATGTAATATTTTTATTAATAGTGACTTCTTGACTACCAATATATAAATTAATTGGTTCATTATGACATAAATCACATGCTAAATTTTACACTGTCTTTGGCCAAGTTGCTGAAAAGAATACTGTTTATCTATCTTCTCTTATATAGCTATCTATTTTTCTAACCTGCTATTCAAATCCCATATCTTTTTATATATAAATTATTATACCAAGCATACGATCTGCTTCATCTAATACCAAGTATGTAACATTATGTAGATTTGTTACTTGAGCATCTAAGAAGTCTATCAATCTTCCTGGAGTTGCTACTACAATATCTGGATCTCTAGCTAGTGCCATTTCTTGAGGTCTTTTGTCAGCACCACCATAAATACAGGCAGAATTCAAATTATATGCTTAAGAAAAATAAATTATATGCTCTAAAAATATGTGTTCTTTTAGTACCTTATATTTGCATTGCTAACTCTCTAGTAGGCACAAGTATCAACATCATTGGGCCACCCTTTTTTCTTTGACATTCTATATGAACAAGTCCAGGAAGAAGGTAGGCAATTGTTTTACCAGATCCAGTTTAAGCAATTCCTATCAAATCATGTCCAGACATAATTATTGGAAATACTAAAAGTAATTATATTAATTAAAACCTGATGCTTGGATTGGAGTGGGTCTTTAAAAAGCTTTGAGTGATATACGCTTATTCAATTGATTTGGAAATTGGCAATCTTTCCACTCAATAAATGGTTATGGCACTTAGATTTCATTTGATTCCACCATTATTTTATGTTCCTCAAGATACTCACTGACTATTATGTCTTCATAGATCCTCTGAGTCGGGTCAATAAAGACTTTCTAGATGGGCGTCGAGTTTATTTATGGTCTGGTCTGGGGGTTACGATTTAAAAGCACTTGGCATATTACGAGCAGAAGATACCAGCAAAATCTCTTTGCTTTGTATTATTATTTTAATGGTCCATTAGTTAATTATTAATTATTAATATTAATTAGAGAATTATGTTCTAAGATAAAGATCTTTTTTAAGCAAATCCATATATGCAGAGTAATAGTCCTTAAAATTAAATGCTAATGGATTCACCTACATTCTTAAAATAAAAAATTGATTACGAATAGTAAGAATTTTTAAGATCCCCTTAAATCATCTATGACATCAATTCTCATGAGTAATTCCAAATAAATTGGAGTATCTAAGCGTCTAATGTTAATATAGTTGATTAATAACCTTTGATCTTAAGATCAGGGAAATCCTATTGTTACAATAATTTTAAGTAAGACCAAACTCAATCATAAAATGAGTATAATTAAGAGGCAGAAGAATAAGAGGATTAAGAATGCTTATTATAAAAAAATGATTAATTGGATATTTCTGATCTTCGTATAAAGAAAAAAAGTAAAAAAGAATAAGCATTTAAATTTTAAAAAGAAAATAAAATTTTAAAAAAGACTAGTTTGAAATTTCAATAACCTTGTAATTGTAAGAATAGTGGATGTATCAAACGATATTGCCGTTGCTTTCATAGTGGAAAAACGTGTTTGCCAGAATGCTAATGCTAGGAGGGATGCTTCAATTAAGAACATAATAATTTTGAAAGGAATTAAGCAATAAAACATGTAAATGAAAAATGTTATAGAAACAGAAAGATTCCAAAGGAGGCTCTATTTAAATTGGATATAATATATGGATGTTCTTGTTCCAAATCTAAATGTAGAAAAAGATACTGTGAATGTTATTTAAGAAATTAGAATTGTACAGAGAAATGTAAATGTTTTGATTGCTGCAATCGTTAATTTAAAACTGAATGACCTTATCTGAATAGTCTTCATCTAAAATTTATTTAAATTTAATTTATTTAATTATGATGCGTCTATATTACTAAGCATTCAGCAAACTTATCAAAGTAGATCGTTTAGCATTGACTCCTCATCAATATTGGATAGCAGCTGGTAAAGGAATGGAACGACCTTATACAGGAGAATATTGGTTTGTAAATTTAATAATCTATCTCATCAGAATCAAGAAGTTGGAACATATCATTGTAAACATTGTGACAATCAATTGTTTTCTTTTGATTCTAAATACAAATCAACTACAGGATATGCATAATTTTGGAATCACTTACCTAATAGTGTCAAATTAGAGGAATCAAACATTAAAGTATTAATTCTCATTCAAAACTCTTTTAGGAAGAAAGAGATTTATGTTGTGCTGGATGTGATAGTTTTGTTGGAAAGGTCTCTTTTGATGGACCTCCTCCTACATTTATTAAATATAGTATTAATTCAGCTGCATTAAATTTCAAACTGAAACTCTTTTAGGAAGATCCCTACTTTAGAAAAATTGCTAGAAAAGAAAAATAGGCTCAACGTTCTAAAAAAGTAGAACATAATTATTTAGAAAGCAATAGCAATTTGTGATTTATTATATTAATAAAAATTATATATATATAGTGATGAAATAAAATAAAATAAAATAAGTTTAAGAAAATTGTGTTATTGATTATCATGCTTTATTAATATTATTTGTAATATAATTATTTAATAAATAAACTCAAGTTAAAAATAATGATAAATTATATTTATATAAATCAAAACAAGAAAACTTTTATAGGTGAATATATATAATTTTATTTAATTCCAAAGGATAATAAGTTATTTAAAAATTAGAAAATATTATTTTATCAACTTTTATATTTAGTTTTTAAAAATTATAATTGAATTACTTTTACAAATGTTTAATACACATAACAAAATATTCTAAACTATCATAAAGTATTTATAATGTTAACAATATATAAGTAAAATGATGTATATTTATTATTTCAAATTTATAAATTTAATTTAATAATGTCACACTCTCTTTATCATACTTACTATTTCAAATTTTATTTGTGTATCTCCAATTATTCTACTAAAAATGCATATACTAAAGGAAAATACACTTCTAGTTAAACATCTTGTACCACAATATCAACAAAATGAATTACTCTTGTAAGTTCATTTTCTAATTCTGTCAAGTGATAATGAGAGTATCGTTTCTATAAACGAACGATACAATGTGCCAGCTTGCTCCTCAGTATAATTAATTGATTTAAATTATAGCGAAGATCATCAGGAATATCGTCGGATAATTCTAATTATCCTATGATATTAATGAAATTCTATGCAATCATAATAGGCAATTTGATTTCGTTGATTTTAGAATTGTGTGGCTTATGATTGCTGGAAGAACAAGCCAGTCCCATTTTAAAATAAATTAAATTTATATAGATTATATCAATCAATATTAAGGGGAAACTAATAACTAAAAAAAACATTTATATTCTTAATTACCAACAAAAAATTTTCATTTTGCATTAAACATATTATACTTTTGCAAACTAGCTTTATTTTCAATTTTGAATATCAAATTAGAATGTTCTAAATGCTATTAAAATATTACACAACTAATTTTTTAAGACTTTCTAGAATATTTGCTTTAAATTTCAAATACTTTGAAAGCAAAATGTTGTTATCTATTATTTTCAAATTATTTTCCATATATATAAATATAAAATTATAAATTAAGAATGATGTTATTTTTGATAGTTAAAATAAATAATGCTTGAAAATAATATTAAAATGTGGATTAGTATTAGTTATAGAATTTTTATCTGAAGTTTTAAATTGATTATAAATAAATATGAGTTAGTATGTGTATTATTCATTCGTTAATTAAAATATAATGATTGCAGGTTAGATTATTGAATTCTTTTGGTTAATGAGTAGTTTAGTATTATTTGGATATGCAATATTATCAAAATACAAATGGAAAGAGAACATACATTAGAATCGGAAGATTAGAATGAATAGCTATAAATCATAGAATTTACCAAGAAATTAATTTGTGATTGAAGGTGACATATATAATGTTATTATTAGAGGCAGAAGAATAATAGTAATGTAAAAGTGAAGAGGATCTTTCATAGCAATAGTAATAATAGATTGAGGTAATAAATTGAAATGAATAGTATAAGAATTAATCAATAGCATAAATTATAAGACCAAAAGTAAATTATTTGATTAATGTTCATTTCGTATTATCATCTGTAGGAATAATAAATATAATAAATGGAGGAGATAATATATTTTTATTAGTCATGGTAATCTTATACCTGATTAGTACAATTTTTATTATTGCCAAGTTAAGTATGAAATGGTTATTCATTCCATAACTTATGATTTTGGCCATGATGATAAACTACTTGATAGTTATATGATTATAATATATTCATTTAGTAAATTTTAACAATTCTATTAATATCTCTTTGGATAACATATTTATATCTTATGTATTCAATATCTTCTATTTATTATCTAGTAAAAAGATCATAGCATTGGCTTTTAATTCTTATGCAGAAAATTTATCAGCCAAATTGACAACATCAATTACATTTTTTAATGAAATGTTTTTAATCTAAAAAATTGATATATATTAATAAATACTAAATGATCTTCACATAAATTCTTAAGTCTTTATAACATATATTTATCTGCCAATGCTAATAAATCATAAACAATATATGAATCAATAAAAACTTCATCAGTATATATATATTATAAAATTGCTTATATGATTATATTAATAAAATACCTTTAAAAACATTAATAGATGTATCAGTTATAGCTAATTTATCTCCTAAATTGAATTATTCATTTAAAAATAGAGTTTTAAAATATTCACAACGAGATGCTAAAATAATTTTATGTGCATGAATTTCTTGATTATCTATAAAGAATGTAATATCACTCAAAATAGGAGAAAATAGAATGCTAGAATAATCTTATTTGAGTGTAGATTCTGCTAATTTTATAATTGATTATTATTTAAGCATGTAAACATCATTATATGATTTCTCACTATCATTACCTCCAAAAATGACTATAGTATTTTTATAAGCAATAGCTGAATGTCTACATCTAGGTCTTGGAGGTGATGATTATTATGATGTATTATTATCTTTATTTTAATTTCTAAAATTAGATTAATTATCTAAATTATTAATTACAATATATTCCCATTAATTTTCTGTGATATTATACATGAAAACATCATTTCTCCATTATTATCCATCATATCCTCCAAATAAATAGATTTTATTATTCATCATAACAGCTGAAGCACTTACTCTTGGAGATGGTGTACTACCTTTAGGTGATAATCTTGTCCAAATATTATTTTCAATATCCAATTAATATAAATCATTTAATTAATGAGATCGATCAGGTTCACCACCAAAAACATAAATTTTATAATCATAGATAACTGAACTATGTTACAATCTACCTTAAGGTTTCTATCCTGTAGTTTCTACTTAAGTCCAATAACATTTAACTAAATCAAATTTATATAGATCACTCAACCACATCTTACCATCTCCTCCTCCAAAAATATACATAAAATCTCCACAAATATTAGCTGTATGAAATTGTCTTTTTGGAGGAGTATTCTCTGATTTTACATGTTACCAATCTATACAAACAATATTCATTTATTCACTTGGAGTCATCATAATAATATCATCTAATACTGTGTATCCATTCCATCCTCCATAATAGACTATCTTATCATAATAATTTTAAGCACTATGTCCCATTCTTACATCTGGTATCTATCCACTTATCTTTATTTAAGATGTCCAACTAATTTCTTACTAATAATATATTACTTTAATCTTTTTAAATCCAAAATATGAATATCATTACAGAATTTCTTTCTACCTTCTCCTTCTTTACCACCAAATATTATCATATAATGTTTAAATGTTGTAGCTGTATGACAATTTCTACAAGTTGGCAATTATGAGGCAGTAGTTGCCTTAATATTTTCCCATTCATAACTAGCAAATGTAACTAATTATTTATTATATATTATTATTACCATCATCTTCTTTATTATCAGTCATTTCTGTCTTACGAATACAATAATCCATTTATAATTAATTATTATTTTTTTATAATTAATACTCATTTTACTTTTACTTATTATACTCTCTTGTTCTTCATTCTCATTACTATATATACTAATAAACTTATTATTATAGTCCCTATCCATGGAATAGATATATAATATGGTGTATCTACATATTAAATATTTCCAGCATCCTTCAAAAATTTTATACTTATAAATGTTTCTGCAAAAAGAGTCCAAACAACTAAATATCTACATTAACCTGATTAATCTTTATTACCCTTCAAATCATTCCATTATTCTTACCAACTTAATACTCCCATTCCAAACCAAACAAATAATCTATATGATACCATCCAACATTTTGGTGGTACCCACAATTAATTCATTAAGAAAAATCCAGTCAAGAAATTTATTGTCACTGCTAACCATGTACCAAATGCTGCTCCAAAATACTTATAATCATGCCAAACCAACCATTATGTAAATGATTTATCCTTTCTACCTAACCAATCAAATTATTCAATTCCTAATTTCTTACTAACCCACAATCCCAAAAACACAAATAAAGTATTACCAATTAATACATCTAATAAAACATGATCCCACCAACATTCTCTAAAATGAGGTAATATATGTTGCCAAGACAATTCAATTATCTCATCAAATATTTACCAGAAATTTAATAGCCATGCATCTCTTAGTAAAAATGCCAATAAAAACCAATTTAAACAATGTAATAAAAAATAATGATCTAAATTATCTACTATGTTAACTAATTCAAACTCACAATTATCATCATAAGTGTGCATATCTTTTGTTACAGATCTTCCTAAGCTTTCATCACCAAGTTTCATTAATTATCTTGCTTCCTTTTCATTTTAGAATATCAAAAATATTAGAAAAGCATTATAACATACTCCTAACCAAAACATAAATCTCCAATATCCTTAAAAACGTTTAATAGGACCATCATATGATTTTAGTGAACCCATCATGCATATAAATATTATGGATCCTAATACTCCTCTATATCTATTTTTTATATTATCATAATCATTTTCATATGCGAAATAGATTAATGTGCAAGCACTTATAAAAAATAAAATTTATTCCTAATATCTCATTTAAATGAATAATTATTATTAATTTATCAACCAGATATAGATTCCCAAATAACAATTAAACATCTAAACCACTCCTGAAGTTATCAATTTTAATGCCAACAGTAACACATACATGAATAAAATCAAATGTTAAACTCATTTAACAAAAGAAAATAAAATTGAATAACATATTAAGATATACAAAGATTAATCAACTTAATGTGAATTAATAACATAAGATTAAACTACCTAATGTACTCAACTATCTTAACATGAGGAATAATTTATGTAACTTGTACAATCTAAAGTCACTTATACAAATGATTTACTCTTATAAATGGAATCCGTTGATATCAATGATTTCTAACCAAGATAAGCAATATCTATTTAATAATCAATATAATCATCTTCGACATTGATGACTTATTTTTAAGAAAATAATAACAAAATATATGAATAATTGTTAGCAAATCAAAATTAGAATTTTTTAAATGTACTATCTTAATTGACTAATAATAAAACATTAAATGATTTAAAAATTCAAATATAACAATATTTAGATTTACTTATCTTAATAAATCAAGGTTTAATTGTCTAAAATTTTAGAAAAGAATATAGTATAGTAGGTTAATTATCATTTAATGAAAACTGCTTTGAACAATAATCTCCAGGATGGTTATTAACACCTACTATCAAAATTACAGACAGTTAGAACTTTTCTTCTGATTCGCTGATCATTAATAAATGATTTACTATCAAATTATAAATAAGATTAAAATTCAATTAAAAATATCATCTACACAAGTTACTAACATCCTTAATAATTATTGATTTTCTAAAAACATTATATGAGCTGATCTACCAATCATATTGTCAATTGTTCGATTTCTAATTAATAAAATATTTTTATTCTTACTCATTTAAAACAAAATTAACATCTAATCTTCTCACTTATGTTGCTCTCATTCCTTTGAAAATGTTATCAACCATTTTCTCATATTTTCGAGAATTCTTATTATATTAATGATCAATAATACTTAATCACTTCTTTCAAAATTCTTAGATATTCTAGCACTTTCAAATGGAACATATGAATCTTAAGCTGAACTAACAAATAATAAATTCTAGAACCAATTCAAACCATCTTATCTTGATAACTAATAAAGAAATGTATTTTCTATTTATTCAGCATCAGTCATAGCTAATTATTATAAAGATACTGATTTTCTCATTCTTTTTAGAAACCATAATCCAGCATCAATTAGTAAACTATTATTATAACCATATCCTAGATGTGGACTTGATAATGATATATATGTATTCATATTTATCTTGAATTCACTCAAATGTGGTAAGGCAGCTCTAACAATAACTCCTCCCATTGAATGTCCAAGAAAACTGATACGAAAAGGATTATTCTTTACCCAATCTATAATATATTATTTGACTTCTTAAGCTAAATTTTAACCCATATCAGAGAGATTACCATCAGTCAAATCTTCATTTGCTCTACTCATTAAATAATGATGATTTGGATATTCTAATTATAGATTATTCTTAATCAACCTCATATCCAAAGAATTTCCTTGAAATCCATGTACCAAAACAATTAAATGCAAGATTTATTCTTATTATATTAAAGGTTAACTAATTTAATAGATTTCTTCAAATAAAACTGTTGCCTATTTTTAATCAGAGAATAGACATTCATCTATTATATCTAATTATTATTCCATTATAATAGGTTTTCTTCTTATTTGATCACTAACATCTTGATGTTATTTTTGACATAAAGTACCATTTGAAAAGGAATTACATTTAATAACTTCTCTAAAATATGTTTCTCCCCATTTATCTTTTATTTTAACTTGATAGTCTTATTATAATAATATTCTATATTGTTTTGAATTGTTTTGTATTATATTAATTAATAAATTTTGTAATTCAAAAAGTACAGAGGAATATTAATTAATATCATTTTCAATAAGAGTAGATAATAGATTTTGATCACGAATATTTTTTAAATTTAATACATCAGAAATTAATATATTACCTTTTGTATTAATATTCTCTTTTATAATTGAAGATTCTTAATATTGAATATATGAGAATTTAGGAATAGTAGGTAATTTTGATAATTCCTCATATAATTTTAGTTAACCACAAAGTTTAGCCACTTATTATTAAAGTGATTCACTTGTTAATCTTAATTATCCAATATAATAATCAAAGAATTCTTAACTCTTAGTAAATTTATTAGTGTGTTTATGAAGGAATTCTGTAAATGTTTTTGGTTAAATTGATATTCTAGAGCTATTTGCTTTTTGAAATTCACTTAATCTAAACTTAAAATCTTAAAGGTTAGAATTCACAGTACAATGAACCTAACAAAAATGATTGTTATCAAACATTATAGGAACATATTCATGTACTCCCTTATATGAATTACAAATTCGTCCTTAAAAGGTAGCCACACACTTAAAAAGTGATTCTTCATTTGGAGGACCTCCAATTTTGGCTAAATCTGCACACATCAATTCACATATTAATTTGAATTCATGTTCATAATGTGGTGATGCTGACACTTCAATTTTAAATATGCAACTTTCATCTATCTCTACTTCTTCTTCTTGAAATCTTATCATAAATGTTCTAGTTTAAAAGTATTATTCATCAATCTAACTTGGTTACCATGATTCTTTTTTCTTATTATTATTGGTTTCAAAATAATTATAAGGAGTAGCTTATTCACCATTAGATTTAATCATAAATCTTAAGTAATAGAGTCCTTGATTGAAGAGATCAATATTTTTAAATGACTCTACATGAATAATATGTTCATATGTTGCTCTTAGCATTTAATAAATTAACTGTTAAAAATATAAATGGAATTGAAATATCTGAATAAATTTGTAGAAGAATACAAACTCAATAAGAATGATAAATTAATTAAATACCTCCTAATTCTTGGTATAGGGTTTGTAAAGTAAAAACTAGAAGATATAAATTAAGAAGCAATCAAATTATTAGCGAGTAATTTTCATTTATTATGTAGATTCATTCAAACAAAAGTCTATTCATTAAGAATTAAAAAACTTGAGAAATAAGGTTCTCTCTTTAGAAAAACATATTCAACCAGAATAACAGATTAAATATCATAGTCAACCAAAATTAATGCCTCCTAAAGTTACACCAAAAATCACTGAATAAATTCCACTTTAATAGAATGTCAAAAAAGCAGTACCTTTTAAACATCACTTAGATGATTCAGAAATGTATTATATTTAATATACTATTTAGTAAATCAATATTATGGAATCAATGTAATGAAAATCATCATTAAATTATCAATTATGAATCTTAACATTAACCTCAAAGAAAGCAAACAATTGATTAACATCCAATAATCCCTAAGTATTTACCAAGAAACAACTCACAAACAGAAATATATCCCTTATCATAACGTGATAACAGTGCTAGATAGATTACTTAACGATCATCTCATCATTCTAGTTAATTTGACAGTTTGCATAATAGAAATTCTCCAAAATTTAAAGGAGAAAAGAAAAAGAGCATATGTAAAGAAAATAGAACTCCTGCAGGTGTTGGAGTACCTAAACATCTTAGATAAGTTTAATCAAAAATCAAATCGTAAATTTAATATGACAAAGAACAATATAAATCTAATAATAGTTAAAAAGAAGAAGAATAAATTATTAATATAGCGAATAGTTCATTAAATCCATTTAATAATACTCCATAAAATAAATTATTTTAACCTTGTCATTCTACTCATTTTGGTAGTGGTTAAGTTTCAAGTGCTAAAATTTAATAATAATAGATATAGATTTAAGATTTAAATAATATTACAGAAAAGAAAGTATTTAATGTTGATGAAATTGCTTCATCATTTTTGAATTCTCCATTCATGAAAAGTCAAATATCATAAAGATTATTTGGAAAATAAGAATCAGCCTCATCATCATCTAGTACATTCTCACTTTTTAATCCAAATAATGAACTAAAAAGTATTAATATTATTTTATAATTTATTAGATTTCTTTTAGTAATTAGATAAGTAAGTAGGCAACTCCTTATCCTTTTAGTTTTGATTTCATTTATTTTATACATGTTAATAAATATTATATTTATTACATTACTTCTATGATATAGTGTTATCTATTTATTAACATTTTTAGGATATTTATATAGGAATATTTATTATGAATCTTTTGAAGTTTCTTTATGGAGAATCATCAAAATAAGAAGCTAATTAGAAGATATAAAAACATATAATTTACTCAAATGATGATGAATATCAAGGTGAGATTATGAATGATAAACGTCATGGCAAAGGAACCTATAAATTTGCGTCAGGAAATCGTTATGAAGGGTAATGGAAGAATCATCAAAAGCATGGTAAAGGTAAGCTATATTACAAAAATGGGGATCTCTATATAGGAGATTGGATTGAAAATAAGAAGTGTGGATAAGGAATGCATTTTTATATAAATGGGGATAGATATGTTGGAGAATGGAAAGATGATGAAAGGGATGGTTAAGGAACTTTATATTAAGCTGATTAAAATATATACTATGGTATTAGAAGATAGATTATACAGGATATTTTAAAATGAATAAAAAGTGTGGAGAAGGCTATTACTTTAACACTCGCGAGAAGAAATATTACATATAACATTATGAATCTGACATCCTTTTAGATAATGTATAGATTGAAGATGTTCCATCCTTTGTACTTGAAAAATTCCATATAAAACCTGAAAGAAACCATATTGAGAGTGAGAAGAGTGAAGATTGCACCATTAAAATTGAAGCTAGTCCTACAGTATAGAATGATAGTGATAAATAAAAAGATCTATAACCTAGTGGATAGAGTGGTTAAGGGGAATCTGATCCTTAATTAAAAGAAGAAGGTAAATCTTAATTAAATTCTCTTGGGAATTCCTAATAACATGGATTTTTGAGTTTATAAGTATTGGAAAAATTGGAAGAATTTGAGAGTTAAAAAAATAGTAAAATTATTGAAATATATTAAAAATATAGTGTAGGAATGGTAATTAGAAGAAGTTTGCAATTGGTTAGATTAATTATAATTAAGTGAATATAAAGATGAATTTATTAAGAACTAAATGACTGGCAAAACTCTCTATACTTTAACTGATAATGATTTAAAATAAGATTTGGGAATATCTGTCTTGGGACATCGAAAAAAGATTTTACAATCCATAGAAGAATATAAAAAATATTATGTGAAATTTATGGGAGGAAGGGTTCGGATGAAAAAGCCTTTGGAATCTTTAGAAGAAAGAAAAGGACTATACAATTCTATAGAACATTAGAGATTTAAAAGTCTATTTTCATATATGGAAAAGATTGAAGAGGAACAAAATGAACATCATGATAACAATAAAAGCGACTCATGTAGTGATTCTCCAAGTGCAAATAAGAGAAAGAAGAATAATAAAGATATTCCAAAATCACCTACAAGATCTATATCAAATGATTCAGATTAAGGAAATTTAAGTGATAATAATAAATCATTAAGATTGAAAAGACAAAAAAGTAAAAGAAGTAAAAAGCAATAGAGAAAATAAACTTTAGATATGTTGAAATCTGGAGAATCTGCAGACGATGAAGATGGTAAATAACATCTAACTTCACCTGTTTGTATTTGATATTTTTTATATATTTAGAATCTCCAAATAAAGCTAGTAACAATGTGAGTGATTAAAAGATTGAGATTCTAGTATTGAATGAGTGTTCAAATATTGGAGAGGAGAATAAAGAAAAAGATTCTTATGGAATAAATGAATTATCTAGATAATCTACAAATAAATAACAAGAGATATCAGAATTCATATCATCCAAAAGTCCACCTTAAATTATTAATAATAATGAAGAAAATATTAATTAATTATAATCTATTAATTAATAGTTGTAAAGATAGAAATCAGAAATTAATGGTATTAAATTTTAGGATTAAGACTCATCCAGCTAAGAATCTGATGTATCTGGAAATGATACAAGTTCAGAATCATCAGATGAAGAGAAATACAAAAATCAAAAGAAATCTAAAAGATTAAAAGAAATTAATAAGAAAGAAAAAGAGAGAGATGATAGATAATAACATCATTTGCCAAAAAAACTACTTGTTATGTTAAAAGAGTTTGGAATTAATGAAAGAGTATTAATAGTATTCCATGAATTAACTATTGGATAAATAATTGGTGAAGGTGGTTATGGTGTAGTGCATAAAGGTAAATGGCTTGGTTAAGATGTGGCTATTAAATCATATGGAAAAAGAAAATCTTAAGGAAATTTAAAATACAAATTATAAATGGCTGATTTCTTAAAAGAAGTAGAAGTTATTTCAAATCTACGACATCCTAATATAGTCTTATATATGGGAGTGTGTATAAGAAAATAGAATTATTATTTGATCACTGAATATCTGGAAGAAGGGAGTCTGTTTGATCATCTTCATAAAAAGAAAACACATATAGATTAAAAAGCTTTAATGTAAATAGTGGAAGATATTGCCTTGGGAATGAATTATTTACATGGTAGAAAAGTAATGCATTGTGATCTTAAATCATCTAATGTTCTTATAGATTAAAATTGGAATGTTAAGTTATGTGATTTTGGTTTATCTAGAATAAACAAGAAAATAGATCATAAAGTAAACAAAGGAGCTAGAATAGGTACTCCTAATTGGATGGCTCCAGAAATAATGAGAGGAGAACCATATTAAGAAAAAGCTGATGTTTATAGTTTTGGAATGATTCTATGGGAAATTATTACTTAATAAATACCATATGAAGGTTTATCATAAACTTAAATAATTGGTTCAGTTGGATATGGACAGGATTAAGTACCTATTCCTTCAAATAGCAATCCTTCAATTTTACTTTAATTAGCCAAAAAATCTTTAAAGAAGAATCCTGATGATAGACCTACTTTTGCTGATATTGTGAATGAAATTCAAATGGGATAAAAAACAGATGCCAAACTAAAAAGTAATTAAAAATATTATTTAATTATAGAATAGGCTATAAGATAACTAATGGATTTTTTTGAATGATCAGAAGAATGAAAAACATTAATCATATTATTCAAATTTATTTGATAAGTATTTCCTTTAAATTTCTTTCCAAATACCCATCTCTCAAGAAAATTTGAAGTGGTATAAAGTACACAATCCTTTTTAATAATTGATACTGATTAAACAAATATTTTGGGTATAATAAAATTAAAGCTAAAATGGTAATGCCACAAAATACCAAATAACTTATTGAGACATTCTAAAATATAGATAACATTTACATTCAATTATTTCAATGTTTCTTCTGTAATTTCCTTGAAACTACTCCTAAAACTATTTGAAAGTGCAAAAAAAGCCCTTGTAATTATTTAAGCTCCTTCTAATTCATACTTATGCATTTCTACTCTTTTTGTAAAATTGTTCATTTGCTATTAAGTTTATATTTAATTGTAAAGATAACTTAAAGTAGGTACAATTCCTTTTGAGAGTATTCCTTCAAAAGACAATTAACAATATTAATCCATTAATGGTTTAAAGTTCTAAAATATAGTATATTATTTATACTTCATCAACTTATGAACACATTTCATTAACTTAAACTAATTCTAATAAATCTATGAAATTTTATGTTAATAAATAATCATCATAATGAATTGTTTCAATCAAGGAATTAAATTCTTACAAAACATTTTAAGATCTGTTTAATAAAATATATAAATTGTCTTGATCTGATTTTGTAAGAAAAGGATAACTAGAAAAACGAAAAAACAATTCTCTATAAAGAAATCCATTCCCTCCTCGAAATTTTAAATCCTAAATTAATTTAAAGAAATCTGTTGTAACATTGTATTTTGTTAGATATTATTAAGCTTATACAAATACTATTATTCCATAAATTATTATTAAGAGTAAGAAAATTATATTGGCTATGTTGTATTTATATTATGGATATTATTAGGCATATTTATGATACATTAATTAATTCTATTTAGCATTTTCAGTTGAATTTTATATTTTAATTATCATAAAATATTCCTTTTCTAGATGGAATTCATCAAGCATAGTTGCTGAAATGATATTTAATAATATCTTCTATCTTGATATTTCATTCAAAATAATCTCATCTGTATTATGCCTTAGTAATCCTATAATTAAATCATATGAAGCAAAATATTTCCTTTGATAATAAAATACTATCAATAACAAAAAAATAAACACAAAAACAAAGCATGTTAATAGAATTGACCACTTTATATATATTTAATTACATTTCTATTCAGAATACACTTTTATTTCCCTGGTCAAACTTTCACAAGTATTCTACATTATTAAATAATTTGCTATTAAAAATACTTAAAATGGTTAACCAGCAATAGCTCTATTAAACATATAAGCAGATAATTATTATTGTTAATATGAAAGCATAATGAATAAGTTATCTCTAAATGTAACATTTTATGAATATATTACAGAAGAATTTTCCCCCATGAACCAAACAGGTATTGTTACATCATTTAAAAATTAAGCTAAATAGGGATTAGTTAATTAAGTGTAAAAGTTATCTTGTAATTCTTAATAACCTAAGGGTAGGTACTAAAGGAAAGGAGTTGTGAGGACTTAGAGTTCTTTAGCATTAATAAATCCTTCTCTATATTGTATTTAATAGGATGTTACAGTAATTCTCATTGAAAAAAAGAGATCATGAGGACCCATAATACTAGCATGCAATTACAACATTTCAATTTATTCAATTAAAAGATTTAAATCTTTATTGAATTCATACATTATAAAAATTGGAATAACTAAAAAAGAAATTAAAAGTAAGAAAGTGTAGATTAAAAAATGAACTATATATTTTGGTTTTGAGTTTTACATAATTCTATGAATGATGTCATATTTCTTCCATAAACTATCTTTGGAAATATCATTCAAAGTCTTTGTTTTTTATTATTTTACTTATTTTCTTGTAAATTAAGAAATAATTAATTCATATGATGAACAATCTTTAATTTGATCATCATGACAAAAATATTATTATTAATTGTCTTT